CAACGAACCACAAATAACATTACTAACCGACAACTGACCAACGAACGACAATGACTGATAAACCAACGAATCACAACTAACACCACTAACAGACAACCAACCAACGAATACCAACCAGTGAACCACAAATAACATCACTAACTGACAAATGACAAACAAAAGACAACTAATCCACTAACTAACAATCAACCAACCAAAAACCAACGAACCACAACTAATCCACTAACAGACTATCAAGAGACCAACAACCAAAACCCAACGAACCACAACTAACACCATTAACAGACAACTGACCAACGAACGACAACTAATCCACTAACCGACAACCAATCAATCAATGACCAATAAACCACGAACCACAACTAACACCACTAACCGACAACTGACAAACGAATGACAGCTAATCCACTAACCGACAACCAACCGACAACAAACCAACGAATACCAACCTATGAACCACAAATAACACCATTAACCCTACCACCGAACGACAACTAATCCACTAACCAACAACCAACGACTTCAGACAAATGAACCACAACTAACACTACTAACTGAAAACTGACCAACGAACGACAACTAACCCACTAACGGAAAACCAACCAACATATACCAACCAAGGAACCACAACTAACACCACTAACCGACAACTGACCAACAAAAGACAACTAATCCACTAACCGACAATCAACCAACCAACGACCAAAAACCAACAAACCACGACTAACTCATTAATTGACAACCAACCAATGAATACCAACCAACGAACCACAAATAGCACCATTAACCAACAACAACCCAGAAACGACAACTAACCCACCAAACGTAACCAACCAACAAACGAACACCAAAACTAAAACCACACACTGACAACAAACGACCTACGTCTACAAACCAACAAACGACAATTAACACCACTAACTGACAAGCAACAAGTAGCCAGTTGATTAGCTAATTACAAGAATATTTAGAAACCAGCATCCAACAGTTAGTCAGAAACCAAGCAGCCAGCTCGAACCGCGATCCAACCCAGATGCTGACAACCCAACAAGAATCCTGCAACCCAGCAAGAACCCTCCAACCCAACCAGATATCTGCAACCCAACAACAAATCTGCAACCCAACATGAATCATGCAGCCCAACATTATTTCTGGGACCAACAAGAACACTGCGACACAAGAGACAGAAGGATTAAGCGCTTGGAAATTATTGGTGAGTGCTTAATACTTAACCTGTTTTCACAGTTTAGCTTTCAGTGCTAATAAATATTCAATACTGTTTAGGATAGCAATATAAACAAAATTTATGCTCATAATTTTTATAGAAGCAATATATTTTTTTGTTAAATACTAATAAATCAGATTTGGAAGTATTGTATTATAATTATATGATATATAAAGAGACAAAGTAAACTAATACCCACTATCATTTTTCAACCAGCCCACAACCAAGAAGAAGCCAGCATGCCACCAGTCAATGTATTATCAGCCAGCCTTCATGTCAACAAGAAAATGAACGTCAACCTACTGTATGTCAAAATATCAGCCCAAAGCCCTTAACAAAAGAAGACGCTAGCTAACTATCCATCAACGTATTACCAGCAAGTCTCAAGCCCACAACCCACAGTGACATGCCTAGTGTCCGTATTGAGCCTGTTCATAAGCCCAAAGCCAACCAGTAGCCTGGATACTAATCTTCAACATATTACCTGCTAGCTCACGACACAAATGAAGCCAGTTTATCATCAACATATTACCTGCTAGCTCACGACACAAATGAAGCCAGTATATCATCAACATATTACCAGCTAGCTCACGACACAAATGAAGCCAGTTTATCATCAACATATTACCTGCTAGCTCACGACACAAATGAAGCCAGTTTGTTTATCATCAACATATTACCTGCTAGCTCACGACACAAATGAAGCCAGTTTATCATCAACATATTACCAGCTAGCTCACGACACAAATGAAGCCAGTTTATCATCAACATATTACCTGCTAGCTCACGACACAAATGAAGCCAGCTTGTTTATCATCAACGTATTACCTGCTAGCTCACTACACAAATGAAGCCAGTTTGTTTATCATCAACATATTACCAGCTAGCTCACAACACAAATGAAGCCAGCTTGTTCATCAACATATTACCAGCTAGCTCACGACACAAATAAAGCCAGTTTGTTTATCATCAACATATTACCTGCTAGCTCACGATACAAATGAAGCCAGCTTGTTTATCATCAACATATTACCTGCTAGCTCACGACACAAATGAAGCCAGCTTGTTTATCATCAACATATTACCTGCTAGCTCACGACACTAATGAAGCCAGTTTGTTTATCATCAACATATTACCTGCTAGCTCACGACACAAATGAAGCCAGCTTATGCAAACCAACAGAATTTCTGGAACCTAACAAGAAAACTGCAACCCAACACAAAACATGCAACGCAAAAAGAAACTTGCAACCCATCAAGAATCCTACAACCCATCAAGAATTATTCAAAACTACAAGAATCATACCAAAAACAAGAATCCTGCAACCCATCAAGAATCCCGAACGCATCAAGAATCCTGCAACGTAACAAGAATCCTGCAACGTAACAAGAATCCTGCAACGTAACAAGAATCCTGCAACCCAACAAGAATCATGCAACCCATCAATATTTATGCAACCAAACAAAAATCCAGCAATTCTGCAACTCAACAAGATTTTGCTATCCAACAAGAATCATGCAACCAAACAAGAACCCTCAATCCAACAAGAATCTTACAACACTACATGAATTCTTCAACATAACTGACAGAAAGATTTGGTGCTCTGAATTAGCCATCTGCTAATCACTCCCCAATCAGTAATGAATCCGCAATATATCCACAACCCGACAACACTTCAGTAACTTAGTCTCATTGACAATACCTACTAGAAACCAGCACAGCCCAAAGAAAGCCAATCAGCGAACAACAGACAGCTTCCCAGAAATTGTTATCCCAATAAGGACTACAAACCCAATATTCTAGCACCCAGAGCAATAACAGACAAGCCCACCATCTGCTAGCACACTAGCTGTCAAGCAACCTGACCACTATGTAACAAGCAACCAGGCCATTAACTAACAAAGATATGTGCACAACTAATTAAAACAGTGGCCAAAAGCAGAACTGTGTACACTTAATTAACACAGTGGGGGTCGGCCTGGTCGAGTCGGTAAAGCTCATGGTTGCTAAACCGAAAAGTCTCGAGTTCGAACCCTCGGGCAGATGAGGCTCGTTAGCTGGGGACAGCCACTCTTCTAGGAGAGACAACTCCAAAATTAAACAACTGCTGCCTTGTAGATTGTTCTTGATTGGACAAAGGCTATGGAAGCAAATCCAAAAAGAAAAGCAGGCTGAAATCGGAGTCAATGGCCTCAATGGCGCATAACCAGTTGACACGTAACGCTTAATTGTGTTGGAGGCGTGGTCGAGTCTGCAAAAAGCTCATAGTTGATAAAGTCGAACAAAATCTCGATCCCCTTCAACACTAATAATTAAGAACGAAGAAGAATTAACACAGTGGCCAATAAAAGAACTGTTTACGTCTAATAAACATGTTGGCTAAAAACATAACTGTACACATGAAAGTGACACAGTGGCCGAATGCAGATCTCTGTATACCCAACAGAGTGGTCCCAAGAAATACTGCACACATAACTGACTCTGGGGTCCAAAAGATAACTACACATAACTAACACTCAGTGGCCCAATGCATAATTACACATAACTGACACAGTGGCCCCAAAGCATAACTACACATAACTGACACAGTGGCCCCCAAAGCATAACTGTACAAATATTATTGACACACTGACCATGGATAGCATAACTGTACATACATCATTGACACCAGTGGCCCAAAACTGAAATGTACAGTCATGAAACAAGAAATAGTCAGCTTCACATGATCTTGATAACTAAGCTAGACCATATCTAACTTGACACTTAGATGCTACTATATAATACTGTTGCTATTATAGTATACTTCTAGCAACTAAATTTTGAAATTTTCTACACTTGAGTTTTCAAAGGATCTATATCGCAATACATCAGTATGCTTATAAAAAAATAAATAATATTTGTCTTATATTTCGCATTCTAGACTTTAACTAAGAACAATAATACCAATCTACTATTCGGTTGTTTGTCAAATTTAATTAGTTCTAATGTCTAATGTTATAACTATTATAACTAATGTTATAATTATTAATGTAACTTGCTTTTTGATGATGATTAAAGAGCTAGACAGTAATATTTGTACTATTTTTCTTTATTGTTATTTACCCATTGGTCAATGTATATGTATGTATATATATGTATATATGTGTGTATATGTAAATGTATGTAATGTATGTATCTGTGTGTGTATATGGGTGTGTGTACAGGGTGTGTGTGTGGGCTGTCATGTGTAAAATAAACTGGTAGGCCTATAAATTACTATAGTTACTATAAACTATAATAGTATAATAGATTATAGATTTATAAATAGATTCTAGTAATAATAGTAATAATAGGCAACAACCTCTCAAAGCACATTTTGTTAAATACGAAATTCTTCAATAAGCCTGTTTTAATTTGATAATGAATATTCTTTTGAGTAAATTGAGTTTTCAACCACTTTTAAATATATATCTAGAATCTAGATCTAACAACAGCTTGAAAATTATTATATTTAAAGTGAAAGCTGCGAAGAGACCTTCATGATAAAGAGAGGGAGTAGATAGACAATTGAGAAACAATAATCTTCAAACTTTATTGACAGCAATACTTTCATGCCTTACTATTATATTGTTTAAATATATTTATAAATATCAAGTATTTATTAAATGTGTCTACGATAAAGCTCATAAAACAAATGTATATTAGTATGATAAAATCAGGATAATACACGATTATAAGCCCTCCCCTACTAATGCAACGGAAGTTTATAATTCTACGCATGCGCTCTAATGCATTGTTTATAAAAATGTCGGCGTACCTTCTTTATAGTCAAGGAAATGTTAGATAAATTCGTGAAATTATGCGATAAACACAACGTAAATATATTTTTAAATATTTTCAGTGTGTTCTTTTTCACTCTAAATATTCAATAAATGCTAAAATCTTGTTGAAAATATGTTACAGCATTTTATAAAAGTAATTTATGTTGTTTTTTAAAACTCGACTTTGGCCCACATTTATTTTAAATTAGGCTGTTTGATGAGAATTACAGAATGATTTTTTTATTAAAAATGGGTAAAATCTTAGTTTAGCGTCGTAAATTCCAACGTAGCTAGTAATGTGCGATGAAGGTAACTAATGAATATTTCTTTCAATTGGCCATATTTATGTCATATTTTACATAATATAACAGATAATTTAATAACAAATCACAATCCAAGACCAAACCAGTCATAAATATCCTGGAATAAACTTTAAACTACCCCGTTCGAGACAACAATGAGTAAATACAAGCAGCGGCCATGTTTCAAAAACTATAAATTGTCTATTCGCATGTCTTTTGTGTTGATTTGTGGTTTAATATGATTGTTTTGTATTGTTTTAATATATGCCGGGGGGGGGGGGGGGGGGGGGTTGGGGGTTCGTCCATAAATGACGTCACACTCGTAGGGGGGAGGGGGTCCGTAATTTTCTGACGTTGTGTGATGAGGGGGAGGGGTTCAACAATTGTTGGGAGGTCGAACTTTTGAACACTTTATTTGCAGTAAGCAAATCAATATTAGATCGCTCATAAATGACGTCGCTCTTAATGACAGCGTGCATTATTACAGAGCAAACATGAACATATTGTTTCAGATAGAAATTGTGATTTGTGGTGGGGAGAAGTTGAGTAGAACTCAGCGATGTGATTTTGGAGACGGGTCAGGGTTTTATTTCTCGTGAAAACGGGATGGTTGTGGGAGAAAGACCAGATGTAGAAGTATGACGCGTCATTCATTGGTGATCCATTTTCTCAGTGGGGACGAAAGAACTATTAAGAAGGGTCAAGAAATGTAAAAAGCTTGCCGAGTCGCATTTCTTGAACCCTACCTTTTTCATTCCCCCACTTAGCACATCGTCACCGAGTTAACGATCGCACGTGACGTCATGTAGCGGTACCGCCGACCGTTAGGCTAATTTTATAGAAAAAAAAAACAACAAGCACTGCCTTTTTGACGCTTTTGCGACGTTCAATATGATTACATAAGTTGGTGTTCATTAAACAGCCCCTAACACATCTATCACTCGTCCATTTAAACGTACGTAGTTATTTCTGCAAGCTTGCTGTCTTGAGACTTTCGGCCCTTTAAAAATGTATTAAGCCCACACCGTATAGAACTAGACTACCCATATTAAGCTCCAAAAGAAGCTTGGTGAAAACAGGATGGCCGTCCGATTTTGTAGCTGCTCTGCGCTTTATAAAAACCACAATAAACGATAAGATGACACTTATATTAAATTATAGTTCTGAATCTTGATACATTAAAAGTGATATTCGGAAATTAAGAGCCAGACAGTCAACATGATATTTCAATTTAAGTCCAAGAAAATAAATTTCCTCAAACGATGGAACATTACTAAATTTTCGCGCAGTTTAGCGAAATTGAATTTAAGTATTTACGTCATCTTACAAAGCGCGATAGCCTACTGGTGCTCTAACGCGTCAGCAGGCATTTGGTTGCAAGCGTTTTTGACTGGGATATGTGTTGAGGCCATTTTGCCAAATGTCTTAAACTAGCAGGCTTGCAACATGTGTGATGATTCGTTTTAAGCAAGGTATACGTATACTAATGCTTATTTATCGTTATTTTGATTGAACAAAGCATTATAGAGGTTCTCCATCAACCACCTAGGTATTTTTCCCCGTTCACCTCCTTTCATGAGACCGACACGTCATAAATTGCAAAGCCGCCTGAGTTGACGTCACAAATCTTCACTCACTCCCGAAGCAAATCATATGTGACATCATTTATGGACAACCCCATATCACTCACTTGTGTACTTGATATTGACAATTTGACAACAAAGGATAACCAACATGTGTCTGGCAGGTGGAGACTTGCGATTGACCATAATGACAACACGCACTTAAGGGGTGGACTGGCTCATTGTTTTAGATGATGTTTTACGAGGGAAGCTGGTGGATAATACATTTTGTCTCTCTGTATATACAAATGATGACAAACATTTAATGTTGTCAAAATTATGGTTAGAGATCTTAGATAAGGCAGAGTGAAGCGTAATTTTTTACATTATGACTTGTGACATTGACAACAAAAATATGACGGAGTTTGGGGTTTAATTAAGGTAAAGAGAAGCAAAAAAATTTCATAAGTTACGATAGAATCACTAATTGATGAAAAGAAAAACCTGAAATGAAAATAGTGAACATTCAAACAACAAGAAAAAAACTCAAACTATATAGTAATAGTAAGATCAAATTAACATTAGTAAAAAAAAACGTGATTTAATACATGAATACAAGTTGCATCTCACAATGCTTCTAGAATTAATAAAGTTGTTTGTTAGGAAATTCAGTTTTTAAAGAGCAGAATTTAAAAAAAAAAATGCTTTGTAATACGGACTATACAACAAGACAATCATATTTAAATACATTTTCATACGAATAGAAATAAAAGGGAAGCTACTCTAAATAACAATTTCTTAAGATGGCTGCTGTTTTTAATAGCAAATTTACTATCTCGAACAGGGTTGATAAAAATTAATTTCAGGATATTTAAATTGATTTAACCACAAATGGTGATCTATTATTCAATTATTTATAATATTTTATCAAAATATACGAAAATATACTCATATTTAATGACATATTCATTAATTCACTCTCTCCTACATTACTAGTTTTGGCCGAATTTACGACGCTAAACTAAGATTTTACCTAAAAATGTATCAATAATAGCTAGAACACTAGTAAACTAAGCTAATTTAGCATATTTTAACTTTCTGTGCAAAGTCATTATTACTGAAAAAAATTCCAAAGTCAGGTCAGCCTGTGGCACCCTCCACTGAACGTGACAGAAGGAAAAAAAAACTTCACCCGTGACCTTCATTAAAACAGAATTTGCTTTTGTTTTATTTTTATTTTTGGTAAACATGTGCTTAATCTTACCCAATAAGTGATAAAAATTTGAAAATTAATTTTAATTACTGTTGTAAAGTGAGATAAACAGCTTAATAAACACATGCTTTCTTGAGGGGGTGTGGCCCGGGTGTGGCACATCGCAATTATAACTTTATATTTCTGTGTTTTATGACTATATTTGTTCACAATTAGCATGCTATGTTTTTTAAATTGATAAAAGGTAAGTATACCAAGTTACAAAATCCGCAATCTAACTAATAATTCATACTTTCAATTTAAAAAATAATAAAAACGATCATCAACGAAGAAAGCGTAAACATTCTATTTTTAGGTATGACATAAAAAACAGTCATAAATCTAGCCAAATGATTGGATTCTTGCGCGGCACACATTTTCCCGCGCCTCGTTTTCACCAAACAAGAATATAATAAAATGGCATTATTGAGGGGTGATCACTTACACCCTCAAATGTATTGTTTTCACCCTAATTTCATTAAACAATTCAATTTTTATTTGATAGTAAAGATGTTATAAAAATTGTAAAAAATAAAAAAGTTATTGTCGAGCGCACCTGCTTTAGTTAATTCGACTTGAAACGCAAGCTAAATAAGCGTGACTTTCTCTCGACGGCCTCGTTAAATACAAACAAAGAAATTAGGCCAAAAGTAGATCCGACAATTCTTAAACAACAGACTTAAATAGAAACGGATAGTTCCGATGTCTAAAATTAACGATGGCTTCGTAATCATTAGTTTTATCCCTCTACCCATTAGTGAAAGCGAAACTGGTCGCCATTTTTGGTAAGCGCATGAGCCGTGAGATGGCTTCAAAACAACAAACCCGGAAGCTGTGAATTCGAACGGCCTATTTTAAATTTTTTTTTAAAATCTCGTAGATTTAGATCTAGACTAGATCTAGTCTTCAATCGGCCACCCTATTTTTCAAAACAAAGTGTGCAGTTTAACAGTTTTTTAAAAACACAAAATAAATAACAATTGCTCGTTGATTTGAGACCTGGAACTAGCTCTGTACAATTTCCCTCTAATAATATTTTCAATTGATTTTTAATGGAATTTTTGGAATAGGCCCTCCCTACCCAAACTAAACAAAATCATGATGATTTTATATTATTAGGGGCCTAGGCCTAATTAAAATAATTATTAACCATGATATTGATTTGTTTCAAGAAAAGAAATTCAAAGCATGTTAATATGAAATAGGCCTAAGCAGGTAAAGAATTAATAAAGAATACAATTAGCGAGACAAGATTCAGAATGGTCAGTTTACAAAAATTAGAAATTTCATCCTTTTTCAAGTTAATAAAGTACGGTAGGCCTATCTAAATAAACTTTAAACCATATTGAAGCACATGATGTTTTTAATATATAGGCCTAATAAACAAAGAAACATAAAACAATCATTCTGCAAAATAATATAAGGCATCCTTCCTTAACGACGAAAATCGAGAATTTTCATTACCTAACATCGTGCAAAAAGTGTCCTTACTTTTAAGAAAGTAATACAAAGCATTACTTTGTTATAAAAAAATTAAATAACTATACTATGAAGAAATTCCATGCATTCTAAAAACTGACGACATAAGATAACTAATTAAACTGAAATTCTTTTTAAATGATCCTAATTGTTAGTTTTTTGATGTTCATCAAGTTTAGGTCCCTAACCATGACATATTTAGCATAAATTACTTGTAGCCAGTATATTTATTTCTTCTAGTTAGTTATTGATCAATGTTGATCAACTTCTGGAAATGTCTAGGTTAGTAATTTATACAATTATCAGAAATCTTAGCAGGTTCAAAAAGACAGGTCACTATCCTGATTTGGAAAGTTCTCCACAAGGTTTGGTAGCATTGTAATTAATAGTCAATATCTTGGTTGAGTTTGTCTTCTTCAAGGTTTAGAGTAGCATTGTAATAAATGATAGTGAACTGGCAGCACATGTAAAAGTAAAATTATGGAAACTAGGATCCTTCCATTGGTCCAGAGTATAGAAAATGTCTGTGAATAAAAAAAATATACTGACTTATATAGTAGGCCTGTATATCTTTATACCATCTTAGATATCAATCATGTAACATTACATCATTATAAATAAGCTAAGTGCAGAAAATACTAACATCTGACATATGGTTTCCTTCAAAAGTATTCAGGAGTCCTTACACAAATACATATTTTTTTGGCAGACCTTTCAGTTTCCCCTTTCTTTTATGCTAATATCTTGCTCTGTAAATAGAATAATATTAAAAGTAAGGCTGCTTTTTAGACAAAATATAAGCACTATAGATAGATCTAGTTATACGACAAAATATTAACACGAAAGCAATACTGAATCTAACTAGATCTAGAAACGATTTTGGACTAAACTATTATGGGGAGGGGGGGGGGGGCTACATTTTATTATCAAGTCATCAGTTCAATAAACCTTGAGATAAAAACAACGATCATAGTATTCTAAAATTTAATGTAAATACTACACTTATATAGAATAGTTAACTATTAAACTAGGAAAGACAAAATAAACAACGCTACAATAAATTGAAAGTATGCTGTTAACCGCTGCAGTAATATATTAAAAAAGGCGGACAATCGGCTTGAAATACAAGCGGCTTCAAATATCGACAATACATTGATAGTTTAATCCGTCGATGTTAATAATTAATAACATTCACAAATACAAATTAAATTCTATCACACTTTTAAACATCTTTTTAATTTAACTGTGCATTCCTTTTTTATTTTGGTAATCTTTAATTAAATACAAAGAACTTAGAAAATAGGCTTGATAATTTTTTGGTCAATGTTTTTTTAAGCGCGAAGCAAGTATTTAGGAGTCCTGTTGTTGCTTACACAAACAATACATATTTTTTGGTAGGCCTTTCAGTTTCCCCTTCTTTTATGCTAATATATTGCTCTGTAAATAGAATAATATTAAAAATAAGGCTGCTCAATGCTTTTTAGTAATTTTAGTTATAAAATGTAAGCACTATAGATAGTTCTACTACTAGATATAAACATGAAAGCAATAGTGAATCTAACTGATCTAAGTAGATCTAGAAACAATTTTGGACTAACCTTTTATGGAAGGGGGGGGGGGGGGGCTACATTTTATTTTAAAGTCGTCAGTTCAATAAACCTAGAGATTAAAAAAAAACGTTAACTATCGTAGTATTCTAAAATTTTATGTAATTACTGCACATATCTATATATATATAAATATAATTCTCTTGATGGAGACCATAGAAAACACCAAGCTGTAAGTGCGCCTAGCAGCCCCCTCTCTTCCTCTCTTACAAGGATTTGTCTTTTCCAAATTTCAGCAGATTTCCAATTTTTTAAATAAATAAAAAATTGTTCATTATGAATATTTTCAGCTTAAACAGCGGTACTATCAGAATGTTTTTTTTCTAAAATGTTTTGTTGTTTTCAAATATCTCCTAAACACTATTTATTAAAAATTCATAGTTAAAGTAAAAGATTGTTTAGAATCCTCTTTAGACCAATCAGTCCATTGAGCAGATGAAGTCGAGTTCATGTGTTTCTTTACCACGGCTTATGAAACTAGCAAGCAAGTTGTTTTCAGCAGCACTTTGCACAGCCATCTTTAATTTCCCAAAATTGAGTTTGGTACCCATCAGAGATGGGTGGACAGGGATGTTCTACTGAAATATTCAAAGTAGGCCTAAGCTAATTTCAGCTATTTTATTCCATCTCATTGTCCACCACACTCACTAAAAATCAGGATCTTTATTTCTAAAGACTTATATTTTAAAAATATAGATACATTAAGTGCTTTATTGCAATAAATTGAGCTGCATAAACCATTTTGCGTCTAGTTAAAAATTTTTCCAAATTTTGTTCTATGTTTTTTTTTACATCCCTAACAGTAGGCATATGTATGATTATTTTATTGGTCTAAAAAAGGTCTATTCATTTAATAAAGTTATTAAACATACCCACATGTTCTTTGAGCATAGAAGTTTCCTTACTTAACCTAACCTCAGATCTAACTAATATTATATTTGGGATGGATCATGTTATCAATAAAAGGCAACTCATAATAGTGCACTCTCTTTTGTATCTTACTTTTTGTTATGGCTTACAATAGCTTATATTATTTGTCTTCTGTTTTTACTTTCAACTTTGTTTTTGTTCTGATGGTACTTAAGTAATTTTTTTTTTTGCTCTCATTAGCCATACCTCTATCTTGAATTGATCATTAACTGTTGTAAAGCATTATTGATAAAAGAAAGGTGCATTTAAGACAAAATTATGTCTATGTTTAGATTGGTAAATAGTTTTATTAATTAATATTATTGTTTATTTCTTTTTATTATTCAGAATGATGATAAAGATTCAACTAACTGCATACCCATATCTAGGGTATTGATTATAATGGAAGAAGAGAACTGAATAGATTGGTTTGCAGATATTGTGCTTGAAACTAAGAAGATTTTCCATACATAATTTTAATGAAGGTGAGTTAAAGTAAAAAAAATAGTATTAATTATAATGTTTGTGTATGTAGTACTCAATACTAAAAAAATATCAAATCAATAGCAATATAACTTAGTCTGAGTGGATTTGAGATTTTGAAAAGTAAAAAACAGCATTAAACAAATTCACTATTTTATTTTCCCATTGCTTTATCTGGTCACTTCTTCCTCAGACAGCTGTAACTAACATCAATTAAAAACATGATGGAAAAACAAGATGCTAATAGCCATGCCGTGGACAGGGTTGCAGATTTCAGTCAAGGCTCACCGGTTGACCTCACACCCCCAAAGTAAATATATTTAAACACCACTAAAATTATTTGATGATTCTAGACATCCACAGCATATTACTTAATTTCGATGTATTACAGTGTAACTGTAATTTTTTCCTTTGAAATTTTAAAATAACTTTTTTTTTAATTCACAGTATAAAAGATGATAAAGTTTCAGAAATTCTGGTAAGTTATAAGTGTATGACAGTGTAGAAAATTGTAATGTTTTATGTATGTTACTTTATCTGCATAAATACTGTACCACATTTCATTGCCATGTCATGGAGTTTTTAAAAAATCTGACACAAAACTTTCTCTAGCAACAAGTTTCTCAGCTGTCAGAAATGGACCAATATATGTTGTACCTGCAGCTTCCAACTGGTGATAACACTTGTGATGTAGCAAAGGAAAAGTAAGTTGAGATGATATGCTATATAAATAATGGGTGTTGGTTATAAAAATACTTTAAATTTTAAAAATTGAAAGCATGTCCACGTCATTTTCTTTGATGATTTAATGTTAGATTTCCACATACATCGTCTCACATTACCCTTGATCCTATTTAAAGCCCCCTCACATCAATGGCCAAAAGGACAGATGCAGCTGTAAAATGGATCAAACAGAATTATACTGAGAGTCCTGGTGCATCAGTGGCAAAAGAAAAAGTTTATAAACATTACAGGTATTTCTTTCAACATTTAAAACTAACTTAACAACCATGTGCTGGGTTTGTTACATTATGTTTGTTAGTTTACACTGTTAAATCTGTTAAATTATATTTTTTTATTTCACACATTTTTTCCTAAATCTTTTGAATTCATGATTATTTTTATAGGGAGGAATGTGAAGCTGATGACAACAAACCACTCTGTATTGCTGACTTTGGAAAGGTGATGAAGCTGGTCTTTCCCAAGATAGTTCATAGAAGACTTGGCCAAAGGGGCGAATCCAAATATCCTTTCATTTGTGCTTTATTTATTAAAAAATTATTTTGTGATAATTTTAGATGAAAAAGCTTACATATTATTGCAGCTTAAATGCGCATTAATACAGAATGTAACCCAACTTCTTTACATTTGAGTATCACTGTTTAAAAAGATATACGTAGCAATATTTTCCAGTCTAGTGTCTAGAAATTGTTAGCCTTAACTTTTTTTTTACATACTGTTATGAAGGATTAAAAAGGAAGGGAGTTAACTCCTCTTCCATCTGTAAAGTCTGTAACAACCCAACTACAGTTGAGGTAGGTCAAATTAGATACCTTAAAATAAAAATCATTGCATCTTACAATTTATTTTTTTATGCACCTCACTGCAGCTCATATCTTATTTTTAAAAATTTTGTATAAAAAATGTGCCTTAAAATTTTAAGCAACACGATGTTTGTCAATTACTTTCAGTGACCTTTTCATTTCAGAAACCTCCCCCAGATATTAATTTACTTTCCTGCCAGCTTGTTTGTGAATGGGCTTCACAGTTACTAGGTCGTCAGCTGACTGATATAAAAAGTTTGTCAGAGTATCTTGTCACTATTGGCTTCTCATGTGGGAAAACCGCTGCCAAGTTCAGTCTCTTGTCTGGTAGCACAAGTAAGATTTATTGAAGGGTTTTACTAAGGCTAATATAGGGTGAACCTACTTGCAATCTGTTCGTAGTAAAGTTACCCCTTTTGACCTAGTCTCCATGGTGCAGATGAAGGGATTGTGAATCTTTCTTTACTATCTCTTAATTAAAGCAGGTTTAATTACTCATAAGTTAAAACCACCAAGATGTTTTTAACCAATTTATCATTTGTTTTTTTGCTGCTCATTCAGTCATGAAAGCTCTTTAATAAAGGGGTTGACTTTCTATGTATTGATCTGCTTTATATTATGTGTGCTCACTTTAGTCAGTTTTTGTAACTCACTCTAGTTTTTGTGGGTTTTATGATGTATTATAGATCAGAACATATGTAGGACTTCATTTAATTATCTTTTCTATGTTTAGTAAAACGTAATTGTTGTTATTTTACTGTTAATATTTTGCCTTAGTTTTCACATATATATTTTGGTAAAAAATGTATGCTTATAATGTGTTTTTTGTCATGTAGGTCCACCAAAATTGAAAGATAAAAACAGAAAACATAAAGATGGGCAGATTTTGCTTCAGCGTAAACTTCATCAGAAAGAAATAATTCGCAAGCACAAACAAAAGTTGCTGGAGCAGCAAAAACTTGAGCATCAGCCAGCTGAAACCAACTCCCCAATAACAGCCAGCCTTCTTACAAACGATATTCTGCCATTCCCTAAGAAAAAAGTTCGCCCTCGTCCATTGTCAGTTCAGCCATTGATTCCCTGTTGGAATCAGAATGGTAGCTCTACCATGAACACGCTAAGGAATGAAAAGATGGATGTTAAGTCTAGTTTAGATTTAACTTCTGGGACCATAGTTCCCCAGGCCGGGACCAAACTATTAGGTGACCAGAATAACAGACTACTGAATTTAGTTTTACTAAATGCAAGTGGGAGGAATTCTTTAATTCTTCCAAAACGCTGTCAAAGTGCCAGTGTGGTGGAGAAGTATTCTAGCAACAATTTAGAAGGTTGTCATCAGAATTCAGAATTCTGCCCTCCGGACAATATAAGTACGTCTGAAAGTATGCAAAAGTCATCTACAGTACATTCAACAACGGGACCACAGATTATTTCTGCACTATCCAAGGTACTCCAGCGTAACAAAAAAGTCTTAGAACCTGTAACATTAACAAATGAAAACCCTGTTTCCCAGCAGAATAAAAGAAATGGGGAAAACATCGGCCAGTGTGAGAATTCAGCAACTAAAAGAAGGTGCATGACTTCTATTGGAGTTAAAAAACAAAAAAGCCTAGAGAACGATGCTTATAACAAAGCCAGTCACTCGGCTCGTTTGAGACCGTTCTCTTGTCCGGTCTCTGTGAACAAGAAGATTTCTCAACAGCAGCCAGAAATAGTTAGTGATTGTGATAGTAAAAGTGAAAGTAAAGAAACTTCACCCACTGAAGATCCCATCTCTGTCGACTGCCAAAGAGAGGAAAAAGAACAACAACAAAATGAGGGAAATAAATATCATTTTGTCCAGAAGCCTACTGTGATAAATCGTCCAATCATGCCCAATGTTGTTTCATGTCCAGACTTCCAACAGCTCTCATTAGACACATCGCCTGAGCAAATCTCATCGTCAGGAAAATTAAGCTTCAACATTCTGAACACATTACTCTCATCAAACTGTGATAAAACTCCAGACTTCTGGCACAAGTCACAAAGCCTGCCCTCACACACACTGCCAGTGACTTCCCCTTTCGTGTCCACCTCTCTCCACCCCAAGTCATCTCCTGCTGAGCTTGATGCCCTGCAGAACGGCCAGTTGAGGCCGCAGAACAATCTCTCCAACTCTACAGAAAATCCTGCCATTCTGTCCACGCCATCTAGTCGTAGTGCTTTCGTCCCCGTCACCAGCCACAAACAGTTGGCTGTCAGTTCCATTTTGACAGAAACAAGTGACCTGGCTTGTGAACATTCCCCGGCTAAGAATAAACTGACAGTCTCCTGTCCTTCTATCAATCAAATTAACAACACATGTGCTGAGCCACTGCCAGATGAATCTCAGTTGTCACATGATGAAATACCTAGTTCACAGAGCTCCACGAACAATACTCAAATAAACTCAGAGCCCTGTAACAGTGTGGTGACTTCATGTGAATCCACCATGAATCACGAACCAACTCTCCAGATGTCTCAAAATGTAGAACAATCTTCCACTTGTGTGAGTATGTCCGCGCTAAGCACAAGTTCAGATCATACGGAAAATGAGCCTGTGTTTTCAACTTCATCAGCTACCCCCACTGTGCAGACCAAACCTTCAAACAAGTGTAACCCACACACTAACCAAACGGGCAGGACAAGTCCCAGTTCACAGGTCATCAAGACCAGCTTGCCAGTTACACCCCCTAAACGAGCTAACAAGAACAGATTCACTCCCATCCGTCCTAAGCTGGGTTCCACAGTCTCCTCCCCACAAAAGAGTGTCTCCACACTCTTGAAAGAGCAAAGGGTGAGGATCACCCAAGATTTAATTGTCAACCTGGCCAACAGCTACCAAGGGGAGGTAAAGCTCCAACTCCCTGTGGAACTTCTGGGGCTGTCCTCCCCTGGAATGTCAAAATCTGCTGATGTGCTTGTAACTATCGGACCACCAGCGAACACTCTCTCCAACAAAACCTTGCAAGCAGGAAACAATCTGAACCAACCTTTCCCTAATAATTCAACAACAGAAGGAATGTGTATAGAGAACCAACAGTTGTACTACCCCTCCATACAGTGTCGAGCTAGTCAGCCTCTAAGTGTTCAGGTGTTGAGCCACAATCTTGATAATTCAGTCTCCTCCAAGTCTTTCATGTCTCCTGTGTCCCACAACGATTCCTCATTAGTTTTCCCTGCAGACAATGCCCAGCTTCTTCTTGTTTCTCCATCCAAAACATTTGCTAGCCAACCTGTGATTGTACAGGACGGGAGTGGCAACAAGTTTGCACTTGACCAGACTATCTTACCACAGAACCTGACGCAGCTCTACAGTACTGCTCACATGGGCCAGTCAGATGCTAAGCTAACCTCTGCCCACAATGAGGTTAATAAATGTGAGATCAAAGGTCATGTTATTGGACCTGATGCCAAAGGTCAAACTTATTTACTGGTTCCAAATTCTGACAGATCGCCCGCTGACTCTGTGTCATTAAACCCCTTGTCATCTCAGCCAACAAAGCCAGAGCTTCTCACAAAAAGCCTTCCAACCTTACACAACAACAGTAAACCAGGCGGCAGACTAATCCAATCATCAATGACGCTTTCGTCAGAGCTCCTGACAGAACTGAGCCAGATAGCAAGCGCTGACCAGAACCAAATACGACAACACAACTCCACCCTGTCAGCTTTCCACAAGTGTTCCAGCCACTCCCAGCTGGACACAAACACACCCAAACCATGTGATACCAACACTGAGGACAAACAGAACAATTTCCTATTGTTTGACTCACTAGCTAACCACCATAACATACCTCAGGGTGCCTCAAACACCCCAGAGACAAAACCATCAGCACAGACAGACACAAGGACAACAGACACTGGTGTTTACCAGATGCAGAAAGCCCAGCAGAGGCTGGGGAAGAGGAAGGCTTGTAAGAGTGGGAATGAAGAATGCAAGGACAAGAAAAGGTTCAGCAGTCCCAGGGATATGGAAAAAGAAGTGGATGATGAAGTGTTTATTATCAACATAGAAGACAACCAAGAGGCCATGCGGAGTAAACCAGGCCTGCAGCTAGACACACCCTCAAAGCCAGTGACTAGGGTAACTGATTCCCAGGGGTTGAACAGTACAGCCGAGGCAGGGGAAATCAAAAACAAATTAACCGACATGGAAGCCCTCTTGGATTTGATTCCGAACCGCAAGCTGATGACGGTCAAAGAGACTGTGATGGCTCTACAGGCGCTCAGAGCTCAGCTCAACAGCAGGAGGAAAAGTTCAGAGGTCAGTAAAATGGAGTCGGGTCCCGAACATGAAGTCTTAAACACTGTGGTCCCCATGTCCCAGCAAGCACAGACTCACCTGTCTCAGGTGAGCCACTTGCTTACGTCCTCACTCAACACACAGACTCCGCAACAGATGGTCAGCAGTGTTAAACCAAGACAAGAAACCCAGGTCAAACTATCCACCCCTAAAAGGAGATGCAAGACTGAGTGTTCGTTTTATCCAGATGCTTATTCATACTCTGAAGAAGTCAAGTATCAGAAGGTGGATCACACAAACATAAGGAGTATAAGTCTCAATTTGGAGAGCTTAGAGAGTGATGCATTGTTAGACAGTGAGCAAACATTGGACCATAAACTTGTGGCTGATATTAATGATGGACTCTCAGGAAACTCTGATCTCAAAACATCAGTTGGTGTATTAACAAAAGCAACCAAATCTAAAGTTGCAGCAAGTTTGTCTGCCCAGTCCAAGATGAGGTCTAGTGTGGGCAGCATGCATGAAATGGAGCCCATGGGTCTTGGTGTTAAACCTCTACATGTTATTGAGCTTGATGAGCACCCAGTCAAAAAGGAACCGTCCTTAGTTTCAAACAACATTCCTGATGGACCAGCCTTGAAAGTGTCATCCAGTGCTCATCAGCACACCAATGTCTCAAGCTCACTCAACGACATGGCCCACAAGCCATCTCATGCTGAGAAGCAGCAGCCCCACACAGGCAGTAAAGGCAAGGTCTCTGATAATCCTACTATTGTCAAGTTCTTAACCGGGGCTTTCACTGACAGGACAGCCCTGTCAAAACCCTACAATCACAACTCATTACCTGACCAGAGTCCTATGGAAACTCTTTCGACCTCCAAGGATGAATCAGATGGTAATGAGTTGCCCATTGACATAGTAGACTTCATCACTGAGTCCATGTCGTCCAGGAGACAAACGTCCATGTCTACATTTTACAACAGCTCATCCCTGCTGGCTGATCTATTCAGGAATGACTACCAGGTTACCGCTGGGGTTGATATGGATAGCTCTACAGCTTGGAGGAGTCTTTCTGCTCCTAATTCTACAGATGAGCACTTTAGTATGGGACCAGGTTCCTTTCAGAAAAATCCCACAGAAAATCAGCAATTTTATGAATCAGAAAGTTCCTTTAATTTGTACAACGATGGGCAGTACCAGCCAAAGGTTACCATTTCAAAATCTTCTCTGCCATCTAGTCCATCATTGTATGTGGATTCACCTCACAATTCTGAGCTGTCTCACAGCAAAAAAACTGATTCTTCCATGCAGATGTCTGTGAATGATGGTACATTCCTTAGCCCTGTGGGTCCAGCTAGACTCACTAGAAGATTATCTGTTGAACGTTCTGTTTCTGGTGATAGGAGTGTAAACAAAACACCTGTTGAATTTTTGGGGAATAAGAACGACAGGCCGTCATCTAGGTTGAAACAAGAGAAATCCAAATCTAAAACACCAGTGGATAGATATTTGGCTAAGACTCCAGTGGACAGGGCTGTTTCTAGGACGTCTATAGAGAGACCAGGTGATCAATCTAGTGGAGATCCAACACAGGCAACCTCCGTCATCCAGCAGCCAACACAGACATCCATCACCCAGACCACATCAGCCATCCAGCATCCAACTCAGACAACCTCCATCATGCAGCATCCTACACAGACCACCACCATCATGCAGCACCCAACTCAGACGACGTCACAGCACCAGAACATCATTGAGAGGTCTGCAATAAAGCTGGCGCTGATGTCTCCAGACAAAACCTGCAACAGAACTGATCTCTCCTTGTTCTCTGGCTCCTGGTCCAACTTGATGGAGAGCAACAGAGGAGACCGGTCACTAAACCAGACGCCCCTGTCTGATGGCGGCTACAGCAGCGTCAGCCAGACCCCCATCTCAGACATTGGTTACAGCAGTGTCAGCCCAAGCCCTGTCTTCATGACCGCCCCACACCTGTATGTGGACTGTGAGCGCAGAGAGCTCACATCCCCAGCCACCATCTTCCAACCCCTGAGGTCTGATAATAATTTAAACAGTTTCAGCTCCAGGCACCACAGTGTTTCAGAGACAAGTTTATCCAAGTCCAACAGCTTTTATAACAAAGCCTTAGATTCTCCAAACTTGACGTGTTCAGACAATTCTAAAGTTGACACCCAGCAGGGCTCTGTCACCCTGCAAGATGGGGCTGTGTTTGATATGGATCTGTTTGATGAATCCCACTACAACAGTAAAATGGCTTCCCCTATGGTGCAGAGCATGTCCACCCAGCTGCACTGCATCCCAACACCACCCTCCAGCCCATCTTCACCAGTGCAGAACAAGCAAGAGCCTGGAGGTTACTCCTCACAGGGCAACACGCCTGCCTCAAAACAGTCACAGACACAGCAGTGGGCAAACCAGAACGCCAGGACAACATCCGCCTCACACAGCGGCAGCCAGAGGTCTTCCACAAAGTTACAAATCATCCCCACCAGCCCTACAGTCATGTCCAACCTGTCCCCCACTAAACAAGGGCACCAGTACAACCCTCACCCCTCCCCACCATTCACACCAAGCTCCCAGCGCTGCCCCACCCCCTGCTCCCACATCTCCTTGATCTCCCCCCAGTGCACCACCCCCAGTAGCGACTCCAACTCAGCCCCCAACCGCTTTGTACCCATACAGACTTCAGGCATTCTGGCCATCTCATCTGTTGGCTCACAAAGCTACATTCAACCAATCAGACCCATCGTTACAATCGCCAGCGCTGCCAATCAGAATCTCTACAACAACTGTTTACTGTCTTACAACTCACAGTCCAGTGATATTGGCACACTCAGCTCAGGTATTAAGTCCAGCAGTATCCCAATCTCCACTTCCACCAGCACTACAAGCAACTTACACTGGGCTATGAGGAAGATCAACCCAACCCCTCAGCAATCTGCCCCTGCTCTTGTCCTCTCACTGAGCGGGGCTATCGGCTCTGTGTCTGGTAGAGGCATGAAAGACGGCTGGGGTGGTCAGGACAAGACCTCGGCCTACGGTGAAACCAACAGTTCCCAGAACACCCCTGGCCATCAGACAGATGTGACTGACAACAACCTGTCAAACCATTTCCTACCTTCTTACGAAGAGGCTGTGACACTGCTGACAGGAAACAATACTAAGAAAAAATCCCAGAGATCATCAGTGGCGGCTCAGCTTGAGTCCAACGCGCTGGAGAAAAGTCGTAACGCACATGATGAAAAGAGCCAACACTCCATACACGATACATCCCAGGCTTACCAACATTACAATGAAAAAGACTCTGGACACCAGAATACAAACCAGAAACCTAAAGAAGCCAGGAAAGACACATTGACTTCCTTGAAGACCAAACCCAGCAGGAAGCCGCCCACCTCGGATTACTCCACCGTCTTGTGTTCCACCAACCCCCACGTCACCTACAGGAGCTCCATCGACTGGAAACTTTCCCAGCCGGTCGTATCCAGCAGCGAGACGAGGCTTGACCACGCCATTAACTCGGACATACCCACCGCCTATTATTCTGGCACCGCCCCTAATAAAACAGCTTTCAGCTCCGCCGCCATAACTTCTGACCAAATGACCAGCGTCCACCAGAGCCAGCAGTCACAAACCACAGCCTACCTTGAAGCCCAGCTTATAAAACTGAGCGCATGCCTGGACAAGAGGCCAGATGGCCCTAACCAGGATGACCTTGATGAAACGTTGGATGTACTTAAAAACCTGGACAGCAAATATTTCCAGCAGTCTGATGATTATTGATGCTAAGACTTATAATTTAGGGAGACCTGTAATTCTAATGATTTGTAAACTTGGATGATTCTAATGACTTATAACAACTTGGATGATTTATGATTCTAATGACTTATAACAACTTGGATGACTTATGATTGTAATGACTTGTAATTAGTTTGACTGAAGCAACTGTGCATGTTCCAGCCAGTAGCAGATGTGAATGTTGTAGATTGTTGCTGTACACAGCCAGCCACTAGATGTAAATCTCTCCACCAAATGAAAGACATTGGAACAGTGTGTTCTGTTGATTCACCAAGGTGGCGTTTGTTGACTTGTAATGATTGTATTATTTATTTTGTTACTGGGGTTGGGGAAAGGGGTTTATATACTGTAAATAGAAAATAATGTAAAATAAATCAATCTATATACACCATTCATTAAGTTGTTTCTTGATTGTCACCCTTTAACATAATTTATTTTGTTATGATGTTTTGTGATGATGTTATTTCTAAACTAGAATTATTATTTTTTTTTTGTTTTGTTACTGGCCAATATTAATAAGGTTAGCATCCATCAACAAAGGCTATAAAAAACAGTATTACAGAAACCTAAAATTATGAAAAAGGCAAACCATAGTCTAGTTCAAATTATTTTTTTCCTTCTAGACTGATTAAAAACTTCCAATTTTAGATGTATTTCCAAAATAGTATTTGTATGCTTATATTTGAGGACACTTATCCAACCAAGTACCTATTCCTGCCGAGACTGGTCTTAGCTTTGTGTTGTCGCGCCCATACCTTTTTCTAAGACCATAACATAGCACCGACTGGTATCGATGTAATGGGGGGAACATTGTTCTTAAATAAGTAAAGTTAAAGAATTTTTTATCAGGGATAGAAGTGTCATTGCGTTTTAAAATAAAAATGTTTTAAAAAGTTTGAAAAGCGATTAAATTTGAATACACTTGTAAAACAAATATCCATTCCACGCATCAACATCATATATTGGCAGACCTACACATTAGCCGTGCAACCGACACACTAACATTTTACCACAGGCTAACATTTCCCCACCCCCCCCCCCCCCCCGACAGTATGGCCGACTGGTTGGGGCGTGTCAAAAAAATAATTAAGACCCGTGTTACACCCAAAGTTGTTGAGTGCTGACGACAAATCTGGCGAAAGCGAGGACGGTTAGCCAGGTCAAGGGAATTGAATTGCATAAGAGAGGCCAAACATAAAATCCATTTGGTAAAAATATTGCTTACATTTTTTTAAAACGCATACATTTTAATTTTGTGACGTAACAGCCAACACCTTTAGAAAGTTGGTCTCTCTAAAACCAATAGCTATAATATAGATTTAAGGTTTACAAAGAACAACACGACTCTCATTGGTTTACAAATTGTATTATTATTGGTATGGCACTCGTTACATAAATAGTATACTTTACAGTGAAATCAAATTTTATGTTGAAACCTAATTATAAATACAGATTGCAATTTGACTAGAAGAACTTTGTACTTCATTCGCTCTTGGTCAGGTACACGTAAAGAATGAAACCAAATAAATAAAATTGATAGCGTTGAAGAACGACTAGGAAGGATGTCCGTTAGAATGATGGATGCTGTGATATTATTAATGACGAACGCATGCGTGATTCTGTTTCATGAATTATGACAAAAAAAATAATTACAAAAACAAACAAAAATTTATACCAATTTCTAAAGCTTACTTTAAGAATTAGATATAGATTAGTTGTGATTATCTCCTTTCTGCCTATAAAACTTGCTAGTAATAAAATAAATTTGCCGGTAAAGAATGTTTAGTGGTAGAATAAGGTGGACGATTATATTTATAACAATAAATTTATTCAATGTAAAATTATGTTAGGCACTTTAGTAAACTGACACCGGGCTGACGCGAGTACAGATCCTTGTACTCACCAATACACCCGCATGTAGGCCTACATATTTCTTACCATCTTTATCCTAGAGGCGTTACCGTACATAGTTCTGGGTTTAGGGTGTTTGATAAGAAAAGCTATCCTACATCAGGTACACGAACATGTGTATGTACACGATATCTTCTGCAGTAGGCAAACATCGTTATAGGGTCAATGAATAAAACTGCTTTTAGGGAGTGAGGCATGTAGCTGTTTTTTTTTGTAATAAAAAATTACACCTAAATGACACTCCCCTCCCCCCCCACTCCTCGCATCCACATACATACTCTTCCCACTTGGAAAAACATTTTTTTTTTAAATAAGCCACGAAGCACGAATAAGTACGAAGCAAGCTGTGAGAATCATTTCATTCAGAGACTAAAGCCTGAAGCTCAATAGTTGCCTATGTAATTATGTTTACAATAATAGAAATCTTCCAATAAACAGTTGTGTAGGTATATAAATAGGTGCTTGGGTCAAGCTCGCCCTCTCTCTCTCTGTGGCTGATACATTGTATATAGGATGAAACGTGAAGGTCTGTGCACAAACCTACCCTGGCCTGTATACCCACAAAATACTTTGCGATAAGCTTAGAGTAAGCTCAAATGTATAACTAGCTAGGCGTATAAAAGCTAAATTCATTCATTTTAAAGATTATAGTCCTATTGTAAACGAAATTGGCGCCTACACTTTCAACATTAGTTTTCTGATTATTTCAATGATAAAATACACGGCGCATTACATGAGGCGACATTGTGGTGAGTAAAAAGGTCATGCAGTCATCATCTCCGCCTACTGATATCAGGTCCCGACCCAATATACCCACCCCCTCTTTTTATATTACTTTTTTTTTATTTTTCTATTTCGAACGCGGGAGGGGGGTGGGTGGCACAAGAGAGATGCTTGAAAGAGACACTGATTTGGTTCAGGAGGGTTTCTTTCAGGCATCTTTTCAGTGCCCCCAAAGCCCGTCCACCGCCCCACCCCGGAGGAAATAGAAAAAAATTAATGTATAAAATATATACTTTAACAAGTATCCGCCACCCCACCCCCTCGACGGAAATTTAAGTGCACCCCCTTCCAAAAGTTTTAAGGTCCACCCCTCTGGAGAAAAAAAATGTCCGAAAGAAACACTGTGGTTCAGACGGCAGGAATAAACCTGCACGAGATTCCCACACGCTGTATAAGCACGAGTATATTACAGTTTACCTTATTCATATACAACATGCTGCAGTAAGCTGCGTCAGATTAATATAAGCATATGGAAACTTATTTCATTTTGCTATAACATGTATCGATTGTATCTACTAATCTACGTGCTCCTATACACAATTTCTTCATATTATATATATATATATATATATATATATATATATATATATATATATATATATATATATATATGTTTTTTTTATTAATTCATGCATGTGTGTGAGTGTGTTGTATCAAATCAAAACAAAAATAACGTACACACAACCACACTGCAATGTTGTCCTTACTCTAAACACCGCGACATGTGACAATGATCAAAGTTCTAGTCTATAGATGAGGCTAATGCATGTGGGGGGCAAACGAGTGCAGCTGGGAAATGAAGTCTCGGGCCACGGTGAGTGACATGGAGGGGTCCAGGTGGATGTCTAGGAACATCCGGGTCTGCCAGGGCGGCATGGACACGCCCACCCGCAGGACGCGGGCGTTGATGGATCTGGTCATGGGGGGTGTGGCGACCCACTTGCTGGTTGGTAGCTGAGGTGAAAAAGTTGAACCGGTTTAATTGGTGGAATAAACTCGACATTATTTCGATATTCTAGTAAAAAATTAAAACAGCAAATTTATAAAAACAAGAATATAATTAAATTTAAACAATGCTTATTCGTAGTCATATTTTAATTTATTGTTATTATTATTTTACAACGCTCTCTACAAAGTAAAATAAATTAAAATAGTATACTCTAAGTCAGTGGCGTAGCGAGGTCGGGTGTCACCCGGTGCGGCACTTAATGGTGTCACCCCCCCCCCCCCAGAGGCATAGAGACCCTTCCCAGGGACAAACTTTCAAATTTTCGATTTGCACCCCCCCCCCCCCTCAAACTTTCAATTTGCACCCCCCCCTCGAGTTTTTCTCTATATATTTTGCTATTTTTTGCCTTGGTGTCACCCCCCTAAATGGTGTCACCCGGTGCGGTCCGCACCCCCCGCCCCCCCTCGCTACGCCCCTGCTCTAAGTGCTAAAACGTGACATGCAGTTTGAAAGTGACTACACGATTTTAATTGCGCCCATTAATTGATATTATAAAATAATCCATTGCATTATCGATTATCAAGCAGTTACAATTAAAAAGCACGTGACTAATGTTAGGGGGAGTAAAAACGCTGGGCATAGTGCTGACCACACTATCTTTATATTCCGAGGTTACAGAAACAGGTGAACTCTACTTCACTTGCCCAATGGACCGCCAAGTTTGAAAGGGAACTTTACCTACTTACTATAATAAATAACAGTCTTCATCCTCTCAATATTAGACACAACGATGACTGTCAGTCAAATTTATTCTATGAGAATTTAATGTACTCAGCTATTGTATTACAGGGGTAACACTTTTACGACTTGATTTAGTTATTTATCTTATACCTTTTTTTTTCTTTACCTATCGAGCATGTAGTCCTACTCACCCCTAGGCATGCGCAGCAACCAATCTTCTTGGTGATTTTTGTCTGGGCCGCCGTGCCCGTGACCACCTCCATCTCAGCGCTGTGGAAGTTGCTGAGGGGGATGTTCTTGAAGGTGATGGTGCTGCGCTTGGAGACCTCCAGCTTGTAGCCCAGCTTGTCCGTCTTTTTGGTTGGGTCTTCGAACTGCTCAACATTAGCGTCTGTGGCACGCGGGGAGAAGGTGAGATTGGGATTCAGTTTGTAGAGGTAAGGCAAGCAAAAGTAGATTAGTTTAGGAGCAGGTAAAAGTGGATATTTGTAGCAGGTAAAAGTGAATGTAGCAGGTAAAAGTGGATATTTGTATCATGTAAAAGTGGATATTTGTAGCAGGTAAAAGTGGATATTTGTAGCAGGCAAAAGTGGATATTTGTAGCAGGTAAAAGTAAATTATATTTTGCTAGAGATCTTCGATATTAAGTTTTGGGATTAAAGAAACATTCTCCGTTAAACAGATTAAACGCTTGGATTAAAATTAAAGCAGCCTATTCGATGTTTTTATTGGACACATTGAATTGTGGGATTAAAATTAAAGCAACCTATTCAATGTTTTCATAAGTCAACATCTTGAACGTGGAAAAAATTGACTTTACATATAGCTAATAGAATGTGACTGGGCTCAATGGTCAGTAGCCTTAATTTCGTGACTAATACCAGGTACCGATTATTACTGAGTGGACTCTTTAAAAAAAAACAGGTTAATCCTCAAACCAGGATATTGACCTGGATTTGAACTCAGGTAATTCGGATTATCAATTTCACTTGGAATGTTCAAGTAGATGATTTGAGTTGGGGGTTATAAGTGGAATGAGGTGGGGGGGGGGGTTTATAAGTGGATCGAGATGGGGGTTATAAGTGGACTCGGGGTAAGAGGGGTGTCCGTGCAGGTAAGAAAAAATGAGAGACGTACCCTCCAGCGATAATATTTACACGACTCTCACCTGTGTAGGTTTCAGTGGACAAGAATAGGGCCCTCTTGCTCGTGAGCCCCACTCGCCCTCTCCCGTAGGGCTCTCGTAGAGTTCTCGTGCCCTCGACATCTAAGAACTGCACGTGCGTGTAGTACAGCCAACAGCTGCCCAGCAGGAACCGCTCACCGTCCACCAGCATACCTGTTTCCAGACAGGGGGAAAGATCAGTCAACTCTTATTCCTACGAAAATGAAAGTAATTATCTCCCTTGGCCGTGGCGTGCAGGTTAAAATAAACACGGAAGTGATAAAGCGAGGAAAAGATCAATGCAAGTAACGCCGGATAAAGAAAACACACAAAGGCTGCTTATCATATCTGCAGCTCTACATGTATAACTATAAGTATAAACCAACGTGAGATTTATTTGAATTTTTAAGCTAAAATTGGAGAAAACGATTTGAAGAACAAAATTATTGGAAACAAAGAATATATCTCAGAAAAGTAGGCCTATGCTTAACGAAACACCATGTGTTCAGCTTTTTGAATTGGAAGCGAATCGCCTTAACCTTTCAGGCCTTTAAAATCAACGTTTCTTTCAGACATTTTTCTTCGTGGGGGGGGGGGGGGGACGATCTCTCGCGACATCCGGGGGGGGGGGGGGCGAAGGGTGGATACTGGTTAAATTATTTATTTTCTAAATAAATTCTTTATTTTATCGCGTCGGTTCTCCCCCCTTCCCCCACACACCACCACCATCATTTGGAGCAGTGTTTCTACAAGACTATTTTCTCCGGGGGTGCACTTAAAATTTTCGGGGGGGGGGGGGGGGCGGACCCTGTCAAAAGTATATATTTTCTATATAAATTCCATTTCGTTCGGGGGGGGGGGGGCGGCAGACTTTCTTCGGGGAGGGGGGGGGGGCATAGCCCCCCCCCCCCCAAGTGATGCCTGGAAGAAACTCTGATTTGGAGTGATGCATGAAATAAACACTGGTTAAAATATGGATCGAAATAAGTGGTCTTAAAACATTTATGTAGGTAAATGTTTTTTTTTTTCTATTTATATTTTTTGAGGGAAAAACCCTCAATTCAAAACACAAAGATGAACACACAAAAAGCGACGCAAAAGCTAACGACATAATGACATAAATTAGATGGCTGATGTAGCGGATGTGACTCATTGATGCGTCTCTGTATCCATAGTTTAAACTCCATGTTTTGTGCTAGTAGGCGGTCATAACAAATATAGTCGCAGAGCTTAAGAGAAACAGAAAACTGGAGAGTTCATGGAGCCAGCTCATCATTTTATTAACAGGCGAGATTATATTATTGGATTCTTTGTCAATTCCACACAATTTATCGGACATTGAGTTCTTCTAAAGATTGACCAAGGCTCGTTTGAAAGTTAAACTAAAAAGCTCTTTCCTTACTTATAGGATATATGATATACCGCGATATTCAACGGCGTGGTAGAACGCACGAATGACAACCCGAAAGTCTCGAGTTCAAATTCCGGACTCGTCCACACAGCTCTAATGGGCACTAAGGCGGCTAGACATACTACTGATCACACTAACCCTTTATATGTCATTTAAACACCTTAATATGCCCCATCTGCATTGGGCACTGATCGAAAATAATGATGATATCAATATATTGAACTATAACTAATTGCCAGATATACTCAAATGCCTGCTACATAACTACATCATTTTTAAATTCAACAATCTCGGAGATGGATATGTAAGACTGACAACATAATATTTGATAAGCTGAATGGAAACGGTGGGAAGTAAACTAGGGCCATGAAAGTTTGTCAGAAAAAACACTAGCATTTTTCCAGCTCTAGTTTTAAATTAGACTGTTTTGGTCCATCTCAGCCAAATTGGCATACGCCATTAAACCACAAGCATTGATCTGTTTACAGTTTCCCGTTACCTTGTAAGAGCTGCTCGTAGGTCAGCGTCTCGCCAGTTTTCCTGTAGATGTCCAGCACATCTTGCTTGAGCAGGCTGCCCTCGTCCAGCACTTTGGTGTTGAGCTGGTAGAAGTCTGGGTGTTGGGTGTAGACCCGTTCCAGCGCCAGGCGGGCCCCTGGGTTCAAATCCTGACGTTTGAAGTCTTCCTCCTCGTTTTCTACCTGCTTGGTGGTCTTTTTGCGGAGAGTTTCACTCGGTGCGACCTATGGAGTTATGGTAAGAGATAAATTAGAGGAGAGGAAAAATTAGAGGAGAATTTCACTAGGGGAGGCGATCTATGGAGATATTGTAAGAGAAAAAATAAAGTAGAGTTTCACTAGGGGAGGTGACCTATGGGGATATGGTAAGAGAAATATTAGAGGAGAGTTTCACAAGGGGAGAGTTCCACTAGAAAAAGGTGTGTTTGTGTGTGTATGTGTGTGTGTGGGGGGGGGGGGGTCGATCTCTGGAGGTGTAGTCAGACAAAATTGTGCATTTTATTTATGAGACCAAGTGGACGTATATTACAAGTCAGGTTGCCAACTTTGATTCTGTTGTTTGACACTGATAATGCCCGACCCTAATGTTCATCTGAACCAACTCTGACGGGTTTCTGACTCGTGACGGGGAAAGTATGTTCAATTGGGGTTAAGCATACTGACCACATACTCTTTTCATGTCATCTTTTCGTGTCATTTATCATACTTACAAATAGAGTCAAACAACTTCATTACTATGGGCTATCACGCTAGAATGGAGGTTTCAATAGTGCAATAAAAATAATTACATGTTTTTTATTTATTAATATAAAAAATGTATGTAAGATTCCGTAATCGGAAGATGTAGCTAAAAAGGCGGTTGTGTGTAAAATAAAATAACATTTAATTAAAAGAATAAAGTTAAAGAAAACACAACAAAGACACTGCTTGTGTTTAAGTAGCCTCTATCACCCCAGGTACTTGTAAGTTAAGGGGGCCCTGATTCGGCTAATTATTTTAAAGAGAGCTAATTACCAGAACAAAATTAACTGGAACATCGTAATCTAGACCTAAACAGACGGTTAACTAAATCTATACATAGAATAAAACATTAACTTAAGTACTAATCTTAGTTCTGAAATTAACCCTAGCTCTAAACCTAATAATTAAACCATAATCTACTCCGAGTTAAAATTTGTACTCTAACAGCATTGAATCTAACAATTAAAGCTAAACTTAAGCATGGAACTTAGACCTCAGCAAAATATTCTAGCCACTTTAACCTACGACCCCTCCCCCCCCCCACCCCAAAAAAAAAAAAAAAAAAAAAAAAAAAAAAAAAAACTACCGCCTACCCTAAAGTACCTAAGTGGAATGACACATGTAGCAGTTACCAAAAAGCTCGAGGCCAGACACCAGCAGACGTTTCATCTCCAGGTGTGTGGCGGGTCTCTCACCTGTGTGGCCACGTACGTGTTGCCGTCGTTGGGCAGCGTGATCATCGGCCGGCCCGTCTTCTCCGCGGTCGTCTGCTTGGCCGACGCGGACGAGGACTGCGTTGTTGTTGTCGTGGTGGTGGTCGTCGTCGCTGTGGGGAAGGCTGCCAGTGACGTCATCTCAGTGCCGGCGGTTGAGGCGTTGGAGGTAGTCTGCTGGAGGGAGGTGGGGTAAGGGGTGGGGGAGAGAATAAGAAGAAATGAATTGTGAATTTAAAATAGAAATATATACTCGTTATTATAAGCAGCGAAACAAATAATGAAATTAAATTTGGAATAACATTAAACATCTTGTCATAAACTATACTTTCCAACATTGCAAACTTGACTGACTGCTAAGGATTACGAATTATACATCAGTATTACCTAAATTTAAACATATTAAACAAACATAATTTTAAAAGTAGGCCTAAAAACACGCATTATTATTATTTTACACATGTCGAGAAGTTAACTGAGCAAGTAAACTATTGCGTTAAGAATAACTATAAAAACTTCGAGCATTCGAGTAAAAAACAGCAATTATAACCTGACGAAACAAAATGCAACTAAATCTAAAAACACATCACTCAGCACAGATGTCAGTCTATTCTAGACTTGTCATGACACCCACTGCCACTGGCTGTCGAAATCGAAAGGTCAAAATTCATTGGTTGATATTTCCCGTAATTGACAGTAATCAGGGGAGGTAATTCAGGAAACCGGAAACGTCGTAGGCGAAACGGAAAGCGGACGATGTTATGGTGCATGGCTTGTTATCATATCGGAGCATCTGGCATGATGATTATTTAGATGTTCGTATAGAACCTAGATTGAAAACATATGTCTCTCTCTCTCTCTCTCTTATATATATATATATATATATATATATATATATATATATATATATATATATATATATATATATATATATATATATATATATATATATACATTATATACGTAAATATATATATGTGTCGCATGTATATGAAGTATATATATATATATATATATATATATATATATATATATATATATATATATATATATATATATATATAACATATAACATATAACATATATATATAACATATATATATAACATATATATATATATATATATATATATATATATATATATATATATATATATATATATATATATATATATATAACACACCCTGTGTGTGTAAGTCAAGATGAAGCAATATAACCGGGTCAACGGTGAGATAGTTTCTTTCAATAACAGTAACAAGTGAATAAACCGGATCTGAGACGGATATGATTTCTCCTGTGTCCGGAACTTGCCGTTCCGACTCGCGATTTTGAGGTTAGATCATCGGAAACATAAGCTACCAAAAGCCTTTTTGTACGACTGAGTTACACCTTTCTTTCAGTGCACACAGTGCGCATTAGACGCGCTGCTAGCAGTTTTAAATTTACCAGTTTGATATACAGCTTTCGCTTCTATCTGTTGGCAGTATAAATATAAATAAACGGACTTCGCTATAAAAGAATTCTTGTTACTCGACCTGATCCCAAATTGAAAGTATAGATAAGACCAATATCAAATACAAATTGTCCTAATGTAATCTCATAATCATTTTACCATCAACATAAATATCTAATATCATCTGATAATCCCAATACCATAAAAAATAGCTCTAATATCATCTAATGATTCTGTTACCGTCAACAAAAATATCTAATATCACGATAATCCTATTAACATCAACACATAGCTCTAATATCATCTAATAATCCTGTTACAATCAATAAATTGCTCTGATATAATCGGCCAAAAAACCACCTCAACTTAATCGGCGCATAACTACATCTTAATATTTTATTTCCATCAAAGTAAGTGATGATAATTTAACCGAATCCTCCCACTCCCAATTAGCAGTGACCACTATGAGCTCTACTACACATACTGCCTGATTGACCATCAAGTCCAAAAGGGTAACTTTACTTCATTTTTTTTTACTTTCAGTGTCACGCCAATTTTAAAAGGATGTCGCATTAATCTGTGACGTTTGCGAGTCTTACACTGGTCACATGACCTCAGCCACAATTTCTCTTATAAACAACGACAACAAATTACATTTTCTGACACATTTGCGTTTTATCGAAAGCTTCAGAGCTATTTTGTGTTGTTTTTCTTCATAAAAGGATCAGGTTTTAACAAAACAGTAAGTGTTATTAATGTACAAAAACAGCATGCGGTATCGCTACCACCAGGGTAGTTAGCAAACCCTACGTGTATGAGAGAGAGACTGGAAAGAGGGGTAGGAATGGAGGTAGGAGGGGGGGGGGGGAACAACACGTCAGATTTAAAGCAATGACGCAAGCAGCTTACAGCTTTTCTCACGCTTTCGTTTTCTAAAAAATTATTTTCTCCAACCATTCACCTGGGTACACCTACCTCGTTACTGCTGGAAAAATACCACATTCATATCTTAGGAGAGGGGAATCAAAGTGGATTCCATCTATTGAGTTATAGACAGTTTTTTTTTTAAGTTTTGAAAGGTAAAGAAATATAATAATGTGGAGGTAAAGTCCGTTTTATAGTCGAATAAAAGGCGGTGGGGGAGAGAAGAGAAACTATAATCACCTGTTAAAATTTATCTTCATCTAAATTTTCCTCCTGTTTGATTTAAATTACTTTGCCATTCATTACTTTTCTTTAAAAAACGCGAAATATATTTTTCGTTATTTTAAATAGGGTTTAAAAACTTTTCCACGGAGTGATTGACACAACATAGACAGTACACTTTTGTGATGTGAGGAGGTTTGGAAAGGGAGTGAAGAAAGGGAAAGAAGAGAGGGAGAGAACAAACAGTTTCACGTAGAAGATGAGTTGAGACGCAAAGGCAATGTAAACTACGTGAATAAATTGTAAATGTCGAGTGCAAAGAATATTTTGACATAATGAATTGGTAAATAAATAAATAGATAATTCTTCCCTCTGCTGTATAATGAAAATTAATTACTTTCTATTATCTTGACCTGTTTTTTTTTTTCAAAACTCTACTTTGGCATTAAGAACGTGCGTTACCTGGCCAAGTTTTGATTTATATGCCTAGTTAATATTTTTCAGTAGTCTAAACTAAGCTTTTTCAAATCAGTAATTAATTGGCTCCTTTCTCTCCCTTTTTCTGTATGTGTAAATTTTAAAATTAGTACTTATCAAGTTGTATATGAATATTGAATATGCATATTTTCTCCATTAACTCATTTAATAGACTTAGAGTATAGAAATTTGAACTTACAAACTCAGCTCGCAATAATAAATATAAACAAACTGTAACATGAGCATACATTTTTTGTATTACGGTTTGAATCAAATAATAGATTTATTTTTTGCCAAGTTGGCTGCCTGCCCAGAGTTACAAGAGCAAACAACGATGTTCAGCAGACGCGATTGTCTTTCATGGCGAGCTAAAACAACAGTTGCTTTAATGATAAAAGGGAGGCAATTTTACGTGATAGGCTTACAAGAGTTGTCTTCGGGTTTTGTTTACATCAGCTCAACTCACTAGTTGTAAAACAAGTGCTGACAGAGTCTTAAAATTTAAAAGTGTAAATCACAAGATGATACGCTGTAAATATGGACTGGATTTAACAGGCTTAGTATTTAGACACCCTTTGCAATACATGCAGGCAGTTAACTCAAAAACGTATTTACTTTAGAATAGAAATTTTAAGAAAATATTTAAAGTTGCTGCCTGAAATATAGGTAATCTTAAACACCCCACTCACACACAGGGTAAAACTTAAATAGTAGATATATATATATATGTATATATATATATATATATATATATATATATATATATATATATATATATATATATATATATATATATATATATATATATATATATATATATATATATATATATATATATATATATATATATATATATAAAAAATGGAACAACAACATCTGCCCAAGGTTCAGACTTCTTCATGCAAACGTCGCCATTGACATGCGGTTCTTGACAGTGACGGTGGCTTCCTTTTGTCATGCTCTTTTAACCCCACTCACCACTAAAAACCATCACACAAATTACCTATTGTTTCACGATTTTTCAATAAACCTATATGCCCATTGTATTTCTCTTTAATGTATTCTTAACATTTGCATTGGCAACAACAACAATATATATATATATATATATATATATATATATATATATATATATATATATATATATATATATATATATATATATATATATATACCTAATACTACAATATGTTTTAAATCTAAGCATCTTCCCCTCCCCCTCCCCCACCTCACCACAAGTTTTCACAGAGGTCAACTAGTGTTGAAAGACACTACTAAGTAGGAAGTCAGTGGGTGAGTACACTGTAACACAAGCTCACCAACAAAGAATTAAATGGAACCCAATCCTTATTGTTGGAAACCATTGAACTGCTCTAGACGTAAGACATTGAATCTCACCTCCACTATTTACCCAGGAAACCGTTGAACACAACCCTTAACGTAAAGTTAAACATAAGAAGCTATTACTTGTTTCCTACATCTTGTTTATCTACACTCTAGACAGCCTGCCTTTATGATGACAAAGTGTCCTCACTCACCCTCACGATCAGCTTCTGTTTTTACCTATACCCTATGTCTTCTTTTATTTTTTATTTTGTCTGCTTGTCTTCAATTAAACAAGACTTTATTTGCTATTTAAAGTCTGAAGAAACATTCCAGAAACCTGTCTACAGATTGTCTGCTCAGCATGACCTAGTTTCCCAGCTTCCAGGTCTTCACTTCTGCTTGATCTTAACTCACTCTGACCTACTTAATTATATTTCTAAAACCTGACCCAGATTATCCATTGCCACCTAGATAGCTACCTGCTAACCCGGCTTTTAAGTCTCGTGACTATCAGCACCTGACGCCTCGACCTACTGGCTACTGGAACCCATCTAGCATCGAACCTACCTGTTTGCTATCTACCTCACCTGGACACGTGCGTTCCTCACCTACCCGTTTTTTCAATCTCTCTACCCGATCTCATTGCTGGCTAACACATTCAGACATGCCTCACAGTAAACACATACTGGCTGCCTACATACCGGCCCACTAGAAAATTGTATAGAACAGTCGTTATGGTGTACACCAAATGTGTACTGTCTGCTCTGAAACCCCACATCACGAGATGCGTACATACCCACACACCAGATAAATGAATACTATCCGTCTTAGGGCTGTACACAAAAAGTGTACTGCTAGCTCTGACACCTCATAACTCAAGAGGCGTACATACCCACACTCTAAATAAAATAATACTAGTGATAGTGACGTACATAAATGTGTACTGCTAGCCTTGACACCCCACTTCACAAGATGCGTACATACCCACACACTAGATAAAGTAATACTAGTGTTAATGGTGTGCACATTTGTGCACTGCTTGCTCGGACACCCCCCCCCCCAAACAAGAATTTGTGCGTACACACCAACACAGCGTATCTTGTGTTGACTTCTATATTTTTAAATAATGACCCGCGTTCCCATTCCGGCCTTCGGTTATGGCATGCATTAAGGTTTTTTTGTAATTATGTTGGAAGAAAATAAACGAAATAAATTTAATGACACTACGTTAACGTTTTATGCAAAAACTTAAAACAATTAGATTGACGTTGAATTTGTTATATTGTAATTCAAATTAAAGACCTTAATTCCTGAAAAACTTAGATGACTTTATACTTTATACTACTATTCATCATTTTAATTATTTTTAAACACCTGTTTTTTCCCCGTTTAAGAAAATCAATCTCTAACACCGCTTCGATAAGCTTGAAAGGGAAAAAAATGTTGTTTTGATTTTACTTCGTTGGACCAGGAAATGGTTCGAGAAATTGGCCAAATTTGTGCGAGATAGTTTATGTGCTGCTTGTAAAAAACGAATGCCATGGAGTGCACACAGTGATTGCATCCCTTGAAAACTACCGGTGTCGTTGAAATATGCCACATCACGTTGTATCACCCAAGCAATCATTAACCACACGACCAAACGTACACCCAGACGATTAACATTTAAATTTAAACTTAACAAATCTAAATTAAATCAGTCACAAGCTACAGGCTAGGGTACAACGCCACGGTCCAAGGGTTAATAATCAACAAAGGGAAGTAAACACTGTCTAGGGGAAGCAACCACATGGCCAGGTAAGAGCAGTTTATACAGTTTGAACTACCAGACTGTAAGTAGCTAGTTCAGTTAGTAAATTAGTAAATTTCCCTTTGTCCGTGGGGCAAGTGAAGTAGAGTTAAGCTGTTTCTGTGACCTCGGATGGTGTGGTCAGCACTATGTCCAGCCGCCTTTAAATTTCCGAACTTAAGTTCTGTACCCATCAGAGCTGGGTGGGTTCAACCAGTACAGTATTTTTTGCAAAAAGGATAATACCCGGACTAGTTAACCCGTTACAAGTCTATACAAAGTAATGTAAACACATCACCGCTGTGCTACAAGATTACATCTACATCCAGAAATGACGTGTACTTTTTCTGTAGAGTATGTTGCAGTTGGATGCCATAGGCTAGGAAACAAAGTCTTCATGTCGTGTTTTTATTTGTACCGATGGACTGCTTAAGGTTTATCTGTGGTTATTTGTTTCTATGGTATCATACAGGTCAAAGTTCAGTGCTCAATAACGAGAGGTGGCAGGTGATTCATTAATTCACCCTTTTGGTGGATGCAGGTTAGATTTATGACGTGTGATGTGCATGCTGTCATAGTAACCAGCGATTAACATTTGTTTCGTGTATTCTGCATTTAATTGGTTAAACTTTTGCTGTGCTCGCTTCGGTGACCTTTAGAGGTCGACCTCTAGTTAAAAGTTCGTGCCATGAATTGGATTATTAAATCTCGTAAAAAAAAAAAAAGATTAAATGGAAGGTTGGTAAGCTAACGCAAATAGAATGATATCCGTAGCTTACACCCATAACATAAGTATAGGCCCAACCAGTTTTAGTATATAAGTTTAACTAGACCATTTTTATTTGACCATTTTTATTTGACCATTTTTAGTGGACCATTTTTAGTGGACCATTTTTAGTTGACAAGTTTTAGTAGAACAGTTTTAGTAGAACAGTGTAAGTATCCTAATGTGAGTAAACAATCTAAGTAGAAAAATTAACGTCGACTAAATTGAAACGAACGCTTCCCACTCCCCCCCCCCCCCCCCCCCAGCCAAACCTGTCACCTTGAGTGGAAGTGGAGAAACAAATGAACACACGGTAGGAATGGGGAGAAGAGATTCTGCTTGTATGAATACAATCATAGGGCTAATTTACTGCCGCTTTGAAGTGTAATCTTTCAGAGTGATTCCTATAGGTACAAACAGACCCCTGTTTATTATCTTGTGAAACTAGTTAAACTATTTTATGTCATCAGTTTTCTTAACAAGAATAAGGGACTATGTAATAAAATACGATTAAAAATAGATTAAAAAAACAAAAACAAAAAAGTCTATTATATTTTGTAAGACACTCATTTGTATTCATAGTTTAGTTTTATTTACGGAACCCGTAGCCTGAATTAAACGAAAAATGGGTATGTGTTAAAAAGTAATATTCCGGCTGAATGGCATACAGCGATTAATTTTGGTCTGGACTTACAACAAAATCTGGCTATAGATTTCCCACAACGAATAACGTAAATTGATACTATTGATCAAACCGATACCCACGCCAGTTAGTCGGAGTTTGCCGTGTTGAGGCCTGCCTGGCTGATGGGAGACACATGATACGGTAATGTCCGTAAAGAAAGAAAGAAAGAAATATACTATATGCTAGTTAGAGGTCCTTGTTTTGTACTGGTAATTAAAAAATTGGTGAATTATTTAAAACGACCCCTCTAGCGATACATTGTTCCACAACAAAAACATCAACGTGTTTTTATTTAACACACTGGCGAAAGTTTTCTTTTTACAAATAATTTGTAAGTAAAATATCTTTTACACTTTACAAAAAAAAAGTTAATACCTTTCTACAGATGTAATTTTGCAAAATTGATAACAAATCACAGGTTGTCTGTTCTTATCGTTCATGTTTATACTGGAGGCAGGGATGGGGGGGGGGAGTCTTAGGGAAGCTACGGGATTATTTCCCTTGAGATAACTGCCTGTATTATAGCATTACAGAGTTGAAAGGTTAAAGCTTGGCCAGAAATATCACGATGGCATCTAGAGCTCTGGAATTTCATGAACGACTGCTATAGGTCAAAGCGAATATCTGGTTGGTATTAATTTCAACAACAATCTGTCATTCATACCGGCTTATTGCCTTAAACCTATTGTAAGACGAACTTATGAAAAGGATGTGTGTTCGACGCGGTTAATTTTGAACTTTCAAATATAATAGGCCTATTTGTTGAATATAAATAATATGAACATGTTTTTCATTTAGTGCCTAAATCTATCTGCCAGCTAAGAATGATAAGACGTGTAGGATTAAAGATAAAGTAGTGGAAAACTCGGTTTGGTTATCGTACGATGCAACCAGGCAAGTTATCTAGAACAATCTGTCTGCAGACGCGGTTCGACACAAATATTTGTTTATCCTCTGCCTCCGACTCACCCCGTGCTGCACGTTTGCTAGACGTGGGCGGGGCGAGAGGGGAGATAATTCGGTACACACCAGTAGATTTTAAATTGGCCTGATTTTTCAAAGTTTTGCAACTAAAAAAAAATAATGAGAGAGAGATGGAAACTTTTCAGTCAAAAAAAAAAAAAAAAAAAAGGGAGCAAAAAACAAACTAGCAAACTGGCGAACGAACGAGCAACCCCACACACATCACATACGATAAATGCAGTATTTACGCAGCATTCGTTGCACAGGCAGGCGTATAAAAATAGAACGTAACTCAAGCTGGCTTGATAACAACAGAGGGTGTTCACAGCTCAGGACGAATCAGTCACACACACTGTCCAAAACAATTATCTACAAGAACACAGTCAATCTAAGCCAACCACCACCCATACATGCTGGTTTATACCTTTAAAACATCTAGTTTCAAAGAGCAGATATTAGTAGGTACTGTTTTGTTATAATCCAAATGCAACAAACATCAATCAGCCGATTCAGTAAATGCCATTACTCACTTTGGTTGAGTTTGTGTTAGCCTCGCCTACAAGCCCATTACCCTGTGACGCAGTAGGCGCGCTCTGTGACGTCACAGTCATGGTACTAACCTTGCCAGGGCTGGTGTGTTGTTGCTGCGTGTAGGAGCCAGCTGTGTAGGAGCCGGATGTGCTGGAGCCGGATGTGTACGAGCCAGATGTGTAGGAGCCGGGCGTGTAAGAGCCCGATGCTGTCGTCTGCGAGGTGATGCCCAAGTTGTGTATCTTTATGATGCCGTCTCCCCCTTCCGACCCCTCGACCTCTACAAGTGGTGCGAGTTTGGAACCCCCGCCCCCGCGGCCTGTCGTCTGGTGGCCGAAGAGCTTAACAGATGGCCCTGCACTGGTTGAACTCCCAGACGACGCAGGGCCTGGCCAGGTGCCCGTGCCTGGTTTCCGGACGGGGAATTCGACGTTATCGTAAGGGGCGTTAGGGTCGAGCTCCTGGTCGTACATGTCCAGTGTCTGCTACAGATAAGTCGTCTGCTACTGCTGCCGTTAACAGGACACGAGCATCGGCGCTGTGATCACGTGATTACGATCCACAAAAGAAAACAAACTCGATTGTTTACTATTCTGATTGTTCATAGTGTTCGCGTTATTGGTAGTTTCATAAATGTCTGAACTAGAACACACGGTCTACCCTATTTCTGTTTTTAGAATTAAAAGCCAGACTCTAATTACTCTAAGTAATTAAACATCAATTAAATATACGTTATTCAATAGTGACGGTTATACAAAAAAGGACAAATCATCTGTTATGTTTATATAAACAAAAACTTTAGAAGTGGTTGTAACTAGAATACACAATCTTTAAATTTTAAACGGTGTAACTAGAATTGAACATATTCTACTATATTTACATTTGTTACAAAAACACAGTGGTTGTTTAAGTTTTGGGCTCATTAATTAATTAAATATCCAAAGCTACAAAACGAGTAGACGTGTATTAATAGAAACAAACCCTTTATTAAGTATATTATTGATTAATATTAGTTATATTATCATTATTATTAACGTTTGGTTAAAATTGGCATTTTGTTAATGATGTTATCTTTCTAGACGCGTTTTGACATTCTGACTACTAATACGTAAATAGAGCTGGATAATTTTCCACGTGTTTGAAATCAAGCAAGCTAATATGTGAGTTTATGTCGTACAAATATTAGGTCTTCAAAAACAAATATTTTAAAATAATTCTTGTAGATAAATGTAACGGAAACCTATAAAATGATTAATAAAAATACACGTTTATTTATCATCGTTTGTAATAATTTAGAACAGTTGAATTCTCGCGCAGCCGTTCAAAAAGTTCCCATCTATTTTTAATCACAATATTGACACGTCCTTGAACTTGACTTTGTCACAACCTTCTTAAAAAAGTATGTTTTTAAATATCACCATATTAAAGGAAAAAAGTGAAATTTCCACCTAATGCGTTAAAGTTCGTATTAATTTTAGCTTTCTGTAAATTAAAACAAACACACGCTAATCTGACACTAAGAAGACATCCACGGTCTAAGAATCCACGGGTCTCCACAACCACCGTACCCCAAAGCCGGGTTTTACGTCTGCTATCGTGGTGCCTCGTGTTGGCAGAAAGTGCTTGAGCATGACGTACCATCAGCAACACGTAGAATGTACCCCCTCTCGCGTGAGTGATGCAGCGGACGAGAAGGGGAGAGCACTGTAACGCACACCTTCCTGCCAGAGTGCCTAAAAGGCGGGAATTCTGTTTTTTTTTTCTCTTTCTCTCGAAAAGTTCATGCAATGTCAAGCAGGCGTATATATGGTGATGGCAATGAATCATGCAGACGACAAAGACGTTATTTACCATGCGAGGCAGCGGTTCTAGACCAGAGCACAATATTTACCGCCTAGTAGGAAGGATGACGCACAGCGAAGTTTTAGGCCACATTTTAAACGTACTTTGAAAATAGGCGTGTTCGGGTTAAATACTAATGTAGCCACGCATTAACAAAAAACAAAAGAAAAGGTTCTTTGCGTCACTTTTTGAAGTTTAGAAAGCAGCTGTCGATTAACTGTGTTTTTCGGAAGAAAAAAGTTAAATAAAAATAAACACTTTTCAACGTAATTCCAAACACGAATCTATTTTCCATTTAGATCTAGAATTTAGATCAAAAACAGTGGAACATGTTTCCAAAGAGATCGGATTTTTTTTTATTGTGCAAATTATTTCAGAGCGCTAAATAGGCCTTTTACAGCAGTCTTTCCTACTTATATAGATGTGGATATATTTTCTAAATGATAAACGCATTTTATTTAGTTCATATATATAACGTTCGTTTTAAAGTTATGTACATCAACGGCAACACTCTCATAGCCAGGGTTTCTTCCAGACTTTTTTCTCCGGGGGGGGGGGGGGGGCACTTGAAATTTTCGGGGAGGGGGGGGCGGTAGACTTTCTTCGGGGGGGGGGGGGGGGGCGGACACTGTTAAAAGTATATATTTTCTATATAAAGTATATAAATTTCATTTCGTTCGGGGGGATGCCTGGAAGAAACTCTGCTCATAGCTGAGGCGTGGAAAAAATAATTAAAATAAATTGAAAGAACTTAAATCAGAAAAAAAGTAGTCGATTGTTTGGGGCAACGAGAAACGAATGCTCTACTAGCCTATACGTTCAAAGGATCATAATTAATACTCATACATTCAGGATTGTGTGTTACAGTATTACAGGTGAATTTTTCTATTCAAGGCCAATAACAAATAAAATAGTGACCGAAATAGTTGGTTATTGCCCTTAAATTTTCATTGTCAATATTTAGAATAGTTATGCATTTAAAAAATGAAGTGTTATTTAGCCTAGAATGAATTTACATTCATATGTAAACATAATTTCAGGTAAAGGCTTAATATATATTATATGGTCTAGAATTAAATCAGTAAGTTAAGTTTATTTATTGTTAGGATCTTTTCAGTTTCCTTACACCGGTACCTAGCCACGTTAGACCGGAAATGTAATCACGAGTGCCAATATGGCGTTTGACTATTGAAAAGTAAATAGATGTCTACTTAAATAGTCATTCTAATGAAATAGCAAATCCGATGGAGCGAAATAATTATTCGAAATAATTTTAACTTTTTAAATAGATCTAGGCATACAGCATTCACACAAATATCTAGCTATTGCTTCTACTAGCTAGTCTAAGTCTATTTTAATTTAAAATGTTGAAACTGCACAATCAATGATTTGGTGATTAAATCAGATTTGGGTCACTCTGCTGACTGCTGTGTTTCGTAAACTGTGAACTTCATATTCTTTTTCTAGACTAGTCTTATCTAAGAAAGCTATATCTAACCTCTTAAATATCACATAAACGCCAATACTAAATCTTCTCGGATGTGTTTAATTAATAAAATAATTAGTTCAATTGTTTGTTGTCTGTGAAGCAACATACAGTGAGTTCTTTTGGTTGACTAGTAGTACAGTAGTAGTAGTAGCCTGAAGAGTGAAGACTCCCATGACAAGTCAGTGAATGTGATGTGAGTAAACTTAAAAAGTCTACTATGGGGGCGATAGCCGCACTATAATAGCTAACCGCACTATTTGACTATTATAGTCACTATAGCGTAACCTAATAAACTGTAAACTAGATGGGCAATTTTCTGGCACAAATGAAACAACATACCAGATATCTACTATAAACTATTGTACTATTTTACTAGATTACGTACAACCAACACTGTTACAACTTTACACATAGATTGGCCTAGAGCTAGAAGATACCTGGCTATACCGGAATACGACTAGAGTAGTCAGTAGACTCTAAAAGAAAAATTACCCCCTAACAATATTTAAAAAGGTTTTCATTTTTGCTTGCATTGTTTGTCTGTTAGTTAAGTCACAATTTATTCACCTCTTTTTTCTCTGATACTTCACTACAGAACTAAATAATCTAATTAATTATTTCTAAAAATACTGGCTTGACAATACATGAGAGGTGTTAATAAGGGATTTTTCCTGGCTTTTATGCTCTCTAATAATTAACACAATAATTTAGTTTGTGGGTTTTGCTGAAACATCTTCAAAGCTTTTTAGGTATTCTTACCCCTAAAAGATGCGTGAAGTAATATTAGTACTACTTATAGTATTATAGTAGTTGATATTTGAACTCTTTTTTTTTTCTCTATATATTTCATAGAAATGAATCCTCAACAAGATTTGATCAGATAATGACAGAAATACATAACCTTTTCAAAATTAACCAATTGATGGGAGCAGACTTGATTTGAAATGTCTGTGACCCAAACAGGAAATGTTAATCTACCCTGGAAAAAATGTCTTCTTTGTCGTGATGTTGTGGCTTTTAAGTCACCGAGAGATTTCAGCCAGCATTTGCGAGACTTCCATTGCTCAAAAGAAGGTGGCTCGTATGTGTGCAGATACGGCATGAATGGTGTCTGTCCTTCATTACCTCTTGAAGGAGTTAGTGATAGAGATTACGATGATCACGTTATAAAGGACCATATAAGCAGTGATTATGGTTAGTATAGTTACTATTATTATTTCTTGTTTACATGTTGTTAGTTTTATTTGTTGACACTTTTGTGTGTGAAGTAGTGTTATGTTGTTATCAGGTTTAAGAATACTTTTTATAAATAACTATTTCATTTATTGAAATGTCCATAAAATCTAGTCTTATTCATGTATTTGTTATCACACATACACATAACACAACCACACACTGCAATATATATTAAGAAATAACAGTAGAATGTTCCTTAATGCACCCAGCTCTAATGGTCATGTTATGGAAAGTAAAAACAGCTGGGCATAGTGAGTGCTGACCACACTATCCCTTCATATGTCAAGGTTAGAGAAAGGTGAACCCCTACTCCACTTGCCCCCATGGACTGTCAGGTTAAAAAAGGGAACCCTACTCACCATAACCACAATTATTTTACATATCTTTAGACTTCTTGTTACATTGAAAATTATGCTTTAAAATTATATATTCCACAGGAGGAGCTCGCAGTAAAATTCCATCAAACAGACATCAGGAACGTCCACCGAGCGAGTCACACACGCCATCCAACACAGACCCCAACATTGTGCAGGATCAGTACAAGTGGACCATCCACAATGCTACTGTTAACCTGCCTGCCCTTCTTAATGACCCAAGGCTGGTTAAGAGAGAAACAGACTTTTTTACTAAAACATGGGGTCAGTCATTTGAAAAAGTGGAGATTCTTCCGTCTCCGTATGTACCAGAAATTGGACCTGAACACTTTGAGAAATACTTGAGGAAAACATCAGTTGTAAGATAATCTTTTAAATCTCTTAATAGTGTTATCAGTTTTTGGCAACTAAATAAAATTACCATTCCGACTATTCCTGCAAATTTTATAGCACTTTTTAAAAATATAAATATTATCCTTCCATGAATCCATGTGGCTCTACCCCATGGAGCTCTTTGGCCTTGCTTCACCAAGATCTTCCAATCAGACCTGTCTGTTGTCTTCTACTATCCAGTCTGAACTCCCAACTGCCATAGGTCTGTCTCCACATCTGTAATTAGGCCTGCCTTATGGTCATTTTGGGGTTTTACTTATGTACTACTTACACCCCTAAATTGTTTGCCATTCTTTCCATTAATATGATGCTTTAATATAATTTTAAGGTATATTGAGATTTAAATACAATTTGTAGATAACTTTTTATAACAATGTCAGTTACCTATGTCAATTATCTTTGAATTGGAGAGATTGAACTCTGGTAACCAGCAATGTTCCCTCTAAGGGGGAAAAGCTAGTGTGCAGAATGTATTTTACAAAATCACTGTGCGGCAGCTCAAAACTACTGCGCGGCCGCGCAACCGCATAGCTTAGAGGGAACATTGGTAACCAGTACATTTTGTAGTTCCATATGTCTGTATCTCCCAAAACTTGAGAAATATCTTGAGTAATCTGTTTTTATATTCTCTGCCATACGGCATATCTGGCTAATTATTAGTCTAGTAACTCAAGCAGGATAACCATACATTGTCATCATTGCATAATTACTGTTGTATTTGAAATCACTGATTGACTCGTATTGATGATATTTAGAGGTTAAAAAGACATTCCAAAAACAAGGAGAAACTTGTTGAAGGGGCTGAGGGAGGCAAGGAACATTTCCCATCACACCATTTGAAACAAATAGGTGAGAGCTCATTTAGATATAGAGTTACATTTTTTAAACTTGTTTCTTATTGTTTATTATGATACTTAAAAATTGTTTTTAAAATATTAGTCTATGCCTAAAAGTTATATTTAAAAACTCAACCAATAACATGTACACCTAAAAGTTGGTTTCTTAAAGACTTTTGGCCTGGTTTCTTCAATTTTCATTTTTATTGATTATATTTACTCATTGTTCAGAAAATACGTTGAGTGAAGTATGTATTAGCCTTGCATTGGTTATTGATCAGCAGAGATTAAAGAAAAAGACTGTAGCCATTTGGCAATAACAATGATATTGAATGTTTTCAGAGATAATCTTGGGATTAAGAAATGTAGTTTTAAGGATAAGCAGCTTATTTATTCAATAAGTAAAGTACTGGTTGTGTTCAAGCAGCTCTTTTGTTCTTCAAATGTTGTCTTCTTTCTTCTTAGATTTGGTAAATACTGATCCCTCAGTTTCAATACCATATGAAGAAAGTTTATTTTGTATTAAAATTATATAGATCATACTTGTTGAAATGATTCTAATGAATCTTATAATTTTTAATTACAAAAATATTACGTAAAGTGGATAAACAAGCATTGATCTCTACCATTACATGTTAGTTTTCACCTTCAGGTGTGCACTTGTTACTTAGACTTTGAAATAACAATAAAAGTCTAATCGGACATGATGTTTAAACCTGCCTGCTGCAGTCAAGAAATATGCATGAGAAAACTAGGTCACACACACAGCTGGTGCACCCATTATTTATCTCTAACAGCTTGCTACTCTATGTGTGGGATATGTGGTTGTTTGTGCTCCACTGGGGTTTAAGTCTAAACAACTTGCTACTCCATGTGTGAGATATATGGTTGTTTGTGCTCCACTGGGGTTTAAGTCTAAACAACACACCACTCCATGTGTGAGATATGTGGTTGTTTGTGCTCCACTGGGGTTTAAGTCTAAACAACTTGCTACTCCATGTGTGAGATATATGGTTGTTTGTGCTCCACTGGGGTTTAAGTCTAAACAACTTGCTACTCCATGTGTGAGATATATGGTTGTTTGTGCTACACTGGGGTTTAAGTCTAAACAACTTGCCACTCTATGTGAGATATATGGTTGTTTGTGCTCCACTGGGGTTTAAGTCTAAACAACACACCACTCCATGTGTGAGATATGTGGTTGTTTGTGCTCCACTGGGGTTTAAGTCTAAACAACACACCACTCCATGTGTGAGATATATGGTTGTTTGTGCTCCACTGGGGTTTAAGTCTAAACAACACACCACTCCATGTGTGAGATATATGGTTGTTTGTGCTACACTGGGGTTTAAATCTAAACAACTTGCCACTCCATGTGTGAGATATATGGTTGTTTGTGCTCCACTGGGGTTTAAGTCTAAACAACTTACCACTCCATGTGTGAGACCAAAAATATTATATTTTGCATGTAATGTGTATAATGATGCTATACCAAAGATGTTGTGTTTAACTTGTTATAAATATTTTTGTCACCAAATAATATCAGTTTGTTTCCTCAGAAATCATTAATTTATTCATTACATAAAATTGACTTGTTTCTTTTAATTACTTACTTTAATGTTACCATAATACCTGTTTGCAAAGATCTGTGTTTTATATTTTCCTTAGAGCAAAGCAGGGCAGAAATGGATCAAATCAAGGTATGTAACTTAATGTTTATTTCAAGTATTTTTGCAAAGAGTGAAAGAGTAATTTCTATTAATCTTATTTAAATTAAATTTAAATTTATAATTTTAAATCTAGATCTATATATATTTACACATAGATAACCTAATTTTGTTTTATAGTGTATTTTTATGTGGATCTTTTACTATTCTTAACTATTGTATCCTCAGATCTTTATGTCTGCCCACTTTAACCTTGAAAACCCTGACGTCTTTGGTGCTGTGTTTCCTTGGACACTGGTAGAAGATTCCAGAAATTCTACCCAGACTGACCCTAAACAGTCCTCTAAACTTCTGCAAGAAAAGGTCAGTCTTATCAATAATGATAGTTTTATTTCTTTAAGTATGTATGAAGAATTTCCTTCATATTCAACATTAACTGTTGTTCAGGTTTATTAATGTTATTATAATCTGCAACACAAGATTACATTTGTGTATAGTATTATTAACTTTTGTATTCCTCTTGATGTTACAAAGACAGTTCTGTTTTCCAGCTGAGCCACTACCTAGATATAGTTGAAGTCCGAATAGCTCGCCAAATATCACAGAAATCTGAAGCATTTTTCCATGCCATGACATCTCATGATGAGCTGCAGGAGAAGTTAACTCACACAATCAATTGTATTCAACATCTCAGGTGAATATACATGTTCTTTGTGTTACACAAACACATAAAACATTGTAAAGGAATAAATATACATTGTTTTATCACTTCTATAATCCATATTATACTCCTCACAGGGAGAGTATAAATATATTAAATGAGAAAATAGCAAAAGAATCACTGAAGGTCATTAAACTGTCTCACACTAGAGCTAACTACATGGCATTATTTAACAAAGTAAGTGCTCTGTAATTATCTAAGAGAAACAGTTTTTATCTTATTATAGTCTAAAGATGTATTGTTTACATTTTATTTAGTATCCCCTGTGTTAAAGTTTAGCTTAGGTGTTGGTTGTTTCGACACAAAAATATCTTAAAACAAAATCACAAAAGAAAAGCTGATATCCTTGTATCCCACAGTTAAAAATCATGGCTTCCATCCATGAAACCCAACCAACTATACAAAGACTGTTGTCTAACAATGATTTTATTGGTTCCTTGGATCTCATCTCCACCTCTCAAGATATCCTCAACAAGGATCTGGCTGGGATTCACAGCTTTAGGTCAGTTATAATGCTAACAAAAACAATTTGAATTTTTTTAAAAATCTGAAACAAACTGTAAAGCCTCTACCTTCATTTGTTGTATTATGTGTTTTCAGGGGCTAGTTTTGATAGTTGATTGTTTATGCAGGCACCTTGGGTCCCATCAGAGGTGGAGAAATTCTGTATTCTATGTTTTCAATGGCTAGTTTTGGTAGTTGATTGTTTCCGCAGGCACCTTGGGTCCCATCAGAGGTGGAGCAATTCTGTATTCTATGTTTTCAATGGCTAGTTTTGCTAGTTGATTGTTTTGTTTCTACAGGCACCTTGGGTCACAGTTGGCAGAGATGGAGAAACTAATTGACATGATGCTACAGGCAGATTTTAGTAAATGTGTAACCACAGAGCTGAATAGACCGGTGGTGGATCTTGTTCTTGTAGCGGATGAGGTACAATCTCTATCACCTACATTACACTCTGAATACAAAATGCTTTTATTCTTGAATAGTGAAGTTTAATAAAAAAAAAACACACGATAAAGCAATAATTTTGATGTTTATTCTACATATTACATTACTCTCTTAATATGAAATACTTTTTTTTTTTAGTAGTGACGTTAAAAAAAAACACATGATAAAGCAATAATTTCAATGTTTATTGAACATGTTATATTACACTCTTAAGACAAAATATTTTAATTTATAAGTGGTAAAATTAAAAAAAAAATAGGGTAATAATTTTGATGTTTATACATTGAACCATCAGGATCGAGTTGTATCAGTATTATTGGGTATGTTGAGACAGCACAAATTCAATTTTGTTGATGTGTACAGAGAGGAGGCTTTTACAGCGTTGAAGGCAGTTGTCAAACAGGTGGGTGGTGGACAGTAACTTTTATAATGGTTAAACACTCTTAATCTGTAATGTGTTAGTAGATGTGCTATAACACATGCAGTTAATTAAAAATAACATTACGTTTTAGTCCTTGTTTATGTTATGATATGTGTTAGAGAGTGTTGTATTGATCTGTTATAGACTGTAGTGGAAGCTGTGGCAGTGGCTGATGACATTGATACAGAGAACAATGCTGGGAGGTAGATATATGCACATGTTGTTTTCTACTGCTTGTGTTGTTGAATACTTACTAAGTACCAAAACTGTATTTAAATGTGATTTGAATTTTTTATCTCACAAACAGCATATTATTTGATCATAATTCAACTAAGTACAATATCTACAGTTTTAAAAATTTGCTAAGTGTCTTTTTCTTCAGTTCAGTAATTACAAATTTAGCTATGCATGTTATATTAAAAGTTGAGGTACTTACCTAGTAAAATACTTTAACAAAAGTATTACAATTGTAGGAAAATTATGTAGACATTCAGTATTTGTCTACCATTATAACCTGTTTATCTTTTACTTTGCTATTAAGTAGAAGCCCATACCACATCAGTGGTAAGTGCTGAAGCTTACTTTATTAATGAGTAAATTATTTCATTCAAGCTTAGCTGACCAGATGAGACTTCTCAATTACCCACAGTGGATGGAGCTGCTGCATGATATCTTTAAAAATGTCAAGGTTACACTCAACAGAGCACAGGTGGTTTTTCTTTCCTTCATTCTTCTTTTGTTAGCTATTTCTGTTCCCAACTTTATGCAGGTATATAATGATATTTTGTTAACCGAGATATATTTTTTGTAGGCATTCTACGGCATCGTGACAAATGTCCTAGGTATTGCCACAGGAGAGACCAAATCTTCCACAGCTTCAAAACAAAGCAATGAGGAAGTGAATGAAACAAAATACCTGCATGTCTCTGTGTAAGTTGAGTTTGATTCATGAAGTATTACTTGTTCCCATTATGATAAAAAATGTTGGGTTTTTGTTTTCTTGTTGTTCAGGTCAGGGGTTTTTGGGTTATGTTTTGTACTTCTTTTACTTGGAATCAGACTTCTGTTATTATTTCGGTTTCTCTCTATAAATGATCCACCTGTGGACATTTAATTTTTTTATTTTTAATAATGTCAAATCATAATCATTTAGGAATTATTACTGTATACATAGTTATTTAACTCTATAAAAAATCATCCTCTGTGTATGTTTTATTTTATATCTCTGTTTTTCTAGGAGTGAGGATGTTGATGTGATGATCTCAAATGGAGAATATGACAAGGCCCAATCAAATCTAAAGCTAATGTTGCATGCTGTTTGTGACTATGCACATGACAGGTGTGTCAAGGTTATCAATGCTAGAAGCAAGGTGAATACTTTATACCTGTTGTACTGCTAATCTAAACTATGAAGAAGATTTTAAAAAATAAGTATTGCCTTGTGCAGAATGTATGTCTCATGTTACGAAAACCTGTGTTCCAGGATGGGTTCCTGGATCGTTTATCCTCGGCTGAGTTTGTGAGCTTGTCCAGATCTATAGAAAGTTTTGTCACAGACACGGAGCAGGTGTGTGGAAGAAAGAGCATGTCACTGAGAGGTGTGCTGCAGACCCAGGCAAACAAGTTTGTTGCCAGGTTCCATGAGGAGAGGAAAAACAAACTGAGGTAAGGTGGTGAAGCACATGGAAGACCAAAAATAAAGCTCAAAACTTTCATTATGTGTTTTTTTCGTATGTATTTATTTGTATTTTTCACTCTGTAACTGTAAGATTTTATAAGTTTTATTTTCAGTCTGATTTTAGACAACGAGAGATGGAAGCAGGCTGATGTACCAGCAGAATTCCAGAATTTGGTGAACCATGTGGTTGAAAATGGTACAGTTTGTGAGCTTGTCCTTTTATAAATATTTTTTGTTAGGCTGTGTACTGACTTGATACAGCTTAAAAGAGATTTTAAAAATAAATGTTAATTTGATTTTTTTTTTTGCCAAAAATATTACATAGTCTTGTAAAGCTAAATAAATAAACTTAAATCACTTTAATGGTTGCTTTAAAATCTTTTAATGTCATTTAAACTTAATTTTACTTTCAAGTCTCTTAAATTGGTTTTAAACAATTTCAGGTGCCCTAACCCTTCCTGAAAAAAAATCAAGCACAGGTAAAAATAATATTGGACATTGTAGGTTATGCATTTTGCTTATAATGATAGATTATGGGTCTACATTTGCCATCGTTTGATTAATATTGTACAATTGCTGATTTCTTAACATAAATATTCTTATCAAATGTATGATCTTAATATTTTTTTTTAGTTTAGGTTCATTTAAAACAAATAATTTTTTTTTTAAATTTATTAATTTGTCTGTAACAGGCAGTAAAACAACAGAATGTCTGCTTGTTGGGGGTGAACAATATGCTGTAGTGGGGTAAGTTTTCAATTCTTATCTTTTTAATGTGTAGCCATTTTTTTCTTTCTTTTCACTCTACCTTAGTTTGAAAGTTTAGAAATATCAATGACTTTTCTGCTGGCTTCTTGCTGTAGACACATGCAAAGTATTCTTTTTAATTTTTTTTTCTTGGGGGCTATAAAACACTGCACTACTCCTATAACTAACTCTTCAACTATACACATGTGTGGAGGACAGGAACACTCTTATTTTCCGATGACACTAATTAACGATATCAACAACTTCGATCATGAAATAGAATTAACTTTATTATCAAACATTAATACTATATAATATCAAAACACGTCCTTTTCCTACAATGGCTAACCCCCAACTGTCTTTACTCCTGCGTCCTACGTCATCGAAAACATTGTTGCGTCCCCGCTCACATCACACTCACGACACAAATATTTTATTAAACACATGCACAATACTCTCAACCAAATCGTCTACCGTCAAGTTTACACCGCCCTTATTAGTCTCTACTAGTCTAGTCTTATTTTATCTATCTACGCTATGACAATGTACTTATAACAATGTTAAGCATTATAAACATTATTGCTAGACCCATTGCAATAAAGTCAGTAGTTGTAAAAATACTAAAGTGGTTTTTTATTTGTTGATTAGAACTGTTCTGATGCTGGTGAAAATGATGGTAGAATACTGTCAGTGTGTTGTTGACATTCCTACAGCCACTCCAGATTTGCTGACTCGGCTCATTGATTTACTCAAGGTAACTAAAGTTCAAAATCTATCTGGAATAGTTTGAGTGCTAGAGTAGGTGTTGTATCAAACATTAAATTCAAATATGTTGATCTGAGGTTAATTTGATTATGACAATTCAAATCTACTGGACAATGGCTAGTCTGACACCTGAAATAAGGGTTTTATGACCTTAAATGTGAAGTAAATTATGCTGAGATTAATTTAGTCAATTTAAATATACTTGGCTAGGGTTAGCTTGACCTATAATATTACTGGACTAGTTAGTTAGCACACTATCATATTTTGAAAAGATTTCAGAAATAGAGAAATATGTAATAGAAATTTTAAAATTAGTTGTAGTAGTTCCCTAGTAGGTTTTTGAAGTTGTTTTAAACTGTAAACTTGAAACTTGTCCTCAGATGTTCAACTCCAGAACATGTCAGCTGCTGATTGGAGCTGGTGCCAGACAGTTAGTTGGTTTGAGGACAATATCTACAAGGAACTTAGGTCTGTCACAATATTGATCGTAGTATATGCGTTAAAATTGATTGCTGTATTGATATGTAACATTTGTAAGAATTTAAACTGTAAAATTATGTTTTACTTGATACTTTTTTCCTCCTTTAGCTCTAGCCTCTCGCTGTCTTCAGTTGGTTGTGTTTTTCATTCCACAAGTTACAGAACATTTTGAACAAACTCTACCTGCCAAAAATATAAGCATGCTCAAGAATTTTAAGAAAATCAAAAAGGTATTATCTCATAATAATGCACCAAGCTACATACTATTCAGTTCTGAACCTCATTATTATGTCAATATTGTTGTCTAGGATGACACAAAAAATTAAATTTAAATATTTAATTTCTATTTAAGGATTACGATGACCACATAGAAGAAATTAATTTAAAACTTTTGTCAATCTCAGAAAACATGGCAGAAGTTCAGTTGTCAAAGGTAGTTTTCATTTTCTGTCCGCTTGCAATCTTTAGTACATTTTAGAGATAAACCTTATGACATAATTATAAAAAAAAAGTTAAACCAGTTAATTTTTTTTTAATTTATTTATTTTTACTAAATGAATATCATAAGTGCATTGTAAATTTCTAAGCTTAGCACATCTGCAGTAAAGCATTATTAGACAAAGCCATTAATTAAAATCTGTTCTCCAGTATGAGGTTAAAGCCCCCATGCCATCCCAGTGCTTCAGGACAATATGCAAACAGCTAGCTAAGTTACACGAAGCCTTAGTTGGAATTTTACCAACTCCGCAAATCAGGGTAAGCTTTTTGCTAAGGTTTAATTTCATTAATTTATTAATATTAATTCTCTGGCAAATTAGGTTATATATTTTTTTATTCCTGCGCTATTTACTTATCTTTTTATAACTAGCAACTAACTTTATTTTAAACTAAGATTTAAGCATTTTACTTCTTTGACTATTATCTTTAAATACATTCTCAGCAACTGTTTGAGAGGATGAATTCTTCCTTTCTCGGTTTACTTGGTAAACGTTTGGCTGCGCTAAAGGTCACCAATGATGGAGGACCCCAGTGTGGGTATGTATGAGTTTAAGTTTGTTTAACAGTTAAATACTGCTGCACATCAAGTTTTATGATTAACACTGTTAGATGACTTCTTGTGATTAGATTTAAAATTTCAGAGATTAGTTTTTTGCAAAAGAAACAATAAAAGTTAATACAACCATAAAGATCACTTGTATTATACCTGTACGGACTATAATGAAAAAACAAAATAAATCTCAATATTGTAGCTAGTTGCACACCATTTTTTAATTGATTAAAATGACAAAATAACGACAGGATCAATTAAGAGGACTAAATGCTGCAAAATGATACCAAACTTATGTTTGTGAGATAAATGGCTCTCTAGATATGACGGTTTTAGTGTAAAAAATGTGGGGATAACTAAGCCTATGGAAAATGAAAACAAAAATTGGTCACGTTGAGAGTATAGAAAATAGTCAAAAGGGAAATAGCTCTGCGTAGGTACACAATTATAAATTTTCAAATTGGTATTTTTTAATGCATTTATAATTGAATGGAGTTTCTCTACCAAGATATTAATAACTTTTAAAATTTAAAAGTGGTCTATTATATATTATTTTAATAAAAATAGACCACTGGCTAGATTTAATAATTTAACTCAAACATCATAGTAGCAGTAAAAATAACAGGAACTAGCTGAGTAAAAAAAACTGTATCATAGACAGACCAGTACAGTGCAACACATATGAGTGTTTTTGACCTAATTGAAGCATGTCAGTTTGCAGATAATACTTGGATGTCGTTAGATAACAGACATAGCTGGCGCGAAATAAACTGCAACATTATCAAGTATCGAGCATTTTATGCAGCTACGAAGTCACGTGGGTTTGTGTCCGACTTAACCTCCAGTTTTAAATATGACATCTTGCCACCCTTTTTTGTATGTGAGGGACAGTTTTAGCTAACGTGCTAGACCACGCCGTGCAGCTGTAAAATCATTTTACATAAGGTTAGGGGGTTTGGGGTCTGGAGAAGGGGTCTGGAGAAAACGTCTGACAACAATAAGGATATTACAAAGCTATGGATGAGGGGGGGGGGGGGGGGGTCATGTGAAAAAAAGCGTGACTTTATTTGTGGACGATGAAGGGCAGACTCAATTCCTTACCACATTCAGAAAAGTAAGAGGCACCCAGGACTACATTGCATACTTTACATAATTCTATAGTATGATTACTTTAAATGACTAAATAAAAAAAACCGTTAGCTATCTATATAGCCTATATATTTCTCTTCTTGGATATCCTAAAAATCACCAAGCTGTAAGCGCGCCTAGCAGCCCCCTCTCTTCCTCTCGAGGCATATCCCTACCACCCCCACATGGTCTGGTGAGCTGTGGTTCACGCTAAATGTTTACATGTAATCGTAGAGCCGGGTTTAGTGACGGCTATTAGGGGCAGATAATTTAATTTGAAACGATTTTAAACTTAGGGGAGGTAACTAAGAGGAGGCTGCTTTCACGGGGGGGGGGGGGGGGGGTGTAGGGTAGGGGTTCGGGGAAAGGAGGGTGTGGGGTAGGTTATCATCCTTAACGACCTACTGATAGTGTTTTAAAGCAAATATTTTCAGTGGCAGCATTGGTACTGTCGAATTCACAAATTATGAATACTGAAAAGTAGAAAATAAAACAACTAAATAGCGGATAGGCCGCGGGTCGGCTCGTATGTATAAAATAACTTGGAGCTAGAGCCAATATTTTGAGCTAGCCATCCTGGACCTTACAACTTTACATAATTTCAACTTCATTCTTAAATGTAGTATTCGAAAAGATCAAACTCACAAACTCAACAAGAGCAAAACCAGATTAGCACCAAACAGCAATATCCTTGCTCAAATGTCTTATATTCAGAAAGCCTCCCCCCCCCCCCTGATACAATCGTTATCTGAGTGTGACAAGCAAATAAAAATAGGCCTTTGTTTACAAGTGTATGTTTTATTCTTTAGCAAGATAAACTAATAGTAAATGAATTAAATGAAGACTATCAGTGTACGCATTCAGCTTGTTACAACAGAATAAACACACTCATAAAATGTTGGATTTTAAACTAGTACTTCTTAAATTAATAAAATTTGGATCCTGCATAGTATACTTGGTAAATTTAATCAACAACGGTTTAATTAATAATGTCCACCTTTGGTTTATAATGTTTAAGACAGCTTAAATATGTTTTTATTTTACATTTTAAATAGGCCTATAAAACAAATATCACGAAATACAAAAGCGTAGTTAGGTAGTAGACGATATCGCTAATACCTATGCCTATGAGGCATATTTTTTTTTTTTTTTGGTTTTACAGCTTGTGAACGTGTACAGGAGAAAGTAAAAAGATTGGTGAAAATAACATTAAAAATATACCAATAGTCCCACTAAATTCAAATATTACGACAAAACAATAACGATACCGCTTTCCTCGATTTTTAGATTTAATTTTAAAAAGGTTCATTTATTATGTTTGAATCTACTCTTTTAGTAGTTTAATTTTACATTTTCAATTCTAAATAATTAAAATTCTATGACAAAAAAATATGTGTTAAATTTGGTAACCTAATTTCTTTAAAACAAAGAAACCTGAATATGCGGTACTGATACCGCTAATATAGGACCTAGTTTGTGAGACATTTTTCATAGTCTGCTAAACTAATAAATCTAAAATAAATATGCTAATTAGAAAGTTCTACTATTTTAAAATTTTTTTTTGAAACATCATGTTTTAAACTCGTTATGAGATTCACAAAAACAAAAAGTTGAAATGAAAATTATACGGCAGTAACGGTCAATAACCGCTATTTATAAAGAGGGCATATATAACTGGATTCATAATCGAGCTCTATCGTTTTTTAAACGGTTATCATAGCAATGCAAAAGGTTTAGAGCCTGTGACGTCATGTTTTATTTGCTTGTGCAACTAGCTACAATATTGCAAACACTTAAAGTCAGTGGAGCTAAGTATGTCTGTTTATTAACAAGTGTTTTCAATATAATGAAATGTTCCTATTTACAAAAGTAAACTAATACAGAGTAAAATTACACATTCTAACCCTAATATTTCTTAACAATTTACTTTATATGAATTACTGCCATTATAATACTTTATTCTGCAACAACATTGCCTACAATTATCTCCCCTTTTTATGTAAAGAGTTGTCTTGTGTGAGGAACTTTACCTTGACTCGAACTTTCTTTCTCGTTATTACTTAGATAAAACCTGTTTCTGTTAATGTACACCTGCTCTCACTCTTTTAAATATATTCACATATTGATTATAAAATTGGAGAAATTTCAAGACTTTGTAAACTTTTTAACAACTCTAAAAGTTATTTTAAAATGTGATCTTGTATCTCCCCCAGGCTTGTGATATCAGACCTGATCTTCTACTCAGGAAGCTTCAACACCCTGAAAGGTCTGGAGAATTTAGTCAGCAATACAAATGCTGTGTGGGACGTCAGGTGACAGACCTCACAGCACCACATCTTCTCTTTTGTTGGATAGCTGTTGCCATACATAACAATGTGATGACTCGTTTTTTCATTGGATAGAAGCTGCTCCCTGTGTTTACATACTGTACAAACCACAACTATCATTGTTAAAGTGTAAGTGTCCAAAACAAATGGCAGTGTTTAAAGTTTAATTAAAACACAAGTCAGTGTTTATTTAAAGTGTCAGTCTGTGTATACTATTCCCATTGTAATGGGGGATGTGTTAGCTGTGACTGTGTTAACATGTCCTGAACCTGAATGTAGGTGTATTTGACTTAAGGGAAAGTTTGACTAGAAAGTTTGTTACACTGTTCCATTTGGGAAAGATAAATGATTATTCAAGTTTTGTATCTGTGCAATAATATTGATTAGGTGGTATACAAAATTGTGAATAATTTTAAGTTATTAGAAGCAATTTTTTTTACAAAGATGTATCACATAAAATTCAGAGAGTGCATTTGAATGAAATACTTTATTTTTGTTGCTTAGTTTCTGTAACTTCTAAAGTTTGTAATTTCATGTTTTTATATTACTGTGATATGAAAGATAATGTTGACTGAAGAGATCAGAGAAAGGTTGTCAGAATCTGTAATGATAATCTTTGATTTAATAAAAACCCTTCTGTTCTATACAGTATAGGAAGCATTTGAAAATATAGTTTTAAAGTGCTTTTATTTTTACTGCAGTGGAACAATTTAATTTATATACGCTACAGTTTATTTGAAAAATAGATTCTAAGTTTAAACTGACCATATGACATTAACAAAATGAATATTTTACCTTGTAAATTGCTCCAATCTGCTTCTATTAAAATATCTTTAAAACTTGTGTTATTTGCAGGCTGTATACACAATTTTTTTAAATTTTATTATTTGTGATTTTTTTTTCCCAATCATTTTTTTCTCCATCTCATTTGAAGAAAATATAGATTATGATAAGAAGGAGTTAAAGGTTATGTTTATAAAATAGTTTCCATTCAACCCTATGTCTTTGAGCCAGTAAAACATACTTTATTACTTTCCTTCATTCAACTTAAGTAGACAATCCAAGTTACAATATGATTCCAATATGTAACTGAACACTACTGAATACACTCCCCTTCATTTGATAGTGAAATTTAAACAGATGTGTGCTCTAGCAATATTTATTTGACAAATTAAAATCTCGTTAGGACTGTTACTCAGGTTTGGTAGCTGCCAGTATTATGTCCTTTAAAACAAGTGTCCAGCATGAAAGCATTTCTCAGATCATCTTAGATTTATGCCAGGTGCTCATTCATCTTTCAGGTATTACCAACCAACTTCTTAAGACATCAATGAAGCTAGAAATTCTGATGGCCATTTTTACAATCATTATATCTATCAGCAACTCCCAGTTTTCTCCAGGCTTACACTCTAGTGTTGGTTACCTTCTAGTCCTCCTAACCACGAGAACACATTGTACATGAGTTTCTTACTGCTGTAAATACTTATCTTTTAACTTATACACCGCTACAATGTTTTATACTCTACTCTGGGCAGGTTGATATGGTTTAGGTAAATATGCTACAAACCAGCATTTTAAGCACTTGATTAGAAATTGATGAGCAGTTTTACAAAACTTAAGCCTTAAAAAAAAGTGATTACTTTTGAATTCTATTAGAATCTCCATTTTTATCATTTGAAACTAATTCATTAATACTTAGTAAGAACAAAAAGATGAAACTTATTTAGTTTTGGAAAAATTGCTCAAAAATGACAGTGTGTAAAAAGTGTAGGATAGCTATTTTAAGTTAATGAAATGTTGATTGAAGTTTATTTTATGGTATAACTATAAAAAATGATGTAACAATTATTTTTATGTTTTAAAAAACTGCTCTTCAATGATTTAAAAATAAATACAACATTCCTATCTATACAGTGCAATTCTTTAAAAGTATTTATTTAGAAGTTTTATTTTCATCCCAGGTTATATGTATTGATGGATTGTTTGAAGAACATTTGCTTTGATATATTATTTTAATATTTTCCTCACATGCTAGGTTCATTGGACAATGGCATGTTTTGAATAAATGTCAAATTTGAAAGATTTTTATTTTTATTATTGAGAAATGAAATAAAGAAATAAAATGTGGGGACGATTTTCAAAAGATGTATTCTAAGTTTAATGATTGTTATATGTCACTACAGTAGAAAATTGGCCTGATTCTCATTTGACTAGAATCAGTATTTTATTTTCCTTTTTTTTTTAAATTTTGTGGGTCCACATAATTTGCACATGTATTGAAGTTCATCAACCCAAAGATTACACAAAAGATGAGTTTCAATATTTTTATTACTTTAAAATACTAGTATCTGTATATATATGCATCTGTGCGTCATTTACACAACAATGACATATTTACATGTATTAAACACATTTTACTATGTCATTTGCTTTTTTTTTCTCAAAATACAACAAACAGACAAAGCATGCAGTTTCTTTAGACAACCTGACATGTAGTTTTCCAGTTTGTTCAGATCTGCTTGCTTTATCATCTCAAATTTACCTATCACTTGACTTAAAAGTTGATTACATAAACTGAGGGGAAGGGGTGAAGTGATTCAACTCCAATGGAGATTCATGCACAAAAAGATTGTTCTACATAAGGCAGGGGAAAAAATGCTACAAAAAATCCAGACCCAATGCTTTAACTTATTCATTTGTATTTGTCTTCTGAAAGCACATCACTGGTAATTTCTGGGAACAGTATGCTAAGTGGACAACATTCTGCCAGAGTACAATAGAAAATAATAAATGGGGACTAAACCTGAGAACAGCCTCTCATCAGAAAGGATTGTATTTTTTAATGCCCCTTAATTTAAATGACCGCTTTTTAATTAATTTTTCTACCCCGTTTGGCGCCCCTTTGGGTTCGGCGTCCGAGGCGGCCGCCCCACCCACCCTCCCCTAGCTACGCCACTATAAGTCCTGTTATTTCTTCATCAAAATGAATTGGTCTTTTCTGTCACCCCTATTTATGTTAAAGATGGTTTGTCCTGTATACCTGTCATAAAAGAAATTTTTAATATTGGTATGAAACTAATAGACTCTAATATTGGTATGAAACTAATAGACTCTACCTAAAAGAGGAGTGTTATGATGTGTGAACCATTGTATAACAGTAATGGATACTATGATTAGGATTAATGCTATGGTATAACTTTTATTTGAGTTTGATTAATAATATATGTTGGCTTTCAAATACCGATGGTTGATTTAATAAACAACGTTAGTTTACTACTTTCCGTAGACTAACACCCCTTTCCAGAAGATTCAATAATTATTTCCTTATTATACAGTCGTGCCAACAACAACAAAACCACCCCTCCCCCTTCCGTCACGTTTGTGAAAAGTGTTCACACTTTTTTCACCCTGATTGCTAAAATCGGAGTCGTGAATGACGTAACATGGTCGCAGGTGACTTAGTATCAGTTTTGTCATCACAAAGTGTTATGTAACGGGGTAGTTGGTCTCGAATTTGTGATTTGTGTTTCTAATACACTATAAACTAAGTCCTGTCATCCCTTTCTTTCACAATGGTTTGATCTGTTCTGACACTCCTCTTTCTCTCAATAATGTAATAAACAATAATCTGTTTCCTTTTCCGCAGTTGAAACCCCTATTTCCGAAGATTTCATTATTATTGCATTATTGAACATTGATAAAAAAATTAAACTCCCCTTCCCACCTCACCCCACCCTCCCCCGTTCATTGTCGCATAAAAATATAAGTTTGACTTTTTTTTAGCGTGACAACGCGATGTTATAAATGACGTAACAAGGTCACAGGTTATGTAGTATCAGTTACCTCATTCAAAAATGTTATGTAACCAGGCATAAGCTGGTCTCGACTTTATGGGTTGTGTTTCTAAAACACTCTAAACTAAGTCCTGTCATCCCTTTTTTTCACAATGGTTTGATCTGTTCTGACACCCCTATTTATCTCAATAATGTGATAAGCAATAATCTGTTTCCTTTTCCGCAGTTGAAACCCCTATTTCAGAAGATTCCATTATTATTGCATTATTGAACAGTGATATTAAAATTAAACTCCCCTTCCCACCCCCCACTCCCCCCATTCATTCTCGCATCAAAATATAAGGTTGACTTTTTAGCGTGACAATGCAATGTTATAAATGACGTAACAATGTCACAGGTTATGTAACATCAGTTACCTCATTCAAAAATGTTATGTAACCAGGCATAAGCTGGTCTCGACTTTGTGGGTTGTGTTTCTGAAAGACTCAAAATTAAGTCTTGTCATCTTTTTTTTTTTTTAAACGGTTTGATTGGATCGTTTCTGACACCCCTACATCTTTTCTTAATTTTCTGCACGCGCATGTTTGTAAATATAAGTCTGAATATTGAATTGGTATCAAACGAATAGACTCTTCCTATAAGTGGTGTTTTATAATGAAGGAATGATAGTATTATTACCTACAGTAATTTGGGCAAGGATTAGGGTAAGGTCTATGGTATACCTTGGATTTGGGTTAGATTAAAATATATAATGTTTGGCTTTTAATTCAAATGGATGATTAATAAATTAAAGATTTGTTTAGGTCTACTACTTTCCGTAGGCTTACACCCCTTTTCAGAAGATTCCATATTTTTTCAAAAGTTGTGCCAATCACAACAAAATCAATCGCAACTCTCCCCTTCCGTCACATTCACGAAACGTGTTCAGACTTTTTCAGTAATAAGTACACAGGTTACGTAACATCAGTTACGTCATCTAGAAGTATTATACAACGGGGTAGCTGATCTCGATTATGTTATTTTTTTTTCTAAAACACTCAAAATAAATCCTGTCATCCCTACTTAAACAATAGTTTGATCTGTTCTGTCACCCCTACACCTTTTAACAATGGTTTGTCTGTACACACGCCACTAGAGTATGTAAACGAGTATGTTAAGATATAATATCCACCTTTTTACTTGTCCATCATTATCTTTTTACAAACATCTTCAAAAGTAACTAACTGGTTATAATAAATTTGCCTTTCAATCATTAAAGTTGCAAAATAATATAGATTGAAGCCGGTCCTCCACTTGAAAATAATTGACTATTTCCAGTAGCAGTATTCCTCCTCCCCCCCCCCCGCCCATCCCCACCCATAGTTTAAAAGGTCGGTGGCGCTTTTTACCAGTTACTATCCCGTAAATTTTCTAACTCGGTGCCTCAAAATTGATATAGAAAACAGTTAAATCAGTGTGTAAAGCAGTTTATTTTCATAACTTCAATACTTCAGCTTAAAACGAGCTTTTAAATTATTTTATCTTTCCCGTTTGGCGCCCCCTTTTGTTTCGGCGCGCGAGGCGGCCGCCCACCCGCCCTCCCCTAGCTACGCCACTGTAAGTCCTGTTATTTCTTCATCAAAATGGATTGGTCTTTTCTGTCACCCCCATTTATGTTAAACATGGTTTGTCCTGTATACCTGTCATAAAAGACATTTTTAATATTGGTATCAAACTAATAGACTCTACCTAAAAGAGGAGTGTTATGATGTGTGAACCATTGTATTACAGTAATGGATACTATGATTAGGATTAATGCTATGGTATAACTTGGATTTGGGTTTGATTAATAATATATAATTATTGGCTTTCAATTACCGATGGTTGATTTAATAAACAACATTAGTTTACTACTTTTCGTAGACTAACACCCCTTTTCAGAAGATTCAATGGTTTTTTTTCATTTTTTATACAGTCGTGCCAACAACACCAACAAAACCACCCCTCCCCCTTCCGTCACGTTTGTGAAAAGTGTTCACACTTTTTTCACCCTGATTGCTAAAATCGGAGTCGTGAATGACGTAACATGGTCAAAGGTTACTTAATATCAGTTATGTCATTACAAAGTGTGATGTAACGGGGTAGTTGGTCTCGAATTTGTGAGTTGTGTTTCTAAAACACTCTAAACTAAGTCCTGTCATCCTTTTTTTTCACAATCGTTTGATCTGTTCTGACACCCCTATTTCTCTCAATAATGTAATAAGCAATAATCTGTTTACTTTTCCGCAGTTTAACCCCCTATTTCAGAAGATTCCGTTATTATTGCATTATTGAAAAGTGATATTAAAATTAAACTCCCCTTCCCACCCCCCACTCCCCCCATTCATTGTCGCATCAAAATATAAGGTTGACTTTTTTTTAGCGTGACAATGCGATGTTATAAATGACGTAACAAGGCCACAGGTTATGTAACATCAGTAACCTCATTCAAAGATGTTATGTAACCAGGCATAAGCTGGTCTCGACTTTGTGGGTTGTGTTTCTGAAACACTCAAACTTAAGTCTTGTCATCTGTTGTTTTTTTTAAACGGTTTGATCGTTTCTGACACCCCTACATCTTTTCTACATTTTCTGCACGCGCATGTAAATATAAGTCAATAATATTGGTATCAAACTAATAGACTCTTCCTATAAGTGGTGTTTATAATGAAAGAATCATAGTATTATTACCTACAGTAATTTGGGCAAGGATTTGGGTTAGGTCTATGGTATACCTTGGATTTGGTTTTGATTAAAATATATAATGTTTGGCTTTTAATTCAAATGGATGATTAATAAACAAACGATTTGTTAAGGTCTACTACTTTCCGTAGGCTTACACCCCTTTTCAGAAGATTCCATATTTTTTCAAAAGTTGTGCCAATCACAACAAAATCAATCTTAACTCTTCCCTTCCGTCACGTTCATGAAACGTGTTCACACTTTTTCAGTAATAGGTACACAGGTTACGTAACATCAGTTACGTCATTTAGAAGTATTATATAACGGGGTAGCTGATCTCGATTATGTTAGTTTTTTTCTAAAACACTCAAAATAAATCCTGTCATCCCTACTTGAACAATAGTTTGATCTGTTCTGTCACCCCTACACCTTTTAACAATGGTTTGTCTGTACACACGCCACTAGAGAATGTAAAAGAGTATGTTAAGATATGATATCTACATTTAGAAGTATGACATTTTGACTAGTTCATCATTATTTTTTTTGACAAACACCTTCAAAAGTAACTAACTAGTTATAATAAATTTGCATTTCAATAATTAAAGTTACAAAATAATATAAACTGAAGCCGTTCCTCCACTTGAAAATAATTGACTCTTTCCAGCAGCAGTATTCCCCCCCCCCCCCCCCCCCCCACCCATAGTTTAAAAGGTCGGTGGCGCTTTTTACCAGTTACTATCCCGTAAAATGTTCTAACTCGGTGCCTCAAAATTGATATAGAAAACAGGTAAATCAGTGTGTAAAGCCGTTTATTTTCATAACTTCAATACTTCAGCTTAAAACGAGCTTTTAAATTAATTTTTCTATCCCGTTTGGCGCCCCCTTTTGTTTCGGCGCGCGAGGCGGCCGCCCCACCCGCCCTCCCCTAGCTACGCCACTGTAAGTCCTGTTATTTCTTCATCAAAATGGATTGGTCTTTTCTGTTACCCCCATTTATGTTAAAGATGGTTTGTCCTGTATACCTGTCATAAAAGAAATTTTTAATATTGGTATCAAACTAATAGACTCTACCTAAAAGAGGAGTGTTATGATGTGTGAACCATTGTATTACAGTAATGGATACTATGATTAGGATCAGGGGCGGAACTACAGTGCCGCCAGACCCCGCAATGCGGGGGGGCCCACGACGTTTAGGGGCCCAATTCCGACCAAAAAAACAATGAATTTTCTTTTCATTAATAATGTTTTTCGTGCACCTTGATAGTAGTTTTGTAAAAAACAAACAGGTCTACTGTAGCAGTGATTGTTCTAAAGTAACTAACACACATTGTTGCGTAGAAAAATATTAAATCTACAAGAGCTCTACTTTGAAAGATAGGCAAACGTTCACACTACTTCCATGACTTTACTTATCAGATCTATTTTCTTTTAACATAAAATTAAATCGTCGTCTCAATTTACCATTCCCTTATTCAACCTTTTTCCAAAAACATAGCTTCGCCTACTCTGGTTCTAATTTGTGGAACAATCTTCCTAATAAAATAAAGCTATCTAGATCTGAAAATATATTCAAATCTAAATTAAAACTAAAATTATTTAATGACCTAACTGACTCATTGTAACATTTCTCATTCATCTATTATATTCTCTTTTTTATCTCATTATGTATGATAGCTATGTACCATTGTTTCTTTATTCCACATTTTCAGTGCTATGTGTTACTGCTATGTGTTATTGAATTGCTTTATTTGTTTAAACGGCCAATGTGAAAAAAGGCCTTTGTGCCTACAATTGTAACCGTTGTTTGAATAAATTTGAATAAATTTGAAATTTGACTTACTGCCCTTTACCAAAACACGGGTGCTCATAAAGCTCATTTAAATAGTTTTGTACTATGTAAATTAAAGAGCCACTTATTCTCTTAATTATTACTTAAATAAGGCATTTTAAAGAATCCTATAGTTATAAAAATTAATGAATTCAAAACTAATAATATAAATACAAAAAATCATAAAAATAAACATAACGCGAAAAACCATTTCAAAATCAAGCTTACGTGCTTATATAATTTTGACCAGCCAGCAATCTGATCACAATTTTCGGTAAACAAAGACGTAATACAAACATTTGTAAAACACGATTATTGCGGGCCCGAAATGAGTTCGGAGTTATTGTTGTCTGGTTCGTTATCTCAGAGTGGTTATACATTGCAATAAAATAGATTAACATATTTAGGTAATAGACTATTTAATATTTTGAGAAGCGGGCTACTTATATATATATGTATATATATATATATATATATATATATATATATATATATATATATATATATATATATATATATATATATATATATATATATATATATATATATATATATATATATATATATATATAAGGGGGCCCAAAAATTTTTTTTGCGGGGGAGCCTTTTTTTTCTAGTTCCGCCACTGATTAGGATTAATGCTATGGTATAACTTGGATTTGGGTTTGATTAATAATATATAATTGTTGGCTTTCAAATACCGATGGTTGATTTAATAAACAACATTAGTTTACTACTTTCCGTAGACTATTACCCCTTTCCAGAAAATTTAATATTTATTTCATTTTTATATAGGCGTGCCAACAACAACAACAAAACCACCCCTTCCCCTTCCTTCACGTTCATGAAAAGTGTTCACACTTTTTTTCACCCTGATTGCTAAAATCGGAGTCGTGAATGACGTAACATGGTCGCAGATTACTTAATATCAGTAATGTCATTACAAAGTGTGATGTAACGGGGTAGTTTGTCTCGAATTTGTGAGTTGTGTTTCTAAAACACTCTAAACTAAGTCCTGTCATCCCTTTTTTTCACAATGGTTTGATCTGTTCTGACACCCCTACTTCTCTCAATAATGTAATTAACAATAAATTGTTTCCATTTCCGCAGTTGAAACCCCTATTTTAGAAGATTCCATTATTATTGCATTATTGAACAGTGATGAGTGGTGATAAAATTAAACTCCCCTTCTTACTCCACCCCACCCTCCCCCTTCCATTGTCGCATCAAAATGTACTGTTGACTTTTTGAAAAGCGTAATAACGCGATGTCGTAAATGACGTAACAAGGTCACTGGTTATGTAACATCAGTTACTTCATTAAAATGTTATGTAACCAGGCATAGGCTGGTCTCGACTTTGTGGGTTGTGTTTCTGAAACACTCAAACTTAAGTCTTGTCATCTGTGTTTTTTACAATGGTTTGATCGTTTCTGACACACCTACTTCTTTACTTAATTTTCTGCACGCGCATGTAAAAAATGCCTTAATATTGGTATCAAACTAATAGACTCTTCCTATAAGTGGTGTTTTATAATGAAGGAATCATAGTATTATTACCTGCAGTAATTTGGGCAAGGATTAGGGTTAGGTCTATGGTATACCTTGGATTTGATTTAATGGTTGGCTTTCAATTACCGATGGATGTTTAATAAACAACCGATTAGTTTAGGTCTACTACTTTCCGTAGGCTTACACCCCTTTTCAGAAGATTCCATATTTTTTTCAAAAGTTGTGCCAATAACAACAAAATCAATCCCCTTCCCCCTTACGTCATGTTCATGAAACGTGTTTACACTTTTTTTCAGTAATAAGTTCACAGGTTACGTAACATCAGTTAGGTCATTTAGAAGTATTATATAACGGGGTTCATGAAAAGTGTTCACACTTTTCCAACTTACCATCGGATTCGGGGATGAAGTAACAAGGACACAGGTTACATAACATCAGTTATGTCATTTAGAAGTATTATATAACGGGGTTCATGAAAAGTGTTCACACTTTTCCAACTTACCATCGGAGTCGTGGATGAAGTAACAAGGACACAGGTTACGTAACATCAGTTATGTCTTTATAATGTGTTATGTAACGGGGTAGTCGGTTTCGAATTTGTGAGTTGTGTACTTAAGAATGAAGTCTTGTCATCCCTTTTTTCACAATGGTTTGACCGGGTCTGTCACCCCTACTTTTTATTAATCGATTATTAGTTACGCGCACTATAAAAAAAAAAGTGTCATAAAATGTGTATCAAACTAATAGACTCTTCTTATAAGAGGTGTGTTATAGGTTTAGGTTTACTACTTTCCGTAGAGTATATTACGATATATCCGCCTTTAGAAGTATCACATTTTTACTTGTACATCATTAGCTTTTTACAAACACCTTCAAAAGTAGCTAACTGGTTATATTAAATTTGCCTTTCAATCATTAAAGTTGCAAAATAATATAGACTGAAGTGTATTCTAAGTTTATTGATTAATAGGTCAGTAGAAAATTGTCCTGACTCACATTTAACTAGAATTAATACGGGAGATGAAATTGTTTTCTAGAAGTCAGGTGTTTTTTTCTCATTTCCTTTTTTAAAAAAAATTTTGTGGGTCCACCTAATTTGCACATGTAGTGAAGTTCATCAACCCAAAGATTACACAAAAGATGAGTTTCGATATTTTTATTACTTTAAAATACTAGTATCTGTATATATATGCATCTGTGTGTCATTTACACAACAATGACATATTTACATGTATTAAACACATTTTACTATGTCATTTGCTTTTTTTTCTCAAAATACAACAAACAGACAAAGCATGCAGTTTCTTTAGACAACCTGACATGTAGTTTTCCAGTTTGTTCAGATCTGCTTGCTTTATCATCTCAAATTTACCTATCACTTGACTTAAAAGTTGATTACATAAACTGAGGGGAAGGGGTGAAGTGATTCAACTCTAATGGAGATTCATGCACAAAAAGATTGTTCTACATAAAGCAGGAAAAAAAAGCTAAAAAAATCCAGACCCAAAGCTTTAATGTATTCATTTGTATTTGTCTTCTGGGAACAGTATGCTAAGTGGACAAAATTCTGCCAGAGTACAATAGAAAATAATACATGGGAACCTGAGAACAGCCTCTCATATGCATTGCATGCCTGAAAGTTCTCAAGTGCCAGTTGCACAGAGAGGACTCAACAATATATTATAAAGTCTGTTTTTATGCTTGTTAATTTAAATGACATGGCAAAACATTTTTTAAAAGAGCTATCCTGAAAAAAAAGGACAAGTAAATTATAAAAATATTATAGATGGATATACAGCAAACCAAATAAGAACTCAAACAAGTAGAAAGAAATGAAAGTCAAGAAAGCAAACTGCAGAAACCTGATCGACTTATTTTAATTGTTTTACACCACAAGCAATTATACCAGAAAAAATAAAAATGCAAAAAAAAAAAAAAAAAAAAAAAAATAATTAAATCCAGTATTTTGTGATACCCCATATTTTTAAATTAGGAAAACCACCCCACTGTTAACTAAAAAAATCTCACTAGTAATATCACAGAAAAAATGTAAATAGATAAATGGTTAACTAGTCTTCAGTCAAACTGAATTCAAAACCATGGTTAACTTAAATCTTATTTAGCGAGTCCATAACTAAAAAGAATATTTCAAATGGGATTGAAAAGCAAGAAAAATAAATTTGACCAAAACTTTGGTTCATACAGTATGAATAAATATTTCATTTGGTTAATTTCTTTTAATCCAGAGGTAACAACAATCCCTCTTTTGTTATAATTGTTATTTGATAACATGTAAATATATCTGGGTACTAAAATAAATGGAACCTGTGAGTTCTGTAAGAAAACAGATTCAATAAGTAGAATTATACAAACATAATTTACTGAACCTACTGCCCACACAACAAAATATCAATCACTAAATTAGAAAGCATTTCTGAAACATCAGTTCAATTAATTTATCCTATTAGCTAATTTTACACATAATAAACAAGATTTATTTTGATGCATTTTTATACAATGGCTTAAACAAAAATACATATGATTTAAGAATGTGATATTTAAACAATTTTTCAGTGATAACATTTGAATGAATCGATTTAATTAAAAGTAAACACGTACCTAGATAATAATTAAGACATACTAATGTCAATTAACAATAAATTATGTAATATTTTACAAGCTGATGTTTACTTGATGTTTGTGCTTGTTTCAAGATGATCCAGTTTGTGTACAACATTCTACAATGTTTACTTACATTAATTGATGGGAAAAAAAACACAGCACTCAGCCTATAATACTGTTGTCGTCATAATTTAATCTAACTAAACAACCCACAGCAGCCAGCTCCACTGCTCTAAGTGGACTCACAAATTAGCAGGGAATCTAACTCTGGTGAGGCTTCATCTAGGGCATGACACGGCTCGTGCTGATTTTACTGCCCTGGTAAGGGTTAATGAAATCTAACTCTGGTGATGATAGTGTTGGGCAATGCATGACATAAATGTTGCTGACTTCTCCGTAGAGGGTTAATGGTCCAGGATCCTGAGGTTGCCAGATACAATCTTGTTCTCAAGTATAGACCCCATGGGAATGTCAATTTTTTCACCGTGGTTAGCTATGATGATCACAGTGCCCTGAAACAAAACAAAAAAAAATTGAATTTTTTTCAGTGATGAGCTATGAACCGAAAATACATGGACGTCAATTTTTTACGGTTAAAATTAAAATGAACAAAAACTGATAACTCATTAACTTTTTGGAGAATTTAAAGTATAAGATATCCAAGCACAATTTCATTAGGGTGCAGTAAGTGCTCAAATCTGTGAATGGGATCAGTGGCTAATTAAATACATGAACTTTGGTTAAACTAACCTATAGGCTACCATTTGATATTCATTTCTGGTACGATAACAGGATGGATGGGACTGCATACTAATTTATCATAGATTCTAATAAATGTTATTGCCGCAATGTAAATTCCTGTCAGATAATCTTTAAACTATTAGTAAAATACACCAGCAAACTTTAGAGTGGAGGTGCTACTTTTAAAAAATGATAAGTGTACAAGGACAAGAAACTTGACCTAAACATCTATAAATAGTTTGTACCCACCCATGAACGTCTAAAAATAGTTCCTAGTCCCTGTGGTACTCACCCTGAGACTGACATTTTTCCCAAAGTTGACATCACCTGCCACTGTCAGGTGATCTAGTTCAAGCAAGTCAGGAATGCTGGCAAAACGGTTTAAGAAGTCTTTCACCTGAAAAGTTTGTTTACATTTAGATTAAAAAAAGGGCTGTTAAGAAACTTTTGTTATTTTTTTTTTTTACATAGAAGCAGATCATTGTATTGAATTTTTAGGCTTAGTTTTTAAAGATGCATTTCTTAAAAATACAGGATTGGTGTATTATATAAGAACCTTTTTATACATCACTAATCTCAGTCTTAAAAAAATGCTTAGTTTTATCTAGATTATAAAAATAAAAATGTTTGATCAAAGGGATGTAACTGCCAGAATTTTTTTTGTTGGCCACACAAACCTTTGAGAACTGGTGGCCAAGCTTGACTAAAGGCACACTGGGAAATGACCTTTTGGGTGACATTTCCAGGGCCCCTGTCCTCATGGCATACAAGTTGCTCATCACTATCAAAAGATCAGAGGTTGTCTTGACAGGCAAGAAACGACTACGTGGCACATTGATACCTGGAACACAAGGGAGAATTTATTTTAAAAGCGTTCTATGTCACATGCATGATGTTAAAAGAATGATATTGCTAAGCTCTACAAAAAGGAGTATATTATTTTGCTTCTGTCAAAGAGAAAATATCTCAAATATTTAACTTAATATTTAACACAAAAACTAAATCCATTTGGTTGCCTGCACAATATTTTGATGAAGTGATGTGATTTAGTAATTACTTTATTATATCATAGATTTTTTTAAAAAATTGGGAATTTCTAATTAGTGCTGTTTCACTTGCCATATAATTAAAGTTCATTTAAAAAATGTACTAAGTGAGGTGTAAATCAACTGATAAAGAAATCCTTATCAATACATACCCACAGCCCTCTCAAAGCTTTTAATGGCAGCACCAACAGCAGTTTCCAGCTGGATAACATTCATACCATTGTCTAATGTCTGCAACAGGACAAACACATCAGCCAGATGTAACAATGGTAATAATCATAGCGGCTGATGTATACATATCATAAAGACTAGCTTATACATAACAGCAAGATGTAACAATGGAACAATCATAGCGGCTAACATATATAAGCCTTAAAAACTCCTCATGTATGGATTCGTTAGGATAGTCTCACCTTTGGGTTGACGATGATTTCCATGTGCAATGTTCCCTCTTCAACATTTCTCTTGATAGCAGGTAAACTTATCCACAGATTATTGGTATTAAAGATCCTGAATAAGAAAATATTGAATAAATCAATACACTTTTAGTTACTAGTTTGGTTTTTTTCAAAAAAAAAAAAAACCCTAATCCTACTTGGGTTTGCTGAGGTAAAATTATTTAATTAATGCTTTTAGCTAATTCCGGCAGAATTTAGAAAACTTATGTTTAAAAAAAAAAAAGAACTTACTTGAATTTACTGACACTTTTGAATTCATCAACCTTAAAAAAAAAGAGATAAAAAATGTATTACCTTAAAAAACTTAATAAAATAAAAAATAACATAACAGACAGGACATTGACAGCTTACGTGGTCAGATGGAACTTGGGCGTATTCTAAAAGTCTGAGCTTTCCTTCATATTCAATCAACGTACCACCCTGAAATGTATGACATACAATTTTATAAAAACTGAAAAAAAAATCTTCAATGGTTTGTCACAACTAAACTAAACACTGAAGCCATACCACTGTGATATTTTAGATTTGACTTTGTGAACAAACAAAAGAAACATTTAAGCATTACCCATACTATTGTAAGATATGACTATATATATATGATTTAGATACTGACTTACACTTTATTTAGGCTGGACAAATATTTTACTTTCTAATGCTGGCCAACTATTGATTATTAATATTACACAAATCAATGTTATAAAATGATCTAGCAAAGTACTTTTGAGGACATGATGATTTAAGATATACCTTGACATCAGCTCTTGTTTTGTCTGTAACTTCCATCACAAATTCTGGTGCCTCAAGTTCTGGAGTATTGAGGAGAAAACCCAAGATGTCTGGCTAGGTTAAGGTTTTTTTTTGTAGAGTAAATATATTGACCTCAACTTGATAAACTATTGTTTATCAGACATTTAGTCCAAATTTAAGTGATACACATTTTTTATTTTCTCCTTTTAATTCAATATAGCACTGAGATTTATAAATAGTGCTAAATGCTAAAAAAATATAGAGAGAATTAGTAAACAACAATATGAAAACTTTGAAAACTAAGTAGATGGAACTTATATATTCAAGTATCATAAAGTCCTCTCTTTAAATTTTCAAATGTTTTAACCTATTCATTCTTTAACAAATCCTTTTTATCAACTTACCCCCAGAACTCTTTTGTTAATAATGAATAATTCATTTTATTTTATTTTTAAATTTAAAATTTTCCTCAATTATTTCTTAACATTTCAAAATGGGATAACATTTTAAAAAAATGTTTAGTGCAGTTTCCCTACAGCAGTCAAACAAGTGACACAACGTGTACAAGGATACTAAGGTCCACTGTGGCTCCCATGTTATCAATGTTGGATATAAAGATGTACTTTTTGCCCTCGTTGATAAACTTGTCTAGGAGACCAGAGTTGTACAAGGAGTTGTAGACGTCACCGTGTCCAGGTGGATACCACCTGTAGGAGAGGATCCCAGGTGCTCAGGTTTATGATGTGAATAAAAGGTAACTAACAACAAGGTGTAACTACCATCTGTGGATCTCAGGTGTTCAAGTTTATGACATGAATAAAAGTTAACTAACAACAAAATGTAACTACCACTTATGGAAGGGGATCTCAGGTGTTCAAGTTTATGACATGAATAAAAGGTAACTAACAACAAGGTGTAACTACCACCTATGGAAGAGGATCTCAGATGTTCAAGTTTATGACGTGAATAAAAGGTAACTAACAACAAAATGTAACTACCACCTATTGAAGGGGATCTCAGATGTTCAAGTTCATGACGTGAATAAAAGGTAACTAACAACAAAATTTAACTACAACCTATGGATGAGGATCTCAGGTGTTCAAGTTTATGACATGAATAAAAGGTAACTAACAACAAAATTTAACTACAACCTATGGAAGAGGATCTCAGGTGTTCAAGTTTATGACATGAATAAAAGTTAACTAACAACAAGGTGTAACTACCACCTATGGAAGAGGATCTTAGATGTTCAAGTTTATGACATGAATAAAAGTTAACTATGATATAATTTTTATTTAATTTGGATGTTTGTTAAATGCAGCCCTTTATAAGTGCTGAAAGACTATTAAAAATAATGTCTGTATAGTTTATAGTTTGGCAAAGCTGTAAGGTCCGGCTAGCTCAAAATATTGGCTCTAGCACAGAGTTTTTTTTATATAAATAGCTAACGTTTTTTTTGAGTTAGTCATTTAAAGTAATCGTACAATGGAATGTTGTTTTTAATGTATAGGCCTATGTAATAAACATATCAGAAGTTTAAATAAACAAATATGCTGACTTTTCAGGGTGGATAACAAATAGATCTAATATTTTATTTACACATTTATTAAAAAAAAAAATCTGAACTACTAACCCTTCAATAGATTCCTCCCCAAAACTTCTCGGAACTGGCATAAGAGTATCTCTGTTGATTCTCGGATATCTGAAATTAGAGTTGCATTTTCATTGAAGATGTATTCAAGCCAATTAAGACTAAATGTGAATGAATATTTTAATCAACAGTTTTCAGATGAAAATAATACAGATTTAATTTAGTTTAAGTCCTTTTTATGTCTATAAAAATAGAAAACAGAACATGATGTAAACATATTCTAAGCCACAATTACATTCAATCAATAATCATGTTTCAAATAGGTGCTATTTTCTTAAGAAAAAGATAAAATTAAAAAAATTGGAGAGAATAAATCGTCACCTGACATGTACTAACCTGCTCTGGTTAAAAGTGACAATACTGACTTTGATTTGACTGTATTTCCTTAGGATTTTTTGAGTGTCCTCATCAGTATTGAATGAGTTCATTAGGACAAGAGGCACATCTACATCATAAGTTTTGTTAAGGTGCTGGAAAAGACAGACACATACATCGTAAGTTTTGTTAAGGTGCTAGAAAAATCGGTATTAATATCATAAGTTTTGTTAAAGGGTTAGAAAAGACAGACACATACATCATAAGTTTTGTTAAGGTGCTAGAAAAATAGGTATTTATATCATAAGTTTTGTTAAGGTGCTAAAAAAGACAGGTATACATTGTACATTTTGTTAAGGTGCTAGACAAGACAGACGCATACATCATACGTTTTATTAAGGTGATAGAAAAGGCAGACACGAACATACACACAGGCATTTTACAAATTTTGTTCAAGTGCTAGAAAAGACTAATATTTACATCAGAAGTTTTGTTAAGGTGTTAAAAAAGACAGGAATTACATAACATCATAAATTTTGTTAAGGTGCTAGAATAGACAAGAAAAATTGTTTTTTTCCAAATCATTACACAAGTAGGACATAATTTAACACACAAGCGCATCTGTTAAAGAATTCACTCAAACATAAAATTGTATGGCTTGTATTTATTGATCCAAAAATTACTGTAAGACTGGTACAACAGAGGCAACAAGGATTTGCATTTTTGGGTAACATTTTAGTTTAGTTAGTTTTAACCACAATTTTACTTTGTTAGTGCTCTGAGTTTGGGGAGAAGAGATTTATTTTGTGTTGTGTTTATTTAATTATTCTTCTTATTTTAAAAAAAAAAAAACCTGCTTTACATTTGAAAGAAAAGGCAAGATTTACTCTTTTTCTATTACTATGTTGAATGAAAAATTAAAATAAACTCATGTAAACTCAATTAATATTTAAAAAAAAAATTTTCTTCAGCATTATTTGAAAATTATAGCATTACATTTTTTAATAAAATAAATAAAAACTCAGTTTAAAAATATACTGAATTTTATAAAAATCTTATTATGTTTCAAAACAAATATTTTAAATACATTTAGTATAGTATTTTATAGTAATGTAGTAAACAAAAAAAAAATTTTGAGAAGAAAATGTCGTATCAATTTTACCTCAATTTGTTGAACATTCAAATCAAGGAAGGTCAGCTCATTGCGTACTTGTATTGCACTCTTTGGACCGGTGCAGCCCATGCTGGTACCCAGACCTCCATTCAACTTTATCACAACCAGCTTCCCCAGAAGTTCCTTCACACTGTTCTTGTCTGGGGTGTCTAGTGAGCTGTACTTGCGGATCTGGTTTGGTTAAACTAGCATTAGTTATTGGAACTAGGATTAACTATATCATCAGGGTTTCATGTTGGTGCCCCAGATGAAGTAGAGTTCATGTTTTAACAACCGTGTCATATATGGGAACAATGTAGTCAACACTCTGCAAAGTCACCTTAGTGTCTCTAATGTAAGTCAGGTACCCCTAAGAGCTGAGTGGACTCAGGGAGGTCAAACAGACTCAAGCCCAGGATCCAAAGTTGAGACTTTTAGGTTAGCAGTCAGTCATGAGCTTTAACATCCCAACACACCCTCCCATAACTAACTCTATAGTGTTTATTAAAAGCTGTCTTTGTTTCACTAAATGGATATGCACTTGACATAGTCATAGACTGTAGACTGAAAATATTGATACCAGTTAGAAGTAAATCACTTTAAAGATGGAACATCCATTAACTAAGCTAAAGTCAAGCTGATATTTGTAACAAAAAATTGCACCCAAATTGAGGGCAAATGTTAGCTTACAGCTTCTGGGGGCAATAGTTTTAGTTTGTCCCATTCCACAGATGGTCCTGATTCTCGGAGAAATCTTCCAAATAGTATTTCAAAGCCATCAAACTCCTTGCGAGTTTTCTGGAAAAATCAATGTTAATATTATAAATATTTTTCACCCTTATATTTCAAAAAGCTGTTTGAAAAAAAAAAATTATTCATAGATGACATTTCTTTAAAAGTGAGGTAAGTTTCTAAATTTTAATAAAGTATGCAACATTTGTTAAATTAATAAATTTCAATAGATTAGTGACATATCTATTTTTATGTATATTTTTTTTTACATTTATCTATTTTAGTCTTAATATACAAATAAAGAAAAAGATCAGTAATTCTTACCAAAAAATAATGAAAACAGTTAATGTTGGGTAAATCATTAGGTAATCTTGTGCAAGATTTCTAGCATGAATACTAAGTTTATACACTCTACAACTCCTTTACTATATAAAAATGTAACATTCCAAATGCAAAGAAATTCTCCCTTACCAATTATAGTATTTAACTAGAGTGTACAAATACACAAATATTTATTTAATTTCAAATGGAATTTATCAAGAAATTTTTAAACAACCTCACCTCCTGTAAACCTGGTGGTGCAGTCGTAAGAAGTTTGTTGAGCTCTTTGTTCATAGCAAACTGAGCATCTTTCCGCATGGCATCCCTAAACTCGATGTCACTCGGAGTACGCCTATGTCCTTTAGCATAGCTGGTCTGCAAAGACAAGAGAAAATGTTTTAAAAGTCAGGCATAAATCAAGTTGAGTTAATAAAAAAAATCCAAGCAATATTTAAGGCCCAATATATAACACATAAGTTAATTTTTAAAAATGAAACAATATTTAAAAACTATAGAAATGTCCATAATTATACTGTTTAATATTTAAAAATGAAATACATGTTTTTTTCTAATCCCCCCCCCTTCCTCCATCATCCCAAAATAATAAAAATGTTCTGTATTTTTTATTAAATTTTAAAAAATGCAGAATAACTTGCTTTCATTCAGTTTAATAATACAGTAATTTTTTAAAGGAAAAAAAATGTGATGTCACCCCCGTTCCCCCTCCATCTCTTGTTGCACATCAACACAAAAGTCTGATACCCCCCCCCCCGATTAGATTTGAAATACTAAAACTTAATTCAAAGTGTTATTATTTGTACATGTAAAAGTTGTAAATGTCCAAAGTTGCAACTGCACAAAAGAAAAAAAAACATGGTTCATAATAATTGTGAACTACTGTAAACATTAACATATGGTGTTTTATGATATAAAATAACATAAACAATACAAATAGTTAAATATTTCAACTGCAACAGAAATTCAAACAAACATTTATCCTATATATAGTAACAGTTGCTATTTGTACTAAGTACTTACAACACAAATAAAAAGTGTCTTATTAAGCTGGACTAAGTACTTACATCACAAATAAAAAGTGTCTTATAAAGCTGGACTAAGTACTTACATCACAAATAAAAAGTGTCTTATAAAGTTGGACTAAGTACTTACATCACAAATAAAAAATGTCTTATAAAGCTTGACTAAGTAATTACATCGCAAATAAAAAGTGTCTTATAAAACTGGGCTATAAAAAAGTGTCTTATAAAGCTGGACTAAGTACTTACATCACAAATAAAAAGTGTCTTATAAAGCTGAACAATCTCCCCCATTGTTAACTAACAAGACAGGAGGGCACTATGTAATTAACTTAAGAACGGCTCATGATGTTATAAAGGTAGTAGTTATTGATTCAATTTACTTTCTAAACGTATTCTGAAATTAAATTAACGAGGAAACTAGTAATAAATTGTACAGGTACAGAATGGTACACAGCACAGAAAGTTCATTAAGTGTTAAAACAAAAAGTGGCATCAAGAGATGGATCAATACTGGTTACCATATTCTATCAATACTTTTTGTTATTTAAATGGGTGGCAGAACATCAGACAGGTAGAGAACTACAGAAATGACAACTACATTTGACAACTACATAATGTGGGTGAATATTCTTTTGACAGCAATTTTGTAAGTATTTATACAGCATAAATTATACAACATCTAAAATATTAGAACACACAGCATTTATCATTACAACATACAGCATCCATCAATAAAACATAATGCATCCATCAGAAAAATATATACAGCACCCATTATTAAAATATACAGCGTCCATCATTAAACATCTGTCATTAAAACATACAGCATCCATCATTAAAACACACAGCATCTATCATTAAACACACAGCATCCATCATTAAAACACACAGCATCAATCCTAAAAATATATAAAGCATCTGTCATTAAAACATACAGCATCCATGATTAGAATAAAAAGTATCCATCACAAAACATAACTAACACAGCATCCACCACAAAACATAACTTACACAGTATCCACCACAAAACATAACTAACACAGCATCCACCACAAAACATAACTTACACAGTATCCACCACAAAACATAACTTACACAGCATCCAACACACAACATAACTAACACAGCATCCAACACAAAACATAACTTACACAGTATCCACCACAAAACATAACTTACATAGCATCCATCACACAACATAACTTACACAGCATCCACCACACAACATAACTTACACAGCATCCACCACAAAACATAACTTACACAGTATCCACCACAAAACATAACTTACACAGTATCCACCACAAAACATAACTTACATAGCATCCACCACAAAACATAACTTACACAGTATCCACCACAAAACATAACTTAGCATCCACCACAAAACATAACTTACACAGTATCCACCACAAAACATAACTTACAAGTATCCACCACAAAACATAACTTACATAGCATCCACCACAAAACATAACTTACACAGTATCCACCACAAAACATAACTTAGCATCCACCACAAAACATAACTTACACAGTATCCACCACAAAACATAACTTAGCATCCACCACAAAACATAACTTACACAGTATCCACCACACAACATAACTTACACAGCATCCAACACAAAACATAACTTACACAGTATCCACCACAAAACATAACTTACATAGCATCCACCACAAAACATAACTTACACAGTATCCACCACAAAACATAACTTAGCATCCACCACAAAACATAACTTACACAGTATCCACCACAAAACATAACTTACAAGTATCCACCACAAAACATAACTTAGCATCCACCACAAAACATAACTTACACAGTATCCACCACAAAACATAACTTAGTATCCACCACAAAACATAACTTACACAGTATCCACCACAAAACATAACTTACACAGTATCCACCACAAAACATAACTTAGCATCCACCACAAAACATAACTTACACAGTATCCACCACAAAACATAACTTACACAGTATCCACCACAAAACATAACTTACACAGTATCCACCACAAAACATAACTTACACAGTATCCACCACAAAACATAACTTAGCATCCACCACAAAACATAACTTACACAGTATCCACCACAAAACATAACTTAGCATCCACCACAAAACATAACTTACACAGTATCCACCACAAAACATAACTTAGCATCCACCACAAAACATAACTTAGCATCCACCACAAAACATAACTTACACAGTATCCACCACAAAACATAACTTACAAGTATCCACCACAAAACATAACTTACATAGCATCCACCACAAAACATAACTTACACAGTATCCACCACAAAACATAACTTAGCATCCACCACAAAACATAACTTACACAGTATCCACCACAAAACATAACTTAGCATCCACCACAAAACATAACTTACACAGTATCCACCACACAACATAACTTACACAGCATCCAACACAAAACATAACTTACACAGTATCCACCACAAAACATAACTTACATAGCATCCACCACAAAACATAACTTACACAGTATCCACCACAAAACATAACTTAGCATCCACCACAAAACATAACTTACACAGTATCCACCACAAAACATAACTTACAAGTATCCACCACAAAACATAACTTAGCATCCACCACAAAACATAACTTACACAGTATCCACCACAAAACATAACTTAGTATCCACCACAAAACATAACTTACACAGTATCCACCACAAAACATAACTTACACAGTATCCACCACAAAACATAACTTAGCATCCACCACAAAACATAACTTACACAGTATCCACCACAAAACATAACTTACACAGTATCCACCACAAAACATAACTTACACAGTATCCACCACAAAACATAACTTACACAGTATCCACCACAAAACATAACTTAGCATCCACCACAAAACATAACTTACACAGTATCCACCACAAAACATAACTTAGCATCCACCACAAAACATAACTTACACAGTATCCACCACAAAACATAACTTACACAGTATCCACCACAAAACATAACTTAGCATCCACCACAAAACATAACTTAGCATCCACCACAAAACATAACTTACACAGTATCCACCACAAAACATAACTTAGCATCCACCACAAAACATAACTTAGCATCCACCACAAAACATAACTTACACAGCATCCACCACAAAACATAACTTACACAGTATCCACCACAAAACATAACTTACACAGTATCCACCACAAAACATAACTTACACAGTATCCACCACAAAACATAACTTAGCATCCACCACAAAACATAACTTACACAGTATCCACCACAAAACATAACTTACACAGTATCCACCACAAAACATAACTTAGCATCCACCACAAAACATAACTTACACAGTATCCACCACAAAACATAACTTAGTATCCACCACAAAACATAACTTACACAGTATCCACCACAAAACATAACTTAGCATCCACCACAAAACATAACTTACACAGTATCCACCACAAAACATAACTTAGCATCCACCACAAAACATAACTTAGCATCCACCACAAAACATAACTTACACAGCATCCACCACAAAACATAACTTACACAGCATCAAACACACAACATAACTTACACAGCATCCATCACAAAATACAGCTAATACAACATCAAACATAGGCAGACATAAAATTTTAAAGCATTTTAAACAGGCAAGTGTATATTGATTAGTTGTTAAAATGGCCACATAAGAGTAGCAGGTTTGTTCAGCTAACACAAAGTTGGTCTGCACAAAACTAAATAAAGGGCAAGAAGTTTACTGACTAAACAAGTAGAATGGGTAACATATAGTGGGGTAGTTTGGTCAAGTAGACCACCCAACTAACAAGTAGACAGGTAGAATTAGTATTAAATAGTGGGGTTGTGTTAAGTACAAAACCCACACTAACAAGTAGAATTAGTATAAACAGTGGTGTTCTGTGTCAAGTAGATAGCCATGACTAACAAGCAGCATTAGAATCAGATAGTGATGATGTATAGTAGACCACCCAACTAACAAGCAGCATTAGAATCAGATAGTGATGATGTATAGTAGACCACCCAACTAACAAGCAGCATTAGAATCAGATAGTGATGATGTATAGTAGACCACCCAACTAACAAGCAGCATTAGAATCAGATAGTGATGATGTATAGTAGACCACCCAACTAACAAGCAGCATTAGAATCAGATAGTGATGATGTATAGTAGACCACCCAACTAACAAGCAGCATTAGAATCAGATAGTGATGATGTATAGTAGACCACCCAACTAACAAGCAGCATTAGAATCAGATAGTGATGATGTATAGTAGACCACCCAACTAACAAGCAGCATTAGAATCAGATAGTGATGATGTATAGTAGACCACCCAACTAACAAGCAGCATTAGAATCAGATAGTGGGGTTGTGTGTCAAGTAGACAAACAAGTAGACAGACAGCAGAACTAATAAGAGATAGTGTTGAGTGTGTAGCCAGCTGAGACAGCACACAGCTTACAAGTTATGTCAAGTTGGTTGAGTTATTGGTTAGATAACACCAGGTTGTAAAATAACAACTTCAGTCTGACTGGAATGTGTTTACATAGGTAGCTCCTATTGGCTAGACTGCTAGCCAGGAAGTTTCAAGGTCATCTGGGTACAAGCCAGTGTAACTCCCCTGAGTCCACTCAGCTCTAATAAGATCCTAACTCACATTAGGGAAAGAATAGGCGGCTGGGCATTATGCTAACCACATTATCCCTTCATGTGATGAGGTTTTGAAACATAAGAGCTCTACTTCATCTGCCCAATGGATTGCTAGGTCTAAGGTGGAGTCTTTACTTTTATCTTTCTTTTTATAGTTAGACATATTCTAACAAAGTTTAAAAAAAAAAACATTTTCTTTAGTTTTGACCGATTCAGCAAACAAAATTCAAACAAGATCGTTAGCACTATGTTTTTTAAAAGCTGTACTATAATTAACTAGAATGTCAAAAAAAACTTTTCTGGTAAGATTTTCACCATCTTAAGATAGAGATCCCACTTACATTACTGAGATAAGATAAAACAAATTTATTTCACAATAAGCTAGCCTTGACATCAGTCAATACACAAGGTTAGAAACTAGGCAGGCCTGAGGGGGTTGCACACAGTTCAAATTGGCTTGATTTCCTTACATGAGCTGGATGTTTAAATCAGAAAACTAGATACATAAGACTGAATGGTTAACTTTTAGTAACATGAACATACTAATCTAGCCTATGTATGGATGAATAAAACTATGTGCATTTGTATGGATGGATAAAAACAATCATCCTATGTACAGGTGGATAAAAACTATGTGCCTATGTAAGGATGGATAAAAACTATGTGCCTATGTAAGGATGGATAAAAACAGCCTATGTACAGATGGATAAAAACAATGATCCTATGTATCAATGGATAAAAACTATGTGCCTATGTACGAATGGATAAAAACTACGTGCCTATGTAAGGATGGATAAAAACAAACAGCCTATGTACAGACGGATAAAAACAATGATACTATGTATCAATGGATAAAAACTATGTGCCTATGTACGAATGGATAAAAACTACGTGCCTATGTAAGGATGGATAAAAACAAACAGCCTATGTACAGATGGATAAAATAAAAGAAAGGCATAATATAAACAAGTTAGTTCACAAATATCTTCTGTTCCATACAATACTGTTTTGTATTATGATCATCCCACAAAACTATATGGGGGAGGGGGGTGTAAATCTAATAAAAGATCAGTGTAACCCCCACAATAACTATGTCATCACAGGTAGAAACACACGAGAGTGAGCACTCAGCCCTCACAGGAAATAACTCAGTTCTTACCTGGGTAATACTTCGCAGATTAAGTAAATCCATTGTGGCCAATACTTCTGGCTTATAGTGGCCAACTCAGTGGTGACAGAGTGGCCCGCAGCATATAGCGACCAGCGGTGGCCAGCAGAAATGTAACAACACCTAACACCTGATCATTGAGAGACATGCAGGTACTAAAGCAAAGATAACCTTCCAGGCGCCTGTCAATCACCACACCACGACATGGCATGAAAAGAATATCTCTCCTATCTGCCGTCTGCTAAACTTAGGTCCCGTAACTCGGGGACTTCCTACTTGCTGTGACAGTCCCAGTGCAGAGGTAATATTTTTTTTTTCTTCGCTTGCATCCATCTGGGTGGTCACGTGATTTTATACTACTGTAAAAACCCTATTTACCACAACATCGATTTTTAAAAAAAAAACTGATCTCCAACATTGTTTAACCCGGATTAGCTCTGAGCTGGATAAGCTTGGGTGAACACATTGTAGGGTCAACGCGGATACGCTTTTCTGGGCAAACATTCGATAACATCACAGGCACATTGGGAGGGGCGAGGGGGAAGTTCGGTGTGTTGGGTATGACGTATTGAGGAAGGGGGGCGGCATCATTAAAATGTATCCAGCCGTGATGCACGTCACCATCGTTTGAAAAGACGGGTGTTTGTAGTTTATGTGTCTGAGTCACGTTGTGTAGCCTAGGTTTTCTTTTAACCCCATCCCTTTCAACACACCCTATCTCCCGTACGTATCTGTAATTTCACGACCCAGTGCTAACGGGCCCAACACAAGTTTCTAAACGAATCGATCCACTGCACAGTTTACGTCATATTAAGAACAAACAGGTTGACATATCCGCTGTGCTCAAGGTTTACGTCTTTACATCAACCAGAAAGTTTATAGGAAACGTCATAAGTAAGTTGATGTAAACGACATCGACATTTAACTCGATCAGATTTACACCAGTGGTTATATGACTTTACACACAACAGGCCAGCCCTCCTCTACACTAGAGGCTATATATGACTTAACATAAACCTGATTGCTTCATATTTACATTTCGTGATATATGACTTTTTATAGGCCTACACACGAATGTCCCCGTTGTTGGGCCCACAAGGTACCTGCCATCACCAGTGGTGTACATCGACCAAGGTAAGACAAGATAAAAAGAAACGCCGACCCTTGCTTCCTACAGATATTTTCTATAAGCAAACACACACACAATACCAAGAACGACAACCTCTTATTTCTCGCGATGAATACACCAGATGCCCAATATTCAAGCGTTCACTGAATAAAACATTTGCCCCCCCCCCCTTCCTTAAAGTAAAAATCAGACAGGTCATTGTTAGTTACTTCAAGGATAAACGTACACCATCAGAACCCCTACACACGAACCAGTCATATAGACGTCGTTACTTATACGCTCTAGCAGCTATTCTAAACTATTTACCCCCCAGTGACACCGGGGTCACTTTGTGTGACCTCTCGCTGATAACGTAATGGCCGCGGAGTGAAGTCATTCCACGTCACGTCCCGGCCACGTATTTGATTAGGCCCCACCGAAACAGCAAGTAAACTCAAGAAATCCGATGCAATGACGACCGGATAGACAAAAGGCTAGGCTTCAGTGGATGCCGAAACCTGGCATACGACACGTAGATCACTGAAGCGTCACGGAAGGTCAGAGGTTAAAGAAACCAGGTTGGAAGCGGGTTTTAAATGGGTAGCATGTTCCGTGAGATTGTGAGATTATATTCATAGTTCCATTAATAGACAGGGGCGTCAAAAGGGGTGTAACAGTCCAGTGACTCTTGTGAATAAACGCGGTTGTCTTCAATAGGTGTATACGAGTTTAATATTATAGTGTGAGAACATGCACATACGAGGCATGTTTGAATGTAGTTTATACGAATGTAGCAAAACTACAACAAAGCCTCCCGGGAAGCACGATATATCCTCCAAACCTAAAATAATTGAGTTTTCACGACTAGAAGTTGTCGAACTTGACTGATTTTTAATACATATTTTTAAGCAAGCAACTACACAGCGAGAATATAGTAGGCTCGGTAGAACGGCATATACAGATGACACCATGTAAACGTAAACCAGACTGTGACCGGGGGGGGGGTGTACTTACAATCGCCACATCACGTGACGTTGTTCATGTAACGAGTCAAGTGTTCAAATCTGTCCAAGCGCTAGATTAAATCAGTGTAAGCACCGGAGCTAAAACCTCGACTGGAAACAACAACCAGTTTCACTTTTTTTCATTAACTTGAAAATAATGAACCTAGTGTATGGTGATACGTGAGTGATTCGCCCACTCACCGGCGTAGTGACACTTTCAATTAGGCGCCCGGTGAGGTCGATATTATTACCGCCCTACCTTAATATGCGTGGGCGCATCGAATAAATCAAAGCTTAGGCCAAGCCCCCAGAAAGGACACAAATACAACTTAAGATGTTCTCATATAAACTATTATAAACAGTCATGAAAACATTTATTTCATTCCACTGTTTGCATGAAAAAAAAAGATACGAGGCTAGAATCACAGTGAGTACAATAACGGAGTAATTTTTTTAAATTTTTGTTGAGGATTTTTGAATGGTTGGGGTCTTCTTCTTCTGCGTTTTTTATTTAGATTATGGTGGAGGATTTAAACAACAAGCTAAACTTCGTGTATGAACTGGACTGTGGTTGAGGTGAAACATATGAAATTTACAAAACATATAGTCGTAAATTTAAACTACAGGACGGTGTTTTTTATTTAGCCGATAAGAAATTGCCCAACACCGCCGCGATATTAAAAAAAAATTATAATTGGTTGTTTACTCTAGGCTACTTTTACCAACTGTTGCCATTTCGATTTTTCTTTCTATGAGAAAAAAAGAAACTTAAAGCGATTAAACTGTTTACAACATGTGCACGGCAATCAAACATGTTGGTAAGTGGGGAGAGGGGGGGGGTAACAAACATTGATCCATGGGTCAATGTGGCACGTCAGAACCTACTTGGTCACCTAGGGATTACATTACTGGCCAACAACAGGCGGGTCAGCTGATTGTACATGTCCAGTATGGCAGGTAAGCCAATTATACTTGGCCGAACTGACAAGTCGGCTAACAAAATGTCCAAACTTGCCAGTCAACAAGTGACCAAACAGGCTAGTCAGCAAGCGACAGTAGGTACCCAAATTGGCAAGTCGGCCAGCAAAACTGGCAAGTTAGCCGACTCTGGGCAAACCAGCCATTCAGCCAAACTATGCATGGACAAACCAGCTATTCAGTCCGTTGCAACAGTATCGACTTTCACAAAATTATCATCTTCAGCCTAACCTGTCAGGGTTAAATCACCCTAACATTTACTGGACCTGTAGATGTGAATTATGGATAATGTGAACAGCGTGTGGCGAGGGTTAAGCTACACAGCGGTCGACTGTATCATGCCCGCACATAAAAGGTTCTGTCAAGCTAATCAACCTAACTATATACACCATATGTGGTCTAGATAGAATACAATTACACGTTTAGCTAACACCGCCATCCCCTGTACACACCATATGGTTTGGGCACAACAGCGTTATTCGCGATGACGGTTTACTAAACTGACTTGTCGCGTTGTTTCTTCAAGCTCGACCAGAAATCTAGTTCTAACAGCTAAATTAGGAGCTGATGGATAGACCACAGGAGAATTTCCGGAGCTGAAGGATGGGCCAGAGGTGCAAATGGAGTTTTCCGGAGCTGAAGGATGGGCCAGAGGAGCAAATGGAGTTTTCCGGAGCTGAAGGATGGGCCAGAGGTGCAAATGGAGTTTTCCGGAGCTAGATGATATTCCCCCATAGAAAGTGTGTTTTGCAGAATTGGAAGAGATGGGCGCTTAGAGAAAAGTGGGATTTTCGGAACTGGAAGATGGTAAAAATGAGGTTTTCTGAGCTGCAGAATAAAACAGAATCGGATCCCCCCCCCCCTCCCCCAGTTGTTTTACAACACTGTCAGAGGCGCCCCCCCCCCCCACCCCCAATATAAAGCTACGACATCAGCTGTAACCAGACCGACAACACAATCACAAGACCACGTCATTCGTCAAGCGTCTGTTGCCTTACTATTGGTAAAACATGCATACTCGGCTGTAAATGTAACGCGTAGCTGACACGGAGTATCGAAGCTACTTTCAGCTGGTGTCCATACCCTAACCATAATAAGGTTAAATTTAGCATATATATAAAATATACATACATTTCTTACACTTCCATGAGTAACACAACTTTAAACCCAAATATAACCCTAAGTCGTATCTCGCAATATGTGGCTGATCAATAAGAACAAGAACAACACCTGGGCCTATATTATACGGACAACAAACACAGTTTAAGTTATCTGCGCTGGTGGCAGCCGTAAAACATTGAAACTTGCCCAACTAGTTATGCTATTTTTACTTGTGATTTAGCATTAAGAAGTAAAAAACAGAGAGAGAGAGGGAATGACATTGAAAGGAAAGGGGAGACCACTTATTAAACAACGTCAACTGATATGTAAAATACACCTTGCGTGAATAAACGGTTGAATCAATCTAAGTCACGTGACCAGTAGGATTCAACTGTGACAAGTCTTACCCGTCGACAGCAAGGATGCTACTAGTCTACAATTCAAGGTAGGTCCTTAGTTCTTTTTTTTTGTCTAACTTTAAAAAAAGATCACATTAAGAAAGTATAGAACAACCAGACACCCCAACACTAACTTGTTCAGATAAGCCCCACCAAACAGTTAACACTAACCCCAACCCTAGAGTCGGGTAGGGATTTGTTTTAATGGCGTTCGTTTAATATTCAAATGTCTAGACATCAGAAAAAAAGTCACAAGTGGCGGAGCTTGTCTAGACCCGTGTAGTCAGTGCAATACATACATCACACTATTCCTCACCACCAATCTTCACACGTGGTCACAAAATTTTTAAAAAGCTACCCCTAGGCAAAAAAACGTTACCATGTGCTGAACCCTCCCCAGCCCCTTCAAATAAACAAATCACTAAAAGAAAACTGATTTTGATTTTTTAAAAATATAAAAAAAAAAAAACTGTGCGAAGTAAAATTTCTTAGCCGTACCCCCCCCCCCCTCTTATCGCTAGTCAGAGCCCTCCCCTTGCCCTTACATGCTTGACATCATGTATGGAAGAGTCTACGTGTAATTTTTAAATATTTGGTTAATGACTGTGGTGGGTCACTGGGTTGTTTTATTTTCCTTATCAAAAGTCAGGTCAGGCTTGGAAACACATTAAACGGCACCATGTACAGACGCAATGTGTGTAAAACATGGGCTAACGGTAAAAATCTGTTCAACCGTCTGTGGAAAATACATGTCCTACACAACACAGAAAGTAGAGGGGGGGGGATAGATAGAAACCATAATCACATGTATCTTCGTTCACGTTTTTAACCCTTGGAGCTCTAGCGACCCCTGGCTAAAAAATCACACATCGCTCTTTCTTTGTGGACTAATAAGACATTTCCTGTTACATTTAATGTAAATTTTTTTTTTAAATCACACATCGCCTTTCCTTTGGAGGGGTTGTAAAACATTACTTGCTATTTTTAAAAGTAAGAACTATAAACAAAAAAATAATTTCAAACTTAACTGTTTAAATGTGAACAGTTTATAAATGAAAAATAAAAATAAAATGAAAAACAAAACCAAGAGAATATTAAATTGAATATTTTCATTGCCTTGCCTTACACACCATGGACATTTCGTTTTCTTTTAGAGGACACTTTGCGCAAGGCAATCAAGTTGAATCAATGCATCTTTTTATTTTCTTCCAAGCGTGCATGTGTGGCTAGACTTAGCGAAAAGCTAGAAAAATGGAAGAACCCATCTATAGACACACAGGTACCCGTGACAATAAAGGAAGTACATTTCAAAATCGTGGCTATTAAGATCAAGTTGAACTCCGCTACCCATGCGGTTTAGTAGGTATTTATAAATTCATTTTTAAATAGATGAAACAGCCTAAAAGCAAAAAACTTCAGGTGTTTATTCGGAAACTGTAGTAAAATTATTTATAGTGCTATGCTGATAAAAACGGATAAAAAGAAAAAACGGGAAAGGGGAATAATTCAACGACAAAGCTAACAGTAAATATTATGGATTGCCTCCCTTTATTACTCTTTTTTTTTTTTTAATTCGGAATTTTTTTTGCTGTTAAACTGTAGGCCCACTGAGGAGCCGAATTAGAAGGAATTAAAAAAAATCGTTCACAGCCTAAATCACACAGATGTGAGAAATAAATCCCAAATTTACTTTAAGTAATACATAAAATACATCAACATTATGTCAAGCTAACTCCCAAAATGTGTTTTCACAACTGTGTTTCAAATTAGGAGATAGCCAAACTAGCAGACACAGCACATTAAGTAGAGCATCTGTTTTCACTAAACCCACCCAGAACAATGTGAATGAATTCGCTGAAACTGAAAATAACTAGGACAGATAAGCAAGTATTCCAGCAAGTATTTTTCAGAAAAAGCTTTCCTTTTTTCTATTCAGTAAGTTGCTGAGTCAGCAAACTATCTCTGTATTCTGAGGCTCTTACTTTACTTCTAGAATGTATACTAAATGTCATTTCAAGTTTACATGTAAAAACTACAATAAACCTACACAAATATGAAACTAAGGTAAACAGGTTTGCAACAAAAGTAACATAGCAATTGAGAGTTATTGTGTTTATAAGTTTCATCTCCCTTTTCACTCAATTTTATAACATGGTTTTAATTTATGGTTATACACATGAGATAACATGAACCATAAAAAAGTATAAGTCAATATTAAAAATGATCACAAGAACAATGAACTACAGATCATACTACTTATCTTAGTGACTCACAGTAATTCATACTGGTTAGGAATCCCCATGTTTTTATAAAACTTACGTTGGTAATAATTACGTTAAGAGTTTAAAATAATTAAAATTGAATTACGGTTAACGTTACCATAGAAACAACTAACACAATTATATTTCTATAGTTAAATGAGTATTACACACTAACTGAGTTAAGTTTTATGAGGTCTGTAAATCACAGTAAAGCAAAGTTCTAGTCTAATAGCTTAATAAACTTAATTATACTTAATAATAAGTAGTTAGAGTTTAGAGAGTTAAAAAAAATAAAATTACTTCAGCAAACAGGTGAGGTAGACTAGAAAGTAATCACACTTGTAATAACTAATTGGTAATTTTTAAGAATTGCATTAGACAAGTCACAATAATATATATTTAGTTATAAGTGGCCCACCAGTTGGTTGTGGCTTGGTCAATTACTTTATGTGTATATGTGGGTGGGGAAAAGAATGTAGGTGAACTCATATATTACATGTAATTACAGAGCTTTATTCGTCAAGTGTCAAATTACTGAAATTGTAATAATATATTATATTATATACTATAGGCCTAAGTATAGCCTATAGATCTAGTAGTAATAGTAGTAGGCTTATTAAATTTATTTTTAACTTCAAACTTAGACCCTTAGCCACCAAATGTAACGTTTTTGTTTTCTTTTATCAAATGTAATGTTCTTCTGTTTCTCGCTCTCAGTCACAGACAATCAAAAATGATGAAGAATAAGTCGTCTTCTGCAAATCTTTATTTGACTATCTTTCTTGAGCGGGCATTGTCTGTGTGTAGCGCGGAAGTCTCCTCTAAGGCTAACCCGCCGGTTTATATACCCCACCCGCGAGCGTCTCAGATGACACCTTGCTCTCGGCACGAATTATACTTATAGCGCTTACCTGTTTTAAGTGAATGTTGTACTAGCTAAAGTCTAGATTTTGTTACACTGATTACACTTGATTACAGCAGTACTAACTCCAGCTAGATCTAGATTATTCTTGATCTAATACTAATTACTAATAGAATAGAATAATTTTTATAATAGTAAAAGTTAATAGTATTATAACTATTAGTATTAGTATTACTGTAATAAAGTGTAACACTATTACTACTGTATTACTATAGTATAGGCCTACTATTACTAACTCATAGCTAGATCTGTAGCTCTAGCTAGCTACATTAGGCCTGGTAATTAATTGAATTGTCAATTGTCATTATTAAATTAATCATTAAACTTCATTTATATTTAATCATTTTATTAATTTATTTTAGTAGGCCCCTTACAACATGAATCTAATTCTAAAAATTATTAAATTAAGCACAGCTGTACTACACTACTTCTAACAACTAGTAGACCTCTAGACTAAAATAGTAGGTAATCTATCGTTTTGGGTACGTAAAATCGCCCGCGGCTTTTAATGTACGAAAACGTTACCTCATTGTCAAGGCTTTAATAGAAGTATATTGTGATATGTTTGTGTCAAATATTATAGATAAATGAATAATAAACCTAAATCATTGGCTAAATATAACAATATAGGCCAGAAATTAACTTTAAACAGCAGTGTCTGCAAGCAAGATATGCTATATAATAGTTTTTCTTACTATTTGTGAAATCTACTTAATTCTCAATTTAAACATGACAACTGAATAAAAACGTCCATACTTTATCCTCTAGGCACTAAATTTGGGGGTTGTAGCGAGTTTAGACTAAATTATTGAATTTTAAATTTATTTGTCACTCACAGCTATGATATGACGGATCATCCATGACAACCTGGTTAAAAGTTGAAAGGTTTAACTTTTTAAGTGACCGTGAAATAGATCTAATTTTTTTTCACAAGAGAGTTCCTAAAAGTAGAATTGGCCCGTCTATCGTCGGGTAATATTTTTAGAGGAAAAAAATTTAAGAGAATGTCATCAGAAAAGAATTTAAAAAAAGACAAGACAGAAGTGATTTTTGAATTCTTTTATTTCTTTAATTTTATGACATTTTTTATTGTACAAAAGAGCAAAATAAAAAACCATGCCAGGTAAACGTATCCATTCAAATAGCGGTCACGTGGTCAAAAAAAATAAAAAAAATGTGGTTGTCATTTCTCGGTCGATCTTATAAAAAAACGGTTGAAGATATTTGATTTATTTTTTCATAGAATGATAAAACTAATAATGCTTTACTATGGAAATCAATTTTGTGAGAGGGAGATCTATATTTAAAAAGTTAAATTATTTTGAATGACACCGACTTTAAATTTAGCCTACATTCCCCAAAGCAATTTCTGAAAATGCTTTTCTGGCATATTTAACCTTGCCACCTATAGCATGTTTTTATAACGTGAAAACCCGCCATTTTACTCGTGATAAACATTTTTAAAAGTAATTCTAAGAAGGTCTCTGGAGCTAAGTCGAAAAACTCGCCGGAAGTCATGGTCCGATCCTTACGCCATGTTCTGGTTAGCAACCAAGGACGCTTTTAAGTTAGTGAGCCTCCCTACTATATAAACAGCAGCCATTTGTAAAATAAAGTGACTTCCGCCTGAATCTCGAGCTATAACTACTATAAGTCTATAAAAAAAAAAACAAGATGGCTGCTATAGTAAATGAGCATGGTTGCATCTGTTGGAAACATCGCTGGTGTTCATTTATTACTAAAAAGTTGCAATTCAATTGTTTAAAAACAGGTACATAAATGAAACAAGGAAACATTTTTGTATTTTTTAAAACATAAATCTTCCTCAAAATGTGAAATAATTATTAAAATGTAAGGAGTCACCTGTTTTTCACATTACTAGTCGCGGGCGATTTTACGTACCCAAAACGATAGATTACCAAGAAATAGACTAATAGTAGTCTAGTAGTAAACTTGTTAGATCTAGAATTCTAGAGCTAGATCTAGTCTAGCCGAGACTAGACTACGGACGGACAGATCTAAAGTAGAACTAAAGACTAAATCTATTCAATTGGCAACTTACTTTAGTTAGACCCGAATCCATGACAGCAACACTGTAGTAATGAAAATAACAGATTTCTCTAGATTTCTAGACTCCACGTCTAGTCTAGACAGCAGCAGTTTTGTACTTTTCTTTTTGCGTTTAGACAAGGTGGATTCACAGAGTCATAACCTTTTCCTTGGGTCAAGGCTACACACACAATATAGATGAAAATAAAATGTTATGCACAAACTGACACTTAACAGATTTAGGATCTAGAAATCTAGTATGGATGGAGAGTGCCTTGATCCCGACCAAATTAAAAAAATAAACCGTCAAGGACCTGTAATTTAAAACGTTAAATGTTATCGATTTTCTCTATTGTTTTTAAAGTGCTGGCATAGGTTTATAGATCTAGCTACTTTTTACAGTCACTTTTTACAAAAACTATAAAACTTAGATTTTAGATTTAGACCGAAAAATAGCGGAACAAATTAAGCCGCGAGCTGACCTACACTCTTGTCCTGGTCGTTTTTAAATCTACTCGGTATTAGATCTAGTAGGCTATAGTTACATAGACATAGTAGATCTAGTATAGTGGGCCTACTATTTAATATTTATTTAGGTATCTAGATTAGAAGTCCGTAGATTCTAGATCTAGTAGATAGAATCTAGATCTAGAAGTAACCTTTTTGTTATATTTCAGATTTATTTCCCTCCAGACTAGACCGATAGAGGAGCGTCAGAGGCCTACCTCTTGAAAAAAATCCAGTCAAGATGATTCTAAAACGAGTTCCATTTCTCTTTCATTGTGGTCACAAAAACATAACCATAAAACATTCATTTTCACAAATGCGTAGGAAAAAACTAGATCTAGATCTACTTAATGTGCAAAGTTACAGCAAGAATGCACCATCTGAAAACATTTTGAGCATCCTAAAAACAAGAATAAAAATGTATGGACCATTAACAGTAGCTGCATATATGAAAGAAATCCTAACAAATACACAGTCTGTAAGTGTTATGTAGTTTTACTTTGTGTAATCAAATGCAGAGTTGGCGTGTAGGCCTACAGTAAGGAAATACATATCATTGTTTGTATGTACTATGTAGGCCTAATATGTTTTTTATGGTTTTTTTAACACTGCTTAATGTACTGAAGTTGTTTTTCTTTTTAAATATAATGGCAATTTACGGAACATGTTGCTTGTTTTTAAGCCATTCTACTTTGCTTATTATTGTATAACCACATTTTTTAAATTTCTGTTGAAACATCAACTTTATGAGACACATTTATTTTTGTAAAAATAATAGGCCTACTAATTTTGTTCATATATATAGGGCTACTATATGTACAGAGATGTTTTTGGAACTGATGGAGATTTCATTACCTCACCAGAAATTAGTCAGATGTTTGGGGAGGTAAAAAAGTTATAGTTACATTAAAGTTGATCTTGTGTTTTCAAATATGCATGTATCTATCAACAGAAGATAACAAAAAAGTATACATATATTAATATGGAAGTTTTCATTTAATAAAAGTACCCTTTGATCCCAGTGTTTAGTAATTAAAATAACTATATAAGATACTATTTAAATAATTATAAAAGATAGGTCCACTATTTACTTATTCATTATATATTTAATTTTTCTATTTTTATCAGATGATCGGAGTATGGATTGTTAATGAATGGATGAATCGCTACAATGATAGGATACAGATAGTGGAGCTGGGTCCAGGAAGAGGAACGTTGGCTGATGATATGCTCAGAGTAGGATTTATTATAATGACCAGGTACTTACTTTTTAAGCCAGAGAAAGAGAAATGACCCATAGTGTTAAGTTATTGTTTTGTAATGTTTCTTTGCACTGATGATTAATAATATCATACTTTTTTTTAGTCTTTTCTCTACTCCAGGTTTAAAAGGAAAGTATTTGTTACTATTGTAATGTGCTTTTTTTATTCAGAGAGTTGTATTTAAAATATAATTTCTAAGTTTATATTCTTTTTTTTTGCATTATATTTATTAAGTTGTTTTATTGTTTTTCAAGGTTTTTTCACAATTCCCAAACATCGCAGATAAGGTCAGCCTTCATTTGGTTGAAATCAGCCCTACAATGAGCTCCTTGCAGGCTGCTAAGTTGTGTGAAAAAAATGAACCTGACAATTTTAAGACCTGCAAATCAAATCCAGGTGATTCCACCACTGTTACCTGTCAGTACCAAAGTACATCAAAATATGGGACTCAAGTTTTCTGGTATAAAGAACTAGCTGATGTTCCTAAGGGACTGTCTTGTTTCATTGCCCATGAATTTCTGGATGCCCTTCCTATTCACAAATTTCATGTAAGATAGTTTGAATAGCAGTGACTTAAGCATCAAACTACCTATTTTTCATATGTTAATATAAAAAAATATAAAAAAAGTGAAAAATCTAAAACAAAATATCAAATTTTACAGTTACTTCAATGTTGTTTAGGGTATACATGTATAAATAATATACAGGTTGTATTTAGGCCAAACAACGTTAAGGAATTAATATTCCTACATTCTCTCATTATTAAATCAGAAAACAGACAAAGGGTGGAGAGAAGTAATGGTGGATGAAGATCCAGAAAGTGGTTTGTTAAGATTTGTTTTAGCCCCAGCACCTACACCAGCAAGTATTGCTTACCTCAAGGTAATGCTATAATTTTTATTCCTAAACCTATTAGTGTCATCAATTAACACTTAGAAATTCTCTATCATAAAGCATTAGCATTACATTAACTTGAAAATCCTATATGGTTCATATCTGATATGTTGTAATGAAGGTGTAAATATTTGTGTAGTTTTTTTTTTTTAATATTTAAATCATTGTTATAAAATATGAACTGAATATATAAAAATAAATATAATAAGAAAAATTTTTAACAATCTAAGAAAATGTGTAACCTAGCTAACCAGCAATGGGTTACCCCTCTTGTTTTCTAGGATCTGCCTAATGATGAAAGAATCAATGTGGAAGTTTGTCCTCAAGCTGGCATTGTGGTGCAGGAAATTAGTCACAGGATAGCACATGATGGTGGGTTCTCATTACTTGCTGACTATGGTCACACAGGCGAAAAAGGAGGAACTTTTAGAGTAAGTCGTTTTGACTTTAAATTATTTTGTTTAAACATTTATTGCAAAAAGGCATTAATTGCTCTAGCTTTTGTCAAGTTGGCCTACATAGAAATCTATAAAAAATATTCTCTGTTCCATATATTTATATATGAAATTAGTGCTATAATAAAAAATGAATTAAAAAATATAAAACATCACAACACAAGAACAGCAAACGCTAAGATCTTTGCTTGCTTTTTTTTTAGTACTGTAATTTTAAAATGACACAAATTTGATTCTAAATCCTTTTGACCATCTTTCTATTATAATTATTAAACTGCAATGATTTTATTAGGTGAAAAGGTAAAGTTCTTTGCTTCACCATTGTTAATTCAATTGAACTTGAGCAATATGAATTGATAGTTTTTCTGTATTTGTGTATCAGGCTTTCAAAAACCACAAGTTACACGATCCTTTAGATCAACCTGGTACTGCTGACCTCACAGCTGATGTAGATTTTTCTTACCTGAAGAGATGTATAAATGCTAAAGGTATTTAATACCATCTAATTAATTAAATAGTTCTGATATTTTATCTTGTCCTCAGTATCTTTTTAGTTTTATAAATATTTTTTTTTCAGTGAATGTTTATGGACCTATAACTCAGGAGAGATTTTTGAACAACATGGGAATAGGATATAGATTGCAGGTAGTGTAAGAAAATATATTTTGTATTTGATATTAGAAAGTGTTTGGTAAAATTGTTACATATATTTTTCCAAATATGTTTTAGTCATTGCTGCAGCACACAAGTCAAGAGCATTGGTCAAGTCTTATTTCCGGCTACAAGATGTTAACATCGCCAGAGCAGATGGGAGAGCGCTTTAAGTTTATGTCAATTATGCCCAGAATGGAAAAAAGCTACACACCTGCTGGGTTTGCAAGTTTGAATTTGGAGGCAGATAAACACAATTAGTAGCAACACTTATTGTATAATTAATTAGTTTATTTTTTAAAATATTTTTTTGAATAAAGAAATTAAACAAAAATAATTTGATTGTTTTTTATTTGGGATGTGAACTGATATTGAAATATAGACAAAATGTGAAATAATATGAATTCAGCAACCGAAAATTTAATATTTATTTCTAATGAATGTAGAATCAAAATTATTTTATAACTGTCTACAGTGATTAGTGTATTATGACATGCTACAACAATTTAAAACAATGCATTAACATTAAATTTACATAATATTTACAAGTTATTTCAAAATGTGGTACACATTAAGGCATAACAATAAATTTTTAAGTAAAAAATATAAATACACTTCTGGAGGGAAATGATACACTTTTTATCCTTAATACAACTGCCGGGTTTTCACATTTTAACACTCAATGCCAAATTTGTCAAAGTTCCTTAATATAATCCCTATCCGCAAATGGATCTTTCCCATAGCAATGGTTTGGAGCCTGTAACGATCTGCACCACTGTAAATAAGATCAGGATTTTTAAGATGAGGGCCACCACCTAAAAAAAACTGTGATACGCTCTCCATCAATGTACCAGTTGGTCGCCATGTTGGGCAGTCTATTTCATGTGTTCCAGGTGAGGTAGGAAGATGGACAAATCCATACCCATAGAGTTCATTTCTACCAAAAGCATCTTGATGCCACACTTGAAAATGAAGTCTTGGCCAACCTAGAGAGAGAATTTTTTTTATTAATTAACAATTTCAGCTATGGATGTAAAAATTATCAATAATTAAGGTAAAAAGGAATTTTTGGTAAAGAATACTAACTTATAGGCCTACTAACAATTTTAGTTAAAGAGTATTACATTTTATTTTTAACTTACCTTGGATTCCTTTGGTAGCAAAGTGAATATCAATAGGGTGAGCAAAATAAGCTGCTTCATGACTTTGTGGGTTATCCACTTGAGTTTGACCCTCTCTTAGCCCACTAAGAATTTTCCACCCACCACCTTAAAAAATAATAAAAAAGAGTAAAGAATATGTGCATTTGCAAAATGGCGACAGCAATATAAATTTACTTATGCTAACTTAACTTACCTGAATGAATACCCCATTTGCAAAATAAGCTATGATCTGGGAATCCTGATGCTCCAATTATCTGTCCTATCACATGAACTTCTGCCATCTTATAAATATAAAAAAAAAATGTAAGAGTGAGCTACCAAATATTGCAGTTAGCTGTGTATTTTTTTATACCAGTGTCTGATAATAGAATCTTCTAAAAAAGCGGTGTTGTGTGACTGATAGTTACTAACTACACATATGGCTTGCTAATCTCAATGCTAACCCTATCCCTAAACCCAACCCCAGACCTACCCCAAAGGTATAAGCCTAGTTGAGCTTACAATACTACTAAGAACCCAACACCTATTTTCAGAAGAGTCTGTATCAGACTCCAGTATCCTCAATCATCTGTATATTATAGTTTTGTCACTTTAACAACACAACAAAAATGACCTCTGACCCCAAACAAATAGTTAGTCTGCAATGGTTTTGGTTTCATTTTTGTAAGGGGTCCTTTTCACAATATACTTTTGCCATTAAATGAATGAATTACATAGAGATTTTAGTAAGTGAATTAATATAGGCCTGAAATCAGTTTAAGCATCACATCAATGTTATGTTGGTCTTTTATTAAATATGGACAAGCCTATAATAATACTTTGCAATGATGTCAAGTTAAAATAGTTAAATTAGGCCTAAATAACATAATTAAGATAAAATTGAATTTCAAATTTTTAACTAAGCAAGAAAGGTTACCAGCACTAGATTCTACTGCTACTAGTATTCTACTTAATCTTAATGACTTAGTTAGTCTTTATTCATTATTCGGTTTAGTAGTTGAGGTAGGTTAAGGACGAAAATCAGCAAAAAAGCATGTCACAGCTTGAAAGGAAAAAGTCAGAAAGCAAAGAGTGAATGAGCCATATAGTAACCAGCGAAAACTGAAAACTTTAAAACAAATAATATGATTTGTATTGAAATTAAACTTGAACAAACTTGAAATCTTTGACTAAAAACTCTATTCAAAAGGTAGGAATTGAAGTGACTTCAACAAAATTACGATTTCCGTCAACAACCCGCCATGTTGTATTCACTATGCCAATGACGGGCATACTAAAAACCTGTAGACAACAAAAAGCAACATTGTATTTTATTATAACCCGGTGCAGCTTATTATAAAAACGTGCAAATGCTTGCATAAACAATGTTTAAATAAATAATACAATTTATGATATCGTGTAGAAATTATCATTTTACAAAGATATAATGTGTGCACGTGCTCCACCTTAGGACAGGCCTACACTCCTTTTTTAGCGCACTCATTTTTCTTTTATTCCAACAGTTTTCAATTTCTCTGTCCATTAAGATTGTTACCTTTTTCGGACAAAAAGGAAAATCTAGCACTTTCGCGCTTCTTTTCTATTTTTCAAAATAAAAATATTGTCATTTAAATAAAAAAAAACATATTTTAATTTTCGATGATTTATTGAAAGTATCACAATATAAACTTCAGAAAAGCATCGCCTCTTTCATTTTGCATAAAGTGTCTGTGTGTGTGTGTGTGGACTAGTTATATGATATGTCTAAAATTTAGACATATAATATAACTATTTAGACTAAATAGTAAATAGGGGGAAGGGGAATAGGAATATGATCTGTAAAGACTATTCACTTTCAAAAGAATGGATTGTATAAATTGAGAGAATTTAGGTTTTTAAAATTTAGTTTAGGGATCGTCCATAAATGACATCACACCCGTAGGGGAGGGTGATCCGTAATTTGGTGACAGTGTGTATGATGAGGGGAGGGGGGGGGGGGGGGTCAGATGGTGCAAACTTTTGCATTATAAAAAAAGCAATGTTAGAAAACGAATTTTAGACATTATTTCGCGTTTTAGAAAACTGTTTTAATAAATTGTACTAGGAATTGATTAAAATACTCTATTTTGACAGTTCAGACAAGATTTTGGAAAACATATCGATGTTTAAAAAATTTTCAACTGCAATTTTGATTCTAAATTCTAGGCTGAGGTGTGACGTCATTTTAAGCGGGGTCTGGCTTTTTGTGACGATGTGTGACGGAGGGGAGGGGGGGGGATAAAATCGTCAAAAAAGCGTGACCCCTTAAAGTGCCTTAAACAGATCTTTTGTAAACCTTGATTTTGCTACAGTCAAATGATGTCTTTTTTAATTGTTGGTAAACATTTCTAGTACCCTATATTTTGTTTATTTCAATCTAGTTTTTTAATTATTTCAACAAATCGTTATACATTTTTTTGCAAATCATATTTGATATATATTCTACAAAGTTATGTAGATCTTTATCTATCTGGCGTCTTTGTTTGATGCGGAAATTTAGTTTTCCCTAAGTCTAGATCTAGATCACATAAAAAAAAAAAATAAAAAAAAAAACGAAACAAAACACGGCTAACAATTCATCTAGATCTCGGTCCAGTCTAAATGCCAAAATCTATGCTAGCCCAATACTAGATTTAGATTTATGTTGGAGGACGATTCATAATTATACCTGTATCTTTCTACTTTTATGTAATGTCTACTGATGAAGAACTAGCGCGGAAATTGCAAGATGAAGTAATGTAATCTAAATAATCTAATAATATAAAAAAACAATGATTAGGCCCATGTATATAAATAATAGGCCTAATAAATATCGTATCATTTGTGCCATGGCATATAAGATAATATTATTAATTAATAATATTAATATTATGGATGATATTTAGAATCGACCCTTTGAATCCCGGACAGATCGTCCCCCCGGTGTGGCCTCAACCAACCGGCGGGCTCGTTGCATTGAGTTAAATATAAACTCAAAACAATAATATAAACAATCTCCTTTCGGTCGGTCGGTCAGGCCACATACCACGCACGCATAGTGTTGTGTGTCGTGCCTTAACCAAAATAAACTATCTCCCTTCATTATCATTAGATATATTTAATAAGTTAATTAATTAATTAGCTAATTTATAAAATTATGTATGATGCTATAGCAGTAGGTAAGTTACGGTAAGTATAATTTTTTTAACTATGTATTTGTACTATAAAGAAACACCTTCGTTGTTTGAATACCACCCTCTCCCCTTCTTGAACTCAAAGTTAAACTTCCCGTTCGTAGAGACATGCGGTATGCTGTAAGGCGGCGGGTGGGTAGGGTATATACTCATTGAAGAAAAAATCCACCGTGGTGCGTGTTATTGGCCTTGGGCCTTCGGTGACGTTGTTGGCGTTTGCTGTGAGGGGGAGAGGGGTGTGTGTTATATCCGTTAAAAAAATCGCAACATGGTATTGGCCTATGATGACGTCGGCGCAAGCGGGGAGGGGGGGGGGGCACTTTTTTTTTTAAAACCAAGAACTAGGCGTTTAAAGGCTGTAATGAAAATCAAGGACTGGAATAGCAAAGGTCGAATTTAACGAGTGATGCTTGCTGGGTCTATCATACGATTGCTTGGCGATGGGAATCTCGTCAAGCTCAGTTTATATTTACAGTGAACTATTGGGATGCTGTCATGCACAAAGTTACAGCTACCGAATGTAGCACTTAAAACATCGAGTGCATACCGCTCATTATAAATTTGAAATACTAGTTATGGATTGTCCAAAAACTTGAAGGACTGTCAGAATATATGCATTGTATTATAACATTAATCATTGCGATATAACTAAAATGTGTATCCAAATATTTTTAGGCTAACGGGATCTGCATTTAAATAAACAAGACCTATTACGCTACTTTTGCATGGTAGCACAACTACATTTTTAGATTTCATGAGTAGCCTAGTCTTGCATTAAAGGGCTGTACTCAATAACAATGGAAAAAAATGAAATGCCGGCTTCAAACTTCAAGCTATGATTTCCCCGTATTCTTCTACTAGAAATATAGCTCCGTTGTTTAAATGACCTCACCCTCCTCCTCTCACCTAGTTCAATTTAAAGTTACACTTTCAACCCCGTTAGGATGCGTGAACTACTGAACTATTGAAAAAAACTATTCTGGTGTTAAATTGCCCTCCCCTACTCGCAGCACTTAACTTTGGGGCCATACACATCAGGAAGGTCTAGGTCGGTGTTGTATCTCGTGCAAATTTACTCACAACACGACTACACACTACGGCTGTATCCAGGACTAAAGCTGCGACAACTCGCATAGAGTTGGATTTATTCGTTAGATCATTGTGCTTCAAATTCTGTTTCAATATTGGGATTAGATGGATATAATGTTGGAATTCAGTTAGTTTGTTGTATTTTATTGATCTGAATGTCGTGTACGGTCAGAAACTAAACTGGTTGACAAGACACATGTGTAGGCTAAAGAATGACCTCTAGATCGAGCCAAAGATGGCTGGTTAAGGTTGACAAACTGTGGTTTTCAAAATTCATGGTGATACTTTTCTAAAGGATTTAATTTTGTGCTTTCTTTGGGATTATTTTGTGTGATGTGAATATTCAGAAGTAATTTGTAAGTAGTATGCTTTTCACATTCAACCATTTTAACAGTTTGCGATTGATATGTGGCCGGGCTGATTAATTTACATTTAGCGAAACTACACACTACACGGCGCCCTCAGGCCGTTGTTTCAGCATGCCCTACTAGATCTAGACTCTAGTCAATTATTTATACTTTATTATAGACAACTTTAGAATCAACACAATTAGCCAATACACCGATTTTTATTTAATAATATTCAAAAGCCATTCCTCTAGGGTCGTTATTTTCACGAAATTGTCGTTTTCCATTTTGTTGTCAAGAAACTGGTATTTAGTTCACGAGAACGTATGAAAACCACTCATGCGTGACCGAAATCGTCGATTGGGTGCCTTCACGTGGTTTGACACGTGTTGACCTAGGCCGTTGTTTACATCAAAAAATCACCCTAAACGGCCTTTTTTCGAAAAATTTGTTTGAAAAAATGGCTAAGTCCAGTTTCAAAAAGTGTCATTTTCGGGCCCATTTTAAAAAACGTAAAAAAATCCGAACTACACGTAGAAAAAAATGGCTTTTTCGGCCCTTTTTAGCTCCAAAAACGCGTCGCGTGACGTCACCGTGACGTCAGCCGCCAACCAAAACGCGGAGAAAGCGCGCGTTTGATTGGTTGGCGGCTGACACTATGAAATCCTCTAAGGACGATTCGAATGGTATACCGCGAAAGTAAACATATTGTTAAACATAATGATAGTATTGACATTTGACAGAAAAAACTAATAGAAATTCTATACTAAATAAATAATAGTTATACTGTTAAATATTAAATCTAGATCTATTAGGCATATATTTTATATACTGAAGGCCTATCTACTCTAGGCCTAGGCTATAAATAAAATACTAACTACTAGATCTAGTACTATATTTTTTTTTTTTTCAGATAGTAGGCCTAGCCGCCCTAGCAGTAGCAGGTAATCTATCGTTTTGGGTACGTAAAATCGCCCGCGGCTTCTAATGTACGAAAAAGTTACCTCATTGTCAAGGCTTTAATAGAAGTATATTATGATAGATCTATATTTATGTCAAATATTGCAGATGAATGAATAATAAACCTAAATCAATGACTAAATATATTTTAATATATATATCAATATGAGTCAGAAATTAACTTTAAACATCAGTGTTTGCGAGTAAGATTTGCTACATACATAAACAGCAGCCGTTTGTAAAATAGAGTGGCTTCCCCCTGAATCTCGCGCTATAAGTTTACACTTTACAGACAAAACTTAGACAAGATGGCTGCTATAGTACATGAGCATGGTTGCATCTGTTGGAAACATCGCTAGTCTTCATCTATTACTGAACATTTTTAATTCAATTGTTTAAAAACATGTAGGCCTACATAAATGAAATAAGGAAACATTTTTGTATTTTTCTAAACATAAATCCTCCTCAAAATGAGAAATAATTATTAAAATTTAAGGAGTCACCTGTTTTTCACATTACTAGTCGTGGGCGATTTTACGTACCCAAAACGATAGTTTACCGGCCTAGCCTAATTATAATAATTAATTAATAACTAATTATTAGGCCTATTAATTTATATTAATACTATAATAATTTTTAAAAATACTAATATTATTATTATTATTATTATTATTATAAAACTAGCTTATACCCGTGCTTCGCCACGATGTGGTTATAGATATTACCTCTGAGTTTACCTCACTGAGCGCGGGTGCGGATGCCCGCATTGGGATGAATATTCTGGGTAGCTTATACCTGTGCTTCACAACGGTTTGGATATGGATATTACCTCAGGGCAATGCGCTGCGCATGGATCGGGTCTCCGCATTGGGGCAAATATTCCTCCAGCGCGGTACCGCGCTGCACGCTGCAGCACTTTGATGTGAATTTGGATATTTAAGAAAATTAAATTACAGTAAAAAATAGAGTCTCACGAACTTCCGCCCATACGTCTCTCCTACACGAACTCGCATTGTCATCTAAACCACCGCCGAACAACATGTCTATCTGACCGTCCGCGCACAGGGAGAGACTTCCACGTTTCCAAAATCTACAGCGATGACTGACTGACATACTACCACCAGAGTTATAAGTTATATTTTAGATAAGCCTGTAATTGTTCTGGTAACCCTCCAGTTCTCTGAATCATTGAGTTAAATAAGTAAATAGTTAAAGTTAAATAAATATTTTATTTTTATTATAAATTATAGGCCCTAAACTTATAAATTATAAATATATATAAATATATTATTTTGGATGATATTTAGAATCGACCCTTTGAATCCCGGACAGATCGTCCCCTAATGCTTAAGTAGGCTTATAGGCTAATATTAATAAAAATATCAGTTATAAGTTCTTAAGGAAGTTGTTCAGAAAAATTATCATTCAATATTTTAATATGCGTCTATCATTTGCTACATATTTATTTTTCAGTTTGACAGAGAAGCGGCTGAATACCTGAGCATGGCCCACAATAAGCACACACTATCAGATTCTGATGAATCTGATTCTGTAACTGATGACAGTTTTAAACTGAATAGTTCAAGGGATTTGTTTCAGAGCAGCAGTGATACTTTTTCAAGCAACATTTTAGACACAAGCCATTCACCACAAAAATCTTTGCATAGTAAGTATGAACATATTTTGATGGATGGAAATTGTTGGGTCTGATTGAAGGCAGATACTGAAAAGACTTAAAATAAATGAAAGACCATAATGGTTATACTTGAAGATGACAAAGGGGGTCTTGTTAAATGATATCATGCTTTTTAAAGTGGTTTTCACTCTCTCCTTCCAGTCATTATTTTATTACTCATCATTACAAAAATGACATCACTTTTCAGTCTCCCCCCCCCCCCCCCCATTTGTATTTTGAAAGATTTTAGAAAAACATAGCTAAAGCCCTTAGCTGTTTCCAGGTGAAGAATATTGCATAGTTTTCATTACAATGTACATTAAAATATTTAAAAAATGATAAATAAAAAACGGTTTTAAAAATGTAAAAGTGTGATGTCACACTTTCTGAACCTCCCTCCCCTTAAGCACACATCAACACAAAAGTCCAAACCTCCACTCCACCCCTCCCCCCTCCAAAAATTGTGATAACATTTATGGGCATCCTTTGATGACATAATTAATTTTCTTGCAATTATATGTTAACATTTTTAAAAATAACAATTTATTTGTCATTTTTCTTTAAAAAGGTACTAACCCATATGATGCTGATACAGATTTAGAAGAAGATGATTCTGAGAAAGAAAAAACTTCAAAACCTGTGTGTAAATATGGAGTAAGGTGCTACAGAAAAAACCCTTCACACTATGAAGAATTTTATCATCCTAAAAGTTTGGGTACAGTTTTCTTTACCCTAGTTTAAAAAGTTGTATATATTTACAACACTGTAAAATGGCTTTAAAAAGTACAATTAGTTTTTATAGGCAATTTTAGTTTTGAGGTATACACAATATATCATAATAAAGACAGCTGTTTCAATTACTATTATTATAGGTAAGAGAAAACTAGAGGACAAAGAAAAAGAAACCACAATGCCAGAGAAAACATCCAAGCAAAATAAATCTCCACTTGATGTTTACCAGGAGTTTCAACCTTTCAGTTTTTTTCTTACTAAAGTTAAAGACATTCCAGTCAAGTACAATTCAACTGGTGCATTTAATTTGAGAGGTAAAAATGTATATTTTAAAAATCATATAGTAGAAACACACTAAAAAAAATCAACTACCTGTATTCTTTCTATATTTAGCAATATTCACAGGAGTTTTATCTTTCGTATCACTTCTGCATCTGTTTGTAGAGTATTTTTGACAAAATTATTTATTATGAACACTTTTTATTGTGTAATTCATTATGTCCATGTCGTTTAATGATGCAGGACATATATACTATTTATAATATATGTTCATTTAGTGTTAGCTGATAACCATGTGATAACAATTTAAGAAAAACAATTAATTATAAATTAATTGTTTTGTCTTTCTGTTTTAGATATTTTGTCTGAATCTATGGGGCAACTTGCTGCCTCATGTCATTTCAATTTCATGTTTGATATTCCATGGCTGATTCATCAGTATCCTGAACCATTCAGGTTTGTTCTTTTTTATATTAATCCTTAATATTCAAATTCACTTGCAAATGTATTTTACACTTACATGATCTTCATGCATTTTATAATAAATTTGCCTCAAAAATTTCTTCAGATGGCTTTGGATGCTGTTTTAATTTAAGCTTGTGTAATATTACTTTTTTGGTAAAATGAGTAATAACAGAATAACAAAACTATGTTCATTTTAATTGATTAAAAAAAAATTGATAAATTTCTGGCCTTGATTTCAGGAAAAAGCCAGTTCTTCTTGTTCATGGAGATCAAGGTAGAGATGAGATCAACCTGAAAGAAGCGGCTTCTCCATATTCAAATGTTGCTCTGTGCAGGGTAAGTTTTAGTCACTTCAACTGCTTCAATAACAAATACTACTAAATCTCTTGTTTAGTGTATATGTTGTTGTGCACATCTATAGTAAACAAATCTTGATTAAAGTTTCTTTTCTATTGATTCAATCATATTCAGAACCTTGTATTTTTCTTTCAGGCTACATTAGATATTCCATATGGCACACATCACACGTAAGAATTATTTTGCCATTTCATCTGTTGTTATCTTTTTTAAATAAATTTAATTTAAGCCAAAATAAACGTAAATAATGTGTCATTTTTTTAACCATACACTTCAGAAAAATGATGTTATTACTTTATAACTCTGGGTTGAGAGTGGTGATACACACAGCTAACATGGTTTCCAATGACTGGCACCAAAAAACACAAGGGTATGTCCTATGATATTTTTTCATTATATAAATAATAAAATTATTAATAAATGATTCACACTTTATATATGAACACAAGATCATTTATTAAAGCATTCTAACTGCCAAGACAATTAAAATTTGGCCTTATCTTGTATGAATTCTGGCAATTTAAATAAAATAATCAAATTCACAGATTGTCAATAATTTCTCAGAAAATTAAACATATTTTAGGCTTTTATTAAAATCCTTTTCTGTGAATAGAAATAAAAATGTTCTTGTGACAATGTCTTCAGAATCTGGGTCAGCCCGTTGTATCCTCCACTCCAACCTGGCACAGATAGAGGGGAATCCCCTACAAATTTTAAAGCTGATCTCTTGCAGTATATGGCAGCATACAGATCACCCAAACTTGCACCCTGGGAACAACATATAAAAGCTCATGACATGAGTTCAACAAAGTAAGTTTTACGCTTTTGCTTTGTCATTCATTATTTCAAAATAGTTATTTTTTAGATTTATTATCTATACTAATAGTTTTGCTGTCTGTGTATGTATCTGTCTGTGTATCTATCTATCTGACAAGAACGCTATAGAGAAAACACAAGCAAAATAAAAACTTTCACAGTAAAACGGAAACGAAACATGACGTCACATTGGAGCATATAGTAGAAAATAATCTCAAGCCGGAGAGTGCACACAGTAATATGACGTCATTGATTCTCGAGTAAACATTGAATTAAAAAGCCAATTTTGTCTTATCTTAAAAGTGGTTTGTGTGAAGAGTTTCTTTCATACAATTCTTCGGGTAGGGGCGAAGCCTATCCCCCGCGTAAAAATGTCTAAACCGACCCCCCCCCAACTCAAAAGAAATGTCGTCATCGATACTCTATAATAAAATTACAGCCTAATTCATGTGTCTAATCTAAAAAGTGGTTTGCGTGCAGAGTTTCTTTCATGCAATTCTTTGGGTAGTGGCTAAGCGCGACACCAGTGTTTCTTTCAGACTTTTTCCTCCCCGGAGGGAGGAACTTTTTCTAATCTAAAAAAAGTGTTTAGCGTGCACAGTTTTTTTCATGCATCTCTTCCGGTAGGGGCAAAGCCCCGCCCAGGTTCTTCCTTTAGTTTGTATGATCTACAAATGTGACCAGTGTTTCTTTCAGACTTTTTCCTCCCCGGAGAGGGGTTGGGGTACTTGAAATTTTCGGGGGCGGGGGTAGAATTTTCGGGGAGGGGACTGACACTGGAAAAAGTATATAATTATATTTCGTTGAATGGGACAGTAGACATGTTTTGGGGTGTGTGTAGGGGGGGGGGGGGTTGGTTTTAGTTTAGAGAAAAGAGACAGCACTATCAACCTAGCGCCCGTTGTATCCTTCCTCAACGGGCCATTTTTCTCGTTTTTTAGATTTTGAAAGGATAACAAAGAACAGGAATTTAAATGGTCACTCATGCTTGTTATTTTGAAGGTTTATAAATTCCCTTTCCTGTACAGTATATATTTTAGAGCATGTTTAAACATGATGGTTACATTTTTTAAAATTGTTCTCTTTTATTTCTTTTTTTAAGAGTTCATCTCATAGGCTCCGTCCCAGGCAGGCATACTTTGAACAATAAACATCTATGGGGTCACCTCAAGTTAAAAAAGGTAGTGTAGATTAAATAAGTGACAAATTTTCATTTAATATTTAACTCATTATATTTGTGAAAAAAACCGCAATGCTAATTTCTATTTTTATCCACTAAATTATTCATATAGGTATTGTCAGAAAGAGGCCCTGAAGCTGGATTAGTTCAAAACTGGCCTTTAATTGGACAGTTTTCTAGTATTGGGTCCTTGGGTGCTAATAAAGAAGCGTGGCTGCTGAATGAATGGGGACAGTCTATCTCCACTTGTAGAAAACAAGAATCTTTATCTTTGCCTGCATCAAAACTTAATTTGGTTGGTCAATTTTTTCTTCTTTGATAAACAGATTTTTATAAGTAGATGCCGAGTGAATTTTTAATGCTGTTTTATGCATCAGTGAATACTGCTCTGAGTGATTAGGTTCAAAACTTGTAATGAATTGCATGTATTTTCAACACGTTTAGATATTTCCATCAAAAGACAACATTCGACTGAGTCTAGAGGGTTATAATGGTGGAGGGTGTGTCCCATACAGTATCAAAACTGCTTCTAAACAACCATGGCTGACTCAACTCTTCTGGTACTGTTTTATTCTATTCACTAGCTTAGACAATAATGGATATATTCAGTTATCATAAATATCATTTATTAAACAGGAATTTTTATAATCGTTAATTATAAAATAAAAATTGATGATTTGGCATTGGGAAAATCCTACAAAACACATTTATGAATTTATACAACACTTCTTACCCAAGGGATCCATGTTTTTATTTTAGCCAGTGGGTGTCTGAAGGCCGAGGCAGATCTAAGGCAGTACCTCACATCAAGACATACACACGTCACTCTCCTGATGGATCACAGGCGGCCTGGTTCCTTGTCAGCAGGTACACTGACTTAAGACAGTCTTAATTAATTTATTACAATCTTTCATTAGCAGGTACACTGACTTAAGACAATCTTAATTACAATCTGTCATTAGCAGGTACACTGACTTAAGACAATCTTAATTACAATCTGTCATTAGCAGGCACACTGACTTAAGACAATCTTAATTATTACAATCTATCATTAGCAAGTGTACTGAGCTAAGATTGTCCTCTTAATTATTCCATTAAAAAAAAATTGATTTGTGAAGTCTAGGTTCTTTAAAAATATAATTGTGAATATCACATTTGTATTTCCAGCTAAATATTTTTGCTAGTAATCATAACTTGCAAGTATTGATTTATTTCCTGTTACTTTTCTGATGGGCCCACATTTTTAATTAGACAGGAACATAATTTGACAATGTTGTAGTAAAATCCTGTTCTTTACAACCATATTATTGAAAAAAATTGAATCAATGCTATGGTGACAGTGAACATTTAATGAGGTTAAAAACATATTGAATTATTCTGCAGTGCAAACTTATCAAAAGCAGCCTGGGGTGTTTTGGAGAAGGACAAGAGCCAGCTGATGATCAGGTCTTATGAGCTGGGTGTTTTATTCCTGCCTCAGTATTTTGTGAGTTGTTACATGCTCTTGAATAATGAGGTTTTATTTATTTTTTTAAACTAGATTCTTATCTACGCCTTAGGTTTTGTCTAAATGCAGTATAAATGTGCGCATTTTAAAATATTAAAATATACAAACACAAAACTCTGCATACAAAAGTACAAAAATTTAATTAAATTACACGCTTGTAAATATCTCACACAGATATGTTTGACTACACTTATTGGAGGGGTAATCCTTAACTTTATGTCAGAAGTCATTTTCTACATTAAGTATTATGTTATTATAATATATTTGCATCCTTTAAAATTAACGTATCAACAATTTTTATTTTACTGTTAAACATAATATTGCTTTAAGTAATTTTTTATTCATGCTATAACTGTGTACAACAATATTTTCCTCATGACATCAGGGTTGCAAGAATTCCTTCCCTTTGAGCAGCTTGGCAGATGATGTCTCTCAGTCTGATAAGCCAATATTTCCCCTGCCTTATGACCTGCCACCTAAAACATATGTTAAAGGAGGTTAGTTGCTAGTTGTATGTGTTCTCATATGAGAATAGTCTAGGACAGGGGTCTCCAAACTACGGCCCGCGAAGTCCTCTCATCCGGCCCGCGGAGATCTTTTTGTCCAAGGAAAAATCGTCTGTTTCTGATGGCTGAGGAACTTTGCCCAGAAAAATCAAAGACAGGCCTGGAAGAAATTGGCCCCCGAACTCAAATTTGATGGGTAATGCGGCCCTCGGATTGAAAAGTTTGGAGACCCCTGGTCTAGGATTTAACTAGACTGCAATAATCTTGCAATCTCTGGGTATAATATAATCACTGTGGCCCAAGCTGGAAAATGAAGACTTCCAGTTGATGATAGAATTATTTACTATATCAGAGCTCATATTTTTGTGTCCATTTAGAGCTTAACAGTGTTAATGTACACATTAAAAAAAAGCATTTTTAACAATTTTGTTTAAATACCAATTTTCATTAGCTTTAAAGAAAGAAGTGAAAGAGAAATTACGGTTCTAGTTCAATATGTTTTTATTTCAGATCGTCCTTGGTTTATAGATGTGCCTTGTATGGACATACCTGACACCTTCGGTACTATGTGGTGTCCACCACTTTAACACCCATATGTCAGATACCCTTGACATTATGATGTATACTACATGTCAAACTAAATATTCTGAATGATGACACTGTAATGCCATATGCCAGGCATCTTTGTGCTGTCCATCCATTTTGACATCAATGGCAGATACCATTAAAAGTATTTAGTGTCCACCTTCACTTTCCATGTGCTGTGACTGTACTACATCACATATGAGTTGTAGTAACTAACAGATCTGAAGCTGTTTATACATTTTTATTTTTGTTTAAGAATTGTCTTCCAAATTTTTAAAATTCATTTACAAATTATTTAAAAAGTTAATAACTTTGTTAAAACTAACACATCTCTTTTGGCCTAACTATGTAATCTATAATAAACATGAAAATGTGCAATAAAATGTTAAACAACATACTCATACAATATTTGTTTGCTCTGATTGTAATTGTCTAATTCTAATGTTAAAAATTAAAGTTAAAAAGTGTATTGACTAAAATAAGGCAATCATTACCATAAGATTATAGCTACAACAGGTATTAAATGAGCACATCTACATTAAATGATGCAGAAGAAAATGTGGTAAAGTGTATAGGATGACAAAATTAGAATCTCACCTTGTAGGCATTACTAGGCGTTGGTAGATTAAATAAAAGCATTATTTAGTTCACATCTCTGTTTGTTATGAATTTTGTTAGAGACATGAGGCCAATTTTGTAACTCAATTTTGAACCACTTCTAATCCACCGATTTCATACCAACTTTCCAGATACGTTGGTCTCCAATGATGATGATTTTTAATGTAAATGGAGTAGTCATTGTAAACTTAATTTAAATACTACTAAATTTAGGGAGGAGATAGTAAGATTAAATACTAGTGATCGCTTCATCAGTTTGTCTTTGAGTTATTTTGGGCCTGAGCGTCGACTACATAAGAAGGGGCGGTAATTGACTTTTAGAAATAGCAAGGTACTGATTGGGGTTAAACGCAAATGTTTTTAGTCGTAGTCTATGCTGTGTGAACTTCACTGAGAACAAATTATCAAAAAGTGAACAATAAACAGATATAACCTTTAGAATAATAAGCTTTTAAATGCATTGAAAATAAGAATATACTTGCCAAAAGCATTGACAGCTAAAATATGTAAGAGATCTCTTGATCGAACAATGCTTTTTACAAGCTTTCGATTTGCACCCCCCCCCGTCAAGATTTCGATTTGCAACCCCCCTCGAGATTTCCATTTGCACCCCCCCCCCCCTCAAACTTTTGATTTGCACCCCCCTCAACCTTTCAATTTATTTTTCCAACCCATTTTGGCGCCCCCTAAGGTCGGCGCCCGGGGACATATGTCCCCCCCAGCCCCCCCCCCCCCCTCGCTACGCTACTGGCCAAGCAAGACTGTCATGCTAGAAGAGTGCTGTGGTCATGCATGCTATCCTGTGTTGGATCTGTGTCAATGTTGCCATGGTCAGTGTCTGGTCAGATACGTCTCTAACACTTCACGTCACCGGCTTCAGCATTGTCTTTGACGCGGGCAACATTGTCAGGTGAGTACTTCACTCATTTATAGATGGGCTCACTTTTCTTGAAATCATTGTATTTACCTCTCAAGTGTAGCTGACCATATCAGACTCACTTAGCAAATGTGACGGTCAAGTATACTGACCAGTCTCTGTGCTATGGCTCCAATAGTTCTCTATAAATTAAACCCATCTCTTTATTCCCGCATGATACTACCTACTGTCATTACCCACATGGTAACTACATACCTAATATATATATATATATATATATATATATATATATATATATATATATATATATATATATATATATATATATTTATCTATAATCTATAATCTATAATATAACGCTGCTGGTAGTGTGTCAGTCCGTCCGTCAGTCAGTCAGTCAGTCATCGCTATAGATTTTGGAATCATAAAAGTAATAATCGCATACAGTGGCGTAGCGATGTCGGGTGTAACCCGGTGCAGCACATAATGGTGTCACCCCCCCCCTAGAGGCGTAGCGACCCTTCCCGGGGACAAACGTTCAATTTTCGATTTGCATCCCCCACCCCCTCAAACTTTTTGCACCTCTTAAAAAACTATTTAACACTAGAATTAATCACTTAATTAAGTGGAATTATCATTTTTCTCTATTATTTTGCTATTTTTTGCCTTGGTGTCACCCGGTGCGGTCCGCACCCCCCCTCTCCCCCCCCCGCTACGCCTCTGATCGCATAATTATTTTTTTCTTCTTTTTTTTCGCCTCAGACATGTAATTTACAGCGTCAGTTTGCCTTGCATGTTCGCTTTAGAATTACATTTTTCATTATCGACTTATTGACATTTATTTAGATTGTGTATTATTACATAAAGCAAAGCAAACACTTGCAAAAATATTAAAACCATCAATCAAACAGCCACAACAAACAAAGCAATCACACTTAACTAACACTACTAGACAAAGCTAACACTACTAGACAAAGAACAGAATACTAAAACAGACTAGTAACCACGGCTAGTTATAGATCGACTATAAGAGAAATAATTCTAAGTTTCTTTTTTTTTTTTTTTTTTTTTTTTGTTTTTTTTTTTTTTTGTTTATCGGAAATGAGTGTGTGTGTGTTTATCAATCGTTATAGCAGCAGTTGAGATTTTTTGATATTCGAGATTTACTACGAAGTGATGCGCCCTGAAATGAACATTGATAAATAAAGTGTCAACATGTTAAATCTCAAAAGAAGTTCCATGTTTTAATGGTGTACACAAGCTGTAGTTGTTTTGTTTGAATGTTTACGATTAAGTACAATGTACTTTTTTTTACCCGAAACTGGGAAGATACACAAATATGCCACATAAACAAAATAAAATTGGTTTAAATATTTTCGAAATCTTTGGTTGATCTAAGAAAAAAAAACGGCTAAATTATCTCCCTTGGTAATCGTAATTACGATGTCACTATCAATCATTATCAAGTTTATTGCCTTCACACTCACGCAATTACCCCCCCCCCCCCCCACACACACACTCGATCATTTTAATTTTATTGTACTACTTTTGTATCAGGAAATATTTTTGAAAATTTCAAAAAATAATAAGCATGTGTTGTTAAAAATAACAACGTCTTTAATTAAGATAAGTGGTGATTCGGGCACAGATAATTACGAATGGAAATCTGGGTAATTGGCGACCGCTATCTTTCGTCAAAACGTGCCACGTACATTTGATTTACCGATTTAACCAAATCTAGCCACTTTAATCCCTTGACGGCAGTGAAACCCATTCTTTAAGCCACTTTGTTTTGTGGATTCAGCAAATGCCAAGGCATAATTGGCGATAAGCTTTGGTCGGAGATTGTGAGAGACTTAAACAATGGATTAGGCTGTAATTGTGTTTGTGGGATTTGTATTAGGTGGTTGGATTGTAGTAATATATCACATTTGGTTTTCTACTTAAGACAGGTTCACACGAAGTAAAAAAAAAAATCAGTACTTTTTTTACAAGCTTTTATTTAACTCACTTCCTCTGTCGACAGTCTGTCGACAGTCTGTCTAGATGGAAACGCAGGAGTGAAAATTCGGAAACTTCTACTTGACCGATACGATTCACACTTGGCACGTGGGTCAAGACATGAAGACAATGCAATCTGAAACTTAATTTGACTTAATTGGATGCCTAATTGGTTTTTTATGAATTAATTAAAATTTGGACCGAATTAGTAGGCATGTCTAGCCAACCACACCACACGCGTCATCAATAGCTGCGCCATCACGACCACGTAATGGCTGCGTTCAAAAACCATTGCGCGCCTACTGAACGTGATGTTCAGTAGGCGCGCAATGGTTTTTAGTCATGTAACTCTATTGTAAATAAAACATGTAAAGTACTGAAAAAAAATTCATAAAAAACGTTTTAATAACAAGCTTTTATGTAATGATGCACTAAAAAGTAGAAAATAAATTATAGACTACTATTTAAATAACTATAAAGAAAAGCGTGGGTGTCTTCCTTAACATTAGTAAAGGTATCCAATAGATACTAAAGTGACCCACGCTTTTCTTTATAGTTATTTAAATAGTAGTCTATAATTTATTTTCTACTTTTTAGTGCATCATTACATAAAAGCTTGTTATTAAAACGTTTTTTATGAATTTTTTTTAGAGATACGTCTGTAGGAGAGGAGAAGTAGAGCTAACCTGATTTAATGGTAACTCTGTTGAGGGGATGTAACTCCAGAACAAGGCCCAGATAATAAAAGAAAAAAAAACAATTTTAAAAAACCCGGTAAAATAAATAAAACATGTGATATGAGAAAAGAGTTAAGTGGTCTGGTTGCCGAGATATGGGCCAAAAACTGCATTTTTTCGAGGTTTTTTGGCTTTTCCGGGAAATCCAGGAAGGAATTCCGGGATTTTTTTTTTGGCCCACAATCATCATCGGAACTTGCTTAACGTATTTGCTTTTGGAACTAGTCCTCGATATTGCTTCGTTGAGGAGGAGATACGACTTAAAGCTGCGGACACACATCCTTGACGAGTTAATAATCGCAATTGTCCGTATGGAAATTGCGCTAAAAAGTTCCATAAAAATATCAAAAGGATTTGCGAAGTCGAGCACTGAGTTTTTGCTGTAGGTGGAGTTGTACATTTTGATAGGGATAGAAAAGCATACCTAAATCCCAGTGTACAGTATCGAATGTCATATTATCCATCAGCTGAAGCAAAGGTTGTAATACTTGAGTTAATGTAGTTCTATAAAAGGACACGATTCAACATTCGAGAGAATGCTGGTCTGCTTATAACTTCCTAAAAATAATTAGTAATCAGAAAAATCACTCAAGTAATCACTCAAGATGATCTCTCAATATACTGAAGCATAATGTAGATGATCACTCAACATACTGAAGCATCATCAAGATGATCACTTAATAAACTGAAGCATACCTCAGATGATTAAGGGACGGAGTGGCCTAGCGTTAGAGCGCTAAACTGCTAACCCGTAAGTCTCGAGTTCCAATCCAGGTTAAAGTCAGTAGACTGTCCCTGAGTCCATCCAGCTGTGTCTGGTACCTGATTCACGTTAGGGTAGGTAAAGGCGGCTGATCATTGTGCTGACCACACTATCCCTCCATAAGTCGAGGTCACAGAAACAGGTGAACTCTACTTTCACTTGCCCTATTATACCGTCAGGTTTGGAAGAGGAACTTTATTTTATTTTTTCTTTTGATGATTATTTACTATCCTGGAATAACTTGTAAATGGACACTAAAGCCACAGAGCCGAATATCTTTCAGGAAAAAAGTTTTTACTTGAGCTATGAAATAGAAGGCCGAACTTCAAAAATTAAATAGGCCCACGTGTAATTTTGTCCAATCT